ATACCTCAGGATCTTTCATAGTCGGTTTGTGAAAATAGTCTATACCACAATAACTTTTTATCATGCTATAAAAAGTATTTTTTACATAGCATATGTTCTTTGTGGTAAAATTCTGTATAGTTTTATAATACTTTACAAAACTTAATGTCTACAGAACATGGATCATGTGGTAATGCGCATGTACATGGTACAATACAATACTGCTGTAGGAATTGTGTAGGACAGATGTTCTTAAAAATAAATGGCGTCCTTTTTTTCTTATTTCAAATGCAAACACTGTGACAGATTAAATGTGTGAATCAAGATCAAGATAGCATCTTTCTGTGTTTCACATGGAACAATAATTGTTGTGCCCTCGCCGTTGAAAAACCTCCAGCCTCCTGAAACCTTTTCAGTTTCATACCAAGTTTGCCAACAGTTGAAAAGCTAAATCCTACTCATGCAACTATATTAGATTATAATCCCTTTCTTACTAGTTAACTGCTGCTGTCAGGCTCAAGAGGCAAAGCTGTGAGTGGAAAAAAACGTATTGACTCTTGTAAAAAAGTGCAGAAAGGAACAAAATAACACACTTGAAAATATGCCTTCACGTCTCATCACTTTAGAAAAGACACAGAATGGATTGAAGTAGCTCTGGCCTTGGTTAATCCATTCATTCATTTCCTACACGCAGTTGAATACCAGCTATGCCAGGACGGGCCTTCAATGGACAAACTGCACAATAAACCAATGAAAGGATTCCGGTCCATAGGAAGAATACAGACGCAGTTTGCAAATACATCCAATCACATTACTGGGAGGTTTAATGCTGATTCATCACACCCACCTAAACATCTTGTCTTCCGAGGAGAAAGAGGAATTGGGGTAGCAGACCCATACAAGCATTAAAAGCAAATGCAAAGTCTACACCAGCTATCAAGCCTGAGATTCATGTTGTTGACACAGAATCGCTACTAGCTTCGGGGTTCCTTAAAGCAGCTACACGCAGTCCCCGACAGGATGAAAATGACCTTTTCGGTCCGTCTGCCAAGCGCTGAAAAACTAAGAAAAAATAATCTGCCAAAATATTTTCAACTTGCTTTAAAACTGCCTGACACAAAAATGATGACTAACATCGGAGTAGGTCTTATTTGCTGCAGCCCATAGAAATGATAAAACACTCATTAACAGTGATATGCTGCGTTGTCAATGCAAAACAAATCATTGCCAATCAAGATCCATTTTGGAGTTTGAGGTTAGGAAAAGGCTTACTTCAGAACCAGCCAATGGCAGCTGGATTTTTACTCTCATTTTGGCGAGTTCTAATTTTGAAACTGATTCAAGATATAACAACTATTCTAACCAACATCCCCATCTTGGCAGTAAAAAATAAGCACACAACAGAGAACGAATGAGTGCAGAAACAACAGAATGGGCGAGAGGTAGACTATGAAAACCACTGCAATGCTGAAAGGGCATTAATCATCACACTTTCTAGTGCCAGAAGAGACAAGTTTGCCTTTTTTTTTTGGTCAACTCAGTGGTCAGGCCCAAATAATCAGAAATTGTCCCAAAAGTAACTATTTCTGTTCCAAATTGTTTCAGATTCTCATTTGACAATCAAATTTCAATAAGGACATTGGCAGATCATTTAATGTTATATTCCTAAATTGAAAAAGAAGAAAATAATGACAGACCGACTGAGTAGTCAAGCTAAGGCTGCCATCTTTGTAATAATAGATGTCAGATGCAAGGCTGAGGACTTAATCATTCCTCGACAGCAGCTAAAAGAATGAGTGGGGGAAAGAAAATCAGAACAGACTATAGGAGATAAGAATTATTAAAAAAGGCCTGTCTTTGGTCAAAATCTAATTCCAGGGATAGAAGTGTTTGATAAAGCTGCTGGTGGCAAGGTGAAAGGACATACACTCATACATCTCTGTATGTCTCTGTCTCTTCAGATTCTATTACTGTGGACTGCCACACTATCACAAAACCAATGATCAGACACCTGAGTGTGTGTGTGTATGTGTGTGTGTGTGTGTGTGTGTGTGTGTGTGTGTGTGTGTGTGTGTGTGTGTGTGTGTGTGTGTGTGTGTGTATATAACCGCTGCAGAATCCTGGAAATAACACCTGACGCCCACATGCACGCACATACACTTACAGATAAACAAACACACACAAACCTCTTTGCAAGGTGGTGGAATTGATTTTTACACAGGAAACTCCCATCCAAAACGACTTATTAGACCTTCGCACCGGACCAAGGTGTTTGTGGCTTGGGTGACCTAGATGTCACTTTTCTTCTTTTGTTGTTGTTAACATTTGTCTTTTTTTAGTCATGGTGGCAGCATGATGTCCCTGACTGGTCTTCTAGCACTTCAACAAGGTTTATTGGGAAATATCTCTCAAACATTTGGATGGACTCCAATGGGATTGAGTCCCCAACTTGTGTCATCATCAGATCTACATTACTTGTTTATGACAGAATACCTTCAAAGCATCAGCATGTTATTATGGTCGTTGCGAACACGTTAGCAAGCTGACCTTCTAATATAAAGTCCCACTCGGCCTCAGGAGACTCTTATCCTTCATTCACTTTGTCTTTGTTTCATCGTTAAGCTCCAGCTCTTGCAACCGCTGCATTCTGAGATGACAAACCCCTGCATAGAGGGCAAATCATATTAGTTTCCATTTTAAAGTAAAATGAGTTATGTATTTTGTATTTGGTGAGCATTCGCGGGAAAGCACTCCTGAAATTCTCATTCTTGTTACAGATGCAGAAACATGCAGAAACACAAAGAAAGAGGGAGAGAACAGAAGAGAGCAAATGATTTACTAGGGCAGCCAACATGATAATCATGCCTGAATCCTTGCAATGATGCCAAAATACATTGCCATTTTACATTTCAGGGCGATTGGCCAATACAATAAGTACATATTAGCATTTCAGTGTTTCTCCAAGATATGTATTCGGCAGTATGAAGCAGGCTCCTGAAGCAGCATTTACATGTGACACTAAAACTCTCCACTAAACCAATAATAGTGAAATTCTGTGACAGCAAAACACGTGACCATAAAGTTCTGCCGCTAAATCAACAACTGTGTGCCGGAGATTAAACCCTGAGTGGAGAGGACTCTAATCTGTGATGTTATCGAGAGGCAGATGCTAGAACTCGCTCCCTGATAATGAGTTACAGCCTTACTTTTGTTTACTGTTACACAGTCACTCAAAGCCTGCCTAGACTACACGATATGAGCCTGATAATGGCCCAATCAGATTGACATGAGTGAATACGAGCTTCATAGATAAAGTCTCGTCATTTATAAGACACCAAATCAGCCAATGCGACATGCACAGAGATACATACAGACCATCTACAACATTGACGCTCCTGCTTTAGTTTACTTCTTCTTCCCTATCCATCGCCGTTTATTAATTTCTTTGACTTTGTCATTGCTTTTATTTTGTCTGATCTACGTGTCCTGTATTCATGTTGGTTTTATATGAGTCACACACGTCTACTTAACAAGGCATTTACTGATACATTCAGTAGGAACACAACAACATATTTCACCTTTTTTCGTCCTCCCGTGACGATAACTGATGGATAAGAGATAACAATAAAACTTTCTCTTTATCAAAGATTATGAAGATAATTTGCATAAATATTTATTTACCCACACTGCTAACTCCGGGTGTGGTAATCCATTTTTGCCCTCCCAAAATTATTAAATGAAATTGAATTAAAGGATATGCCGGTACTGAAAGAACGCACAGAGCGAATAAACATGATCAAAAATTGGAAGCCTGGTTGGAGAAGAATTCAGCCAAACAACTTCTCTCGTTCTGGTATATTTATTTGTCAGATCACAGGTCAAGTATCAGCGCTGCGTTTGCAAAGGCAGTGAGCAGAACAACTCACTTACATCAGGAAGAACGTTATGTTTTGAATTTCTATTCAGATATAAAAGGAAAGATTTCTATTGGCCCTAAACTGGCGTTGAGGAGGAGCAGGTCCGCTCGCGTTTTGGATTATCAGTACTTATTCAAATTCCCATTTTGGTAAGGAAATTAGCAGGATCAAGAACTATTATAGTGAAGACTTTATTGCGTAATACTGCACATTAAAATGAGTTGAACACAGAAACATGTTTCTTCAAACTTTGTCCTGTTATGACTCTCATTCCGTCAAGAGCATTGCTGATAATGATTGTGGCCTTTAAGGATTCAGTTTTTCTGTGCAATTACTATATTATAAATAATAATATAAATTTCTCTCCAAATTGTGTTTTGGAAAATATTGGATCACCACAGGCACTTTAAATTAACTGAATACTGAATTCTCCTGTAAATCTGTTTGTGAACCTGTTTTGTAAGATGCTGTATGTAAAAAGTTTCATCCATTTTCGTTTAGCTCCTTCTTTCAAACCGGTCCTTTACCGCTTAATTGCTGCAGGTTTCTTCTACTTTACTTTAATGCGAATCATCGTTAAAATCTCTTTACTTAAACTTGTGTATTCAATTTCTTAATGAGATTATTTTCTGGTCCCAAAGCTTCTGACCAACCAGAGTAATATTCTAGTGAAGTAGTAAAACAAAAAAAAGATCCAAACTTTTCTTTCAAAGTCTGATTATAGTGCACATACAGGGCTGAATACCATTTCCATGGAAAATGAGTGACCAACACTTGTTGTATACTACTTATACTTTTTACGGGTGAACATTTTTTTGAAAGAGCAAACTACTATATTAATGACCATTGCTTTCACAATGTGGCAGGTGAGGTAACACACACATTGACACACACTAACATGAACTCACCTGATTGGTAGACATTTAAACTGTACAGGGGGAAGCACTTGGAGAAAAGCCAAGCAAACCTGCCCAGTGACCCGGGACATAAGGCACTAGGCTGACTTTGTTAGTGATACATCATATTCAACCAAAACCAAAACATACTAAAGACTAGTTCACAAACCTGAATAGTGGTTTAAAAAAAACATTGGAGCAAAGAAGAGAGTATTGTATCAAAAACTTTATTCTCAAATAATGTTTTCAAAATAGCTGATAGATAAACTGTGATTCTCTTGAACAGCAGGTTGTGAAGCTGCATTCACAAATGATATCTGTTGTTTATGGGAGGACAGAAAAAAGGCAATTTCCCATCCTTAAATCCAAAACTTAGAGCAAACCATTCTTGTCTCACCATTCAAAATAGGAGCATTTGAAATGGCCAACATGCTAACGCTCCTGTTAGAGTCCAAATTCACCACAATTTCATTTTTCACTCAAAGCCCATTGTGTCTAAGCAAGAACCAGATATCCCCATGTTTAGACTCACATAAACTCAGATTTGGGGTCAATAAGGGGTCAAATCATCCAAAATCTTCTTTGTATGTGGAGGTCCTCCCCCTCCCATATATGGACATTAGGATCGGCCACCCACAGCTGCTTTTACACAAGAACACTGCCTTTTTGAATACTCTTTATGACCTCGTCACACTTAAAATCTGGTGTTTATTTTTTTGATCAATGTAAATTATGTGTTTGTATCTAAAGTGATCATGTTGGGATTGAAGATATCATCGATGCTCAGACAACTCGCAGATACAGCTGCCACATTAAAAGCAAACGATGAACCGATGAGTAGGAGCCGACACATTTTGTATACTTGAAATGTCTTGGGTTGTGAATACAAAACTTTTTACAGGTCTCACTCAGAGATAAGTGTCTCTCCAGCACAAAGAGAATTTACTCCTGATCCTACAAGGCCTTCTGTTCCTGTGTAAAAGCAGCCATAATGGTCAATGATGATATATGCTTTTCAGTTTGAACCGTAGATTTTTACATGGTGTTTAACAGTAGAAACATCGACTTTAATGAATAAGCTTTTGTTGTACCTACATTATGGGTCATAAAAAGTACAGCATGTTTAATAATCTGTTTTTGTTTTTTACAAATTCTCCATAAAAAATAGATTTCAGTACAAAACCTTTGTTTTCTTTTCAACTACTTCAAGTTCAGCAGCACATGATGATGTTGAGATAATGGTGATTGTGATGTTCAACTCAAAAACATGGACATATAGTATGTATTGCTGCATCCTGTCACCATAATATACAGTATGAATATAATACGTACATATGTGGTGTCCACATCTACAGGCTGCCATGGGTAGAAATGACAATGACTTGTCCTTTGCGCTAATGAGCAAAACAAGGCTGCAGTCCACTCACGTTCAAGTCAGAGAAGGTGGCAGATTCTCTTTGAAGCCCTGATGCTGAATGTATGGCATGAGAAGTTTGTCCAATCCAAACTATTGAGAAAAAGTTCACTCAGAGGCCGGTAAAAGGCAATACTGAATTTTTTTCCTAAAACACCGCAAACTGAACCTGAAAGAAAACAACCCCTCCCACACAACCACACACAGACACACACACACACATCTGGCAATAGCATTTGAGCAGATACAAATAAGGTCCATACAGCTGCTGAGCTGCATCAGTATGACACGATTGCAGTCCAAGCGGGACTGCGACTGGAGTTTAGGGCAGATATCTCTGGTGTAAAATACATCTATTATCAGTATTATGTTCATCATTTATTTGAAATACACCACGGAAAAAAAGCTTATGTCAAAAACAATATGTGAGGTTTTAAATTTTGGCAGATTTTTTAGATATAAACAGATAAAGTCACTGTATGGTATTGCATACTTGACTTCATAGTAAATCTCCACTGAATCAATTAAATCAATTAAAGCCTGGGGTGCACGCCGGCAATAAGAGAGGAGGCTAGCGAGCAGATGCTCTGCTGTTGTTTACAGATGTCTCATTTATTTTTGTGAGACCATTTTGAACGTGTCTTCTGGCTCGTCGCCTTCTGAAATTATTACCAGTATTATGGCTAGTGCAGACATATGTATATCTTATGCATAACTTTAATATTTAGCTCTATGTTTCTAACTTTCTGCCCATGACCCTGACAGTTTCCTAATGATGATTGACAATTATTATTATTATTAGACCAAAAACATACCCTACATTCCACTCGTCATCTGACACAGAGACCTCTCGGCTAAAAAATGTACTTTCCCATACAATAAAACTGCTTTGGGTAATTTGGTCACAGATGAAATCTTATCACAAATATGCCTTATCGGAGTTTGGGGAAATCTGTCTATGTCCCAGGTGTTGCATGGTTAAGAAAAACACAATAATGTACATTATTATTCATAATGCACTTATCTGGGAACTTATTTTTGTAGGAGACAGGTTTGTTGATATCATTTGTGTAGATGAATGGATTTGTGAATGTATGATGGTATGTGGTTGAATTACACGTGGAACATAAACGGAAATTCTTTCACAATAAAAAAACATGCAAGTTAAAGCAAATGCATGAATTGTAGTGGAAGAATAGTGTGCATGGAGAATGAAACCAACAAAAAAACATGCATGAGGACACTGAAAGCAGTTAAATCTGTGATCCAAACCGATTGCAGCATCTTTCGTAAAATGAAATCATTTTGAGAGAACACTGCAAAAAATGAACAAGCTTGGCAAGTGATGTTCGTGGACTTTGCTAAATCCTACAGACTCATGGCCATTGGTATTATTTTTTGATTAGTAACACCAGGAAATAAGCTGAATGCACGGGCACACTGGCTAAGCTTGTGCATTTGTTGCAGTGGGATTCAAGCATTGATAAGCAGGATGTAACTGTCTGCCCACGAGGTATTTCTCAAGCAATGGCCAGGTTCCAGGTTCTGATATTTCTCGACAATAATAATTGTGCATGTTGTCTTTGTACCATTTCTGTTTGTCCTTCAACATGACCAATTCTCATACAGAAAAAAGTTGTGGGCTCTTCAAAAGGTTGTTTTGAAATATGATCATGTGCATCAGATCTGTTTAACGTGTTCCACTTTTTGCTAACGTGACTAGTTGTGGTCACTTGCAACACATATTTAAAAAAAGTTAGAGAAGCAGTCACATGTTGATTCTGAAAGCTTACACTGTCTGCTGAACTAAAACAAATAAGCCCACTTTGAGATGCTAATAAAGCTGTGTACTATTAAACATACCCCAAGAGGACTGTACAGTATAAAATGACGGTGTTTAATGCCTGTAAATAAATCTAGCGACGTGGAACCATAGTTTCAGTGAAATCATACTGCAGAGTATAGATGTTACATTCTACAGCAGTAACAATATTCAGAATAAGCTTTCAGAAAAAAATCTGTGCTGTTATAAAAAAAAATTGGTGTCATTACGGGACACTAGAAGCTCAGGGGTTAGCTGAACTGACATTTCTGGTTGGTTAGCATGTTGTCATGGCAACAAAATCAACAATGAGATAGCATGTGGTCACAACTTCTGCTCACAGGGAAGGTGAAATATCAATGTGTATATACAAACACACCTTAACCCTGTTTTTAGTCATTTTGTCATCTTTTTAAAGATAGAAGTTTTTGAATAAAATTCTCTTTTTCAATGACTCATTTTCAAACCCATTTCAGACCCAAAAATTATTCTTTTTTTTCATAACCCACTCAGAAAAACACACTAGTGCAAAATTTGTGCGGTTTAAGAGTTCATATAAAGTTTATATTTTGGGGTCCCCAGCAGCAGTGGTTTGGGAAGTACCATGGGGCCACTGGGTATTTGAACAAAGAGTCTGTTCATCAATATCTTCACTGAAGAAAAATGCCAAAAGAGACAAATAGAGACAATTATTTGCCTCTGTTTCCATAGCGACCTGTCCTTGTCTTTCTTTCCAGCAGGATTAACAGAGTTGTCGATCCGTCCATTTGTCTGTGTGTGTCCGTCTAATTTCTTTCAGTCAACCAGTCCGTCGTTAATAAGTTCATGTATTTCTGATTGATGGGGCAGGAGAGTATGCTGTAGGAAAAAAAATCAGTCATCACGACGGATAATTCCAACGGAGATATGAGAAGACAAATTGTTTCCTGGATTTGGCCACAGCCGACTGCAGCGGTTGAAGATCTTGACAGCTTATTGCCTCCAGGCTTCCACTTGTTCAGCCACCAGGCACAGGATCCTGGCTACCCCAATACCAAAAATCTGTCGTCTGACTGTTTGATTGTGGTGGACAGGTCTCTGGAAACCAGTCCATTGTGTAGACCGACCAGGCAACTCAAGTGTCTGGTTTTCGGGTTCAACACGGTCTGCCTAATAAGAAATATTGTACACAGGATTGATTTGTGTGAAATAACTTCATACCAAGGTTGCTGTACTTAATCTGGGAAAAGTAACATTTGCAAATGCCACATTTGCTGTGTTTTAACCTAAACAAGTTGCCAAATACTGTACCTAACTCTATTTTTGTAGTTTTTGATCCAGCACCGATGATGTTTTTTGTGTTGACATGTTGGAAAAATCGTTAGAATTTACACGAATGTCTGGAGGGGATTGAAGGGTGCGATAGTCTATGGACTGGGGGTAAAACCTTGCACCTGCAGCAGGGTACTTAAATTAACCGGAGCAGCATGTACAACATGTACCACTGTAAAAACCAATTGGCATGGGGTATGGCGTTAGATTGGCTAAAAGATTACTCAAGTTGCAGGAAGGGGATTTAGGAACCATATGACTGGCCATTCAAAGCCCTTTGCACAAGGAGGCTGGGTCAAATTTAGCAGAAGTCAACTGACGGCGTATGAGCACTGGGTCAATGGGGGGGGGGGGGGTCGCACATGGAAGAAGTTAAATAAGCTGTACCATCATTCTGTGTTTTTCCTTAGGGCCTCAACAGTAGCAGTGTTTACGGAGACTTCCAAACATTAATCTCTGACATTTGATGTCATCGTTGTCTTTTTCCCCCTGTGTATTGGTTCTCGTTTTATTTCGCTCAGACTCTTGGGATAAGTGGATGATATTGTTGTTCAGGCAGTAGGTGGAGCAGATTGTGCTGACAAAAGGACCAGCATGCTACAACACAGACTGCTCACGCGACAACTCCGAATCATTAGTTTGTTTTTCACGCAGACCAAGGCAGAGGTTGGACTGAATCATTGTATAAATAGTCTCCAGGTTCGTTGGACTATACCACAGTGCAGACCGTATTGAGAGTGGTATCAAATCGAACTGCTTTTGCCTCAGTAGGCTTCATGTTGGTGTCATACATTGGGTTTTCAAATGATGCCTGACCATTGGTGCTCTCATGGCCGACATAACCATTGAACTGGACCTTGGGACGCGTCCTGCAAAACAAAGATGAGAAGGAAATAAAGGTGAAATATAATCTTTTCAGCAGTTAGATTAAGAAAACAAAAACGTGGAAGCCAAATGAAATTAAAAGGGCGGAGGACTCTAAAACAAACAATAGCAATAGAAACACAAAGTCAGTGTAATTTTACAACAGCAAGATTAGGTTGCAAAATTTTCCGATGAATTGGTTTAGAAAACATCAAACAGCTTTCAACAACTCTAGCGTATCAAAATGTGTAGAGCTTTTTTGAACCACAAACATTTCTAAAATCTCGTAAAAAGCTATTAGTGAAACTTATTCAGCCAAAAGGAAGAAAGCACCATGTATTGAAGTTATGTCATGTCAAGTCATTCATTTGAGTGAAAAGCCAACACAACACTTCAATTTAAGACTATACACCATGTTATTTTTCCCATTAAGCGTCCTATTCAACATCCCTGATTTTAAAAGCACAAGTGTCAAGGATGTGTGACTCCAAGAACTACCGAGTAACAGAATGTTCTTAATGTATTAATATAATCGACAGAGTATTGTTTATATTTCAATGTTATATTGTATTAATTAGTTCTACAACTAAATGAAAAAACATTACATGAAAAAAGCCTCGTCGTAATATTAAATATATTATCCGTCCTTTTCGGCTGTCTGGTTAGAGATTCAGGGTGAAACCTTAGAGCAGATTTCTAGTAAAATTCTACAAATTGCAGGGAAAATGATGGCAGGGCGGAGAACATGAACCATTACATCGGCCCGCTTCGGTGGTTTAGCTGCCCATCTCCTGCACTCATGTCAGTGTGTGTCTGTGTGTGTGTGTAACCAGACATCATCCAGAAAATGGTACCCAATGGTTTTATTTCAAAAGAATATATTATCACTCAACCTGGCAAGCTTTTACTGCAGGGATTCAAACATACTCTGTGAAATATGACAACCCCCTTCTAGTTTGTCTGTTTGTCACAGATTACACTTTGGGATAATCAGGTCCTATAATCCAGTTAGATATAATCACTTACTCCCAAACCCTGTGGAACTATTAGCAGGGAGGAGTGCTGCAGCTGAAACACTGTTTGACTCTGACCTCATTAAGAGTGTGTGTGTGTGTGTCTGAGCGTGTGTGTGCGCGCGCGTGTGCATATCCAACCCTGGGGAGCCACTAATCTTACCCTACATGCTCAACCCATTACTTTACAAAACTGCACACACACCAACGCACACCGCAGACCCCCCTATGTGGCAGTAGTTCAAATCGCTGTACTAGTTTCTGGTTGCTGTTGGTGCAATAGTTTATTTTTATTGGTGGAATGAAAAACGGCTCACATAATTGCTTTGACAGTGTTATAGAGACTGTACAGAGTTATCGGCAAACGTGGGGAGGATCTGCAGTGTGCACACTTCTTGCTTTTAGTTTTATTTTTAAGACATATTGTTATAAAGAGAAATTATATCCGTCGGCTGTTTTTGATCAAGCTGATCAACATCAAGCTGACAGATGACAATGAGATCGAAGACAAAATAAATATTTTAGTAGCTTTGACTGATTGCTGTTTTGAGTAGGGCTGCACAGCTTTTAAAAGTTACATGCAAATATTTCACAATGAGTGTACGGTATGTCTCGCAAAAATGACTTAGCTGATATGAGGAGCCAATGTGTTGTGTTTCCATGAGAATTAATTTACATTTTAGTTTACAGGTTTTAATTAAATCCGTTAATATAAAACAAAACTAATTATGCCACTCATCTCAGTTCAGAATCATTGGAATAAAAAATTCAGATGTGCAGCCTTACTAAACAGCATGAAGCAAAAATGTAAAAACTAAAAACAATGGATGGCGAGTTTGACGGAGGATGTGGCGGCGGGCGGCGGTCTGGTTGTTGTCTGAAACCAGGTGAATAATAGGTGCCAGTCTTACCTGCCACCAGGCCCCCAGGTGTCTTTTGGTCTCTCATTGTCATCTGTGTCAGCAGACAATGTCCTGCATACAACCATCAACTTTAATATAAGTCAACTATCATTTCATAATGTTAGCTGGGAAGCGGGTTGCGTTGCACAGTGTAAAGTAATATATGATAATAATAATAGGGTTAGTTGCTATCAGTGAACTGTACTAGTTTGACTGTTTACTGTGTAAGTTTGCATGGCCCTGCACAGCAGTCACCATCTTAGAATTCACAGAATTTACAGCAAAGCTCATACATACAAATGTATTAGTTTGTTTTCCTCAACAACATCATTAAACGAGGGCACTGCATGTCTCCATGCAGATAGAGTTCATGCAGCATACACCTTCCATGAATGTCTAGCCAACGGATTAACATATAATAATGATTGGATGAGTAAGACTTTGAGTCATGATGTTCAAAAGTCAGAATATCCTTTAGATGTAGAATCTTCAATAGGAAACATTAATGAGGACATTTTACCTCCACTATGGCAATATATTATCTGGCATCTTTAGGGTGTTTTAAGTCTTTTTTGCACTTCCTTAGGAAAAACAATTAATATTTAAGCTTATTTATATTTAATCTTCATGGTACGCTCCAAGTTGTATAAGTGATGCTTTAAGGTTTGAACAAATGCTATAAAATTCACAAAAGACCACAGTTGTTATTGCATTTCCGTATTACCAATTAACTGTCAATTACAGTGAATTATATTACATCAAAGGGTTTTTGGCATCAGCGCCCATACAAAATAAACCCAAAGGTACTGTATTTAAATCTGTACTTTGGGAGGAGAATTATTCTTTTTCAGCTGTACTGCAAACTAATGTCACCACATTTATTATTTTATCCTGACAAAATGGGATTCATTTTCAACATTAATAAAAAAAAATGGCATAAAGCACTAAAAGCAAAATAAGTGCATGAATCAGTTCAACTGCCTGTCATGGGACTGATTTCTTACTGTGAGAAGCTTGATAAATACAGGCCAGTTTTGGTGCCAGCTCCTCAGATTGAGCAGAACATTTACCAAAAGAGAGACATACAGTAATGAGACTTTCATCAACAGGAGCCTCCAGAGCGACCCAACGGTAAGTGTGGATGTTCAAGGAAACGTATGAAATTAAGTATTAAATTGATTAATATTGCTGCGGTGAAAAGAATTAACATTCAAAGAAACCATTCAAACAAACTGATAAATAACAAATAATTAAGCGGGCAAACACCTGCTTTGTATTCTAGTTTGCTGTTGGTCAGTTTTTACATGATGGATTTACATTGAGGATGTGCCTTACCTGTGCTTGTAGAGGTAGAAAGCAAATCCAGACAAGATGAGAGCAAAGAAGGGAACTAAGATTGCTGCGGCCACAGAGCTGCTGTTTGTGTAGGGGTTGGATGGGTCCATCGCCATGGTTACAGGGCCTGGAGATACAGACGCAGTTGAACCTCAAAATGCATGGACACATAAACCCTCTTGTGTATGTCAAATAGAGGATTTTTGTATTATTATTATTGTGTATACTCTAATTCTGCTTCTCATAATTATTCTGTAAGAAAATACAAAATTCATATTACACTAATAAACAAAAACATTTCTTCAATTTGATCAAATGTTTTAGTCATACTCTCAGTATGACATTGTTTAATAGGAAGATCTAGGCTGTTTTGTTTGTTGTGGTGCTTACTAGGCCTGATGACAGAAAGACATACCTTGCCTTGTCAGATGGAACTTGCCAAAGTCTTTACTGTGAATATGCCCCTGGTAGACAAAGGTCCTCTGATCCGATTCTGCAGTAACCTGAAAGAACATCACAATCAGTGAACATGTTCCAGTTTGTTTTATATAATTTATAATTTTATATAATTGTACCCAATTACAACAATTGGGTACAATTGTTGTAATTGGGTAAAATTGGTCTGTGTGGAGTCTGCATGTTCTCCCCGTGTCTGCGTGGGTTCTCTCCGGGTTCTCCGGCTTCCTCCCACAGTCCAAAGACATGCTCTGGGGATCAGGTTAATTGGGGACTTTAAATTGTCCGTAGATGTGTGAATGTGAGTGTGAATGGTTGTATGTCTCTGTGTAGCCCTGCGATTGGCTGGCGACCAATCCAGGATGTACCCTGTCTATCGCCCGAAGTTGGCTGGGATGGACTCCAGCCCCCCCGCGACCCTGTGTGCAGGATAAGCGGTTTGACAATGGATGGATGGATGGATGGATGGATGTACCCAATTATTTCCATTCAGATGCATCAGGACTTCTTTCACCCTTAGTTTCCTAAATTAGAGTTACAGTTAACTACAGTTTGATATGAGCTCTCTGAACAGAGCGCCGATACTGTAAAAGTTCCTTCAGCAATAAGGGATTGTGTGATGGTGGTACAAAGTCCTGCTGGAATCACAGAAGAAGAATATGATGGAAGCCCTTCAATTCTGTCAACCAAAATCACAGCAAGAAGCCGCTGAGAAGGTGAATGTCATAAAAGTGTGAAGAAGTGGAGGTGATCTCACTGATGACATATGAGAGGTCTAGTCCTTGGATAACAAAGTATTTAAGTGTATTCTAAGGGAGGTAAATGCAAATAGTTCCCTGCAGTGGTTTGCCAGTTCCGATCAAACATATTTAAAATAGCATGTACATTTAAAATACCTTGTGTGATTTTAATTTCTCAAACGTGCATATTTAATGACCATTGTTGAAGAGACCCTGATATTTAAAAGCCAGAGAATAACTACTCTCAAAACCTTCATACATGAAAAAACAGGCGTTCATTTTGTAAAAAAGTAATGTGTTGTTCAAACACATTTCATTCATTTGTTGTGATTCACCACGTCTTCTCTCCCTCTCTCATTGTCGGGACATTATCTCTCTGCATCCTGCACTTTATAGCCCTTCTATCCTTCCTTTTCTTATTCCCACCACAGTCTTGTTTAAAGACTGAAGCAGCAATCATTGAATCATACATCCACATTTAAATGTTATGATCTAACTGTAGAGCTCTCGTTCCTGGAATCACAACTAAGCCATTAATTACCAGCCTGATTCTTCCGCTCCCTCGCTCTTTTTTTTGTCATTCACAACATGATATATTCTCTATCCGTAGGCCTCTTTTTCCTTATGTCCTTTCTTTCCATCCCTCCCCCGCCGCGATCTTTTAAGATGTCCTCACTCTGTTCCTCTTTGTCAGCAAGGCAAACAAGATTACATTTCTGAACCATTCCCTGGTGGAATGGAGGTGGGGATGAGCTTCGGAAGCCCCAGCTTCAAATACCACATGGAGCAGTTAAAAAGTCTACACGGAACACGGAAGATGACTTGTCTTTTCCTTTGGAACACTCTTTCGATCAATGTTTTCACAGGTTAGAAATCACAAGTCATGCACATCATAGATAAATAATCAATACACAGAGAAATGTGCAATTCTTTGGTGTGATGGTGTGGAAAACTGTTTTAATTAGTAAGGGGGTGATCAATTGGTTTCAAATAGTTGGTAAAGAAAATGAGAGGAAGTTTGTCTTACATGTCCATCTATAGCCCAGTTGTCATTTTTAAACTTGCTGTAGTAATGCTCTGTTGGCCCCTTCACCTGGTAGACCTTCAACAGCAGCTGGTTCTCCTCTGACTTGTACGTACCTGGATGAACAGATATGTAGGAAGAAATTGTTTTGTAGGTACAACTAATGGAATTTAACATGGTGTCACATAAATTAACATACACATAACTTGTTATTTGTGTTGCCACTTGGCAAGAAAAAGAGAAACACAGTGAGCCAGAGGTCCCATGGGAGGTTGACGTACAGGAGAACAGACAAAAGGAGACACCTTGACATTTAAAAGGATGATCCGCTATTTCCTTTAAGAAGCACTTGACACATTACTGGGGAGAAAGTGACATTTACCCTTAAGCTACATGTTTACTTGGTTAAATATAGTGCCAACAAAGAAACTGCTGTTCAATATGACGAGTCCATGCCACGGATTCAAAATGACATTTTGAAATATATTGAGAGCCCTTTTTTCCTGCCAGAAGAAAATCTTTCACGACTACGGAAGGAAACGGCACTATTAGAAAATATTGTAGTCATCGAGAGTCAGACCCTGTTCAACCCTACTATGTTGGGGGTTTTCAGTCCGGACTGCAGCTTCACCCTTTGCTAACCTTCCAGCATTTTCCATACAATATCTTCTTTATGCCTGCATAACATTTAAATATAAATATATTGTGTGCTCAAGATTAATGCTGTGGTAGGTTGTTTTGTCAGGCGGTTCCCCCTGCATGCTATATTATTAAACTGCTTAGCGCTCAAACTTAAGCACAAATATTTATTTCTCCTCTCTGCAGACTGTGAATGTTGTGCTTAGGTGCAACATAGGGATTTGCACCAATTTTAATCTAGAAACGATGTGCTAAAAAGTGTGAATGAAAGCTTAATCTTTGCCAGCCCGCTGAGTATTTACGCCTACAGTAATATTTGTGTTAATTACACTTAATTTAGAGTCTATAAAACCTAGAATATTTTTTAACCTCCCTGATAGTGTTGTTACAATTCTCCTTTGCAGTAAAACTTTCAATTTTATTTACCTTTTGTATCATATTAATTTAAGTACTTTCCATCCATTCTCTAGATATATAGATCATTGGGGTGAGATTTTTTTATTATTTCAATTTTACTTTATGACTAAATTCACTTTATTGATGCAATTTTGTTTTAAGGAAAACACTGATTTGGATAATTTTACCTTTCCTATCTTAAAACAGGTAAAAGAGTAAAATGAATTGATGACTGGAGGATATACGTTTTTTCTTTTTTACCTGACAGTCTGATTGAAACTCCGCTGGTTTCCAGCAGTGTGACGTTGACTCTGCCACTGGTTGCGTTGAACCCAGTAACTGTAAATGTGGTAGCCAGCCTTTTTCCAAGATACTCATAAAAACCGCTCCACTCTGAGTTCGGAGAGAACACGTCCACTGGAACTGCAAAGCAGAAACAGAAGCAAAAAAAGTTGAAAGAAGGTGGAAAATATGTTTTACCTTGAAACTTGTTTTGCCCTGGCTCACACTGGGACCAATAACACCATGTTAACGTTTTAGTCAAAAAGGATCAATTTCAGCATTCTTGTTTATATCACTTTTACAACTTTTCCCTGCAACAAGTTTAAAGTAACGAACTGAAACGATGGCAAGAAAACGGAGATTGTTGGGATTCATCTCTTATTGTTTGCCAACACATAAATAAAACATATTTTCCGTCGGGTGCTTCGTAACTGACTGGTGCAATGTGTGCATTCACACACTTAGAAATATGACTTATTCAAAATAGAAGATTCAGCGTTCTTACAAAAAGGAATAATTCTTCCCTGGCTCTCTATAAATGCAGATGTAGACTACACAATTCTATCTGGAATTTACAAGGTATGACATGGTATTGCACCTGAATGTTTTCAGTGATTTATCTACTGCGTCTGAGGCTTTATCCTATTAATCCATTAAGGCTGCTTGCCGTAAGCAACACCCGCAACATCCTCCCACCACAACACTAATTCTTCCCTGGAAGATTCTTTGTGGCCACACGTTTATTAAAAAACAGTTTATACATCTATGATTTAAGTACAACAACGTGTGCAGTAGTTGCTTATTCCACACACCTCGGATCTTGTTCTTCTGGACATCTGAGTCTCCTCTGCCTTTGGGATTGACCTTCACTCCAACTGAAACATAAATCAGCACTACATTTAGTTTACTAACAGCTTATTAACAGAATATTTGGTATAGGGTTCGGAATAGATCAACGGACTGACTCGATATTAAATATATGTATCAATGCAGAACATTATAATGCCATGATATTGCTATTTGTCAATTTTGTTTTTCTCCAGACGACAGTCTATATGATATGTCTGTATATATACCTGACTTTTTTTTGTTTTCATTCATCACAATATTCACAGTCATCTGCTCCTTATCTTTGAGACCAGATAGGAGCATGTGATAAAAAACTAACAGACATCACCGCTGCATTTATGAAACGCCGGAGGCTGACTTTTGAGAGCACAGCAATACCATCAGGGTGCAAAATGCATTCATCTTAAACCATAAGGGATTACGATGTTTATTCAATATTCACGGCTAAACATCCGCCCATTTCAAGCAGTGTAGTTTCAAGATTGGATCTGAATACCTTTACAAAGCGGGGGTTTGCCAGACCATCTGCCATCACTTTTGCAGGTTCTGTGCTCTGATCCCCCTGCCAGATAGAAACCATCTTGACAGGTGTAGATCAGCGTGTATCCCAGAGTCGGCAGGTCCATAGATCGAACATCAACATTACTTGGGGTCTCTGGCTGTCTGCATGAATGGGCTGAGTGACAGGTAGGAGCCAAATGAACAGAGTGGTCACTTGTATTGCATTCTTCTCCTCAAAGTCAAAATACGCATTGAATAAAATGAAACACTACGATCACAAAAAGATCAACAGTTACAACAAAACAAGATTAATTAACACACACACACACACACACACACTATGATAAGTCAAAATAATAATATTACGCAGACCAATAATGGACATGATTATTTCTTACCAATACATTCAGGTTGTGTCCCACTCCAGGTCAGGTTTTCTAGGCACGTTCTTGTTGTGGAGCCCAGGATGTGATAGTTCTTGCGGCACTTGAATGAAATCTTATTGCCAACCTACATGATGGAAAAACACATTTTTACCTGCAGTTTGCCACACTCAGCACGGAGTACTTGTCATTAAATCTCATAACTAAATTTGTATTGACCCCTTAATCTGACCAAACACAAAACAATACCTACTGTCATACAATGATTGATCTTTGTCAAATTGAAAAAAGAAATTAAACTAGTCTTGTGCAGAATTGAAGGCCTCATTACGCTTCATCACAAAGGAAAAATGTAAAATGTTTACACACAGTTGGATGGACTCATCACAGAACTATCCGAGAAGAAATAACCATCTCTTGTTATTTATTCATAAAGGTCAACTTTCTAAGCTCCCGAACTACCTCCCATCTCTTCTCCCATTTAAATTCCACTAGCCTCAGTACATGATTAAGTAAGTGCTTCGGGTTAGATGAATCATGCTAATGCTGGCAGAACCAGTTTCAGGTACTAGGAACCTTTTAATAAATAAACTGCAAACGGCACTAAAACGAGTCTTGCATACCCCAGGGAGGTCTAAAGCTTTATTATCCGATGTTTGTTGATGATTACTTTCAGCAGTTTTTATTTTCCAAGTTTATTATGTAGTTGTTTTGTTTTGCTGTTTATATCCTAGTGTTTCGTGTTCTCAGGTCTCTCTTGGAAAAAGGAAATTAATATCAAAGAGATTTAAATTAAAGATAAACCTAAACAAATAAAAACATGTTTGATTGGCTCTTGTTTTTACAACTAAGAAGCATTGCAAACCTTAGGCTCACTCCATCTCGGATGGAGTTTGTAATTCTTGTACTTTATCATTGGGATTGTGTTGTTGCGACTCACGTTGTGGCAGAATCCTGCTGCCATTTTCTGACATTAAGTTACCAACCAAACTATGCACAATGTATTTAATTAAATTAAAAATGGTATTTTATTCAAAGTAGATTACAATAATATATATATACTGCATTTTTCTCACCTGAAAGCCCTGACCCATGATCGGTATACCATAAGCTGGAGTTCCTGGGTCCCGACAGTTGTTGAAGGCTTGGTCTACACACACACATATAAATACACATCATACTTTTATACTTACTTATATTATAAGATACATTACACATTTTAACACTTTTAACTAGGTAAAACTAATTTAACTACGTTTTTCTGCTATGAAAAGCAGCTTGAATCTAAACCATCATCATAGACACTGACGCCATGAATGTGTTGGAGGGCAAAGGTTGTTTGGGTTACTTGTGGTGGGATTACCTATACATGCTGGTTGGTGGCCGCTCCACATGCCATCAGCTTGACAGACTCTGGAGGCAGACCCTACTAGCAGGTAGGGGGAGTGGCAGTAGAACCTGACCTCTGACCTGCACAGAGACATAAACATTAAATTACACAAAATGAAGAACTGATGAGGAAATTTGAATTATGAGTTCATGGTTTTCACTGTCATTGGAGGGGTTGGAGAGTAACATCTGCTGAAACGTCTGTTGTCTACCACCAGAGCTGTGGCCACATATTCTACAAACTGACGTACAGACATCGGGGCCAAACAATGTTAAATCCTTTTAACGTCTGACAAAACCTTGGCAGAACAAACAACACTTCCTTGGGTCACAGTAAAGACAGTGTAAATATTTACATTGAAACTAATATATTGTGAAGCACGTGCAGTCTTGAGATATTATTAACAGTAATCGAGAGTTGGTGTATTGACAAAAATGCAGGACACTGCAGGCCGTTAACGAACGTGTACAGCAATTTCAACAAAGCACGGGTCATCTGTAAAGCTTGAAAGCCCTTCTGCAAATTGTTTCAATAAATAATCAGTGTCTATCTAACTACTGACCTGTAAGAAAAGATGTTGCCCTCTCTGAATCCACCTCCGGGAGAGCCAGAATCGCCGCACAGGACAGCTGCATTAAGACAACAGACAGAGTCAGGAAATCCACTTTGTTTGAACTGCTCAACATTACAGAGCATCGGTTAAAGAGGTTTATAGGTAGTGAAAGCCACCTAACTTACGTAAACACTTTGGTACGTCCCCTGTCCACGTCCCGTTCCCCTCACACGATAGCACAGCGGAAGTGGACAACTGGTAACCATGGAAACAACTGTAGCTAACACTGGAGCCCCATGAATGGTCGGTGCCTTCCACTTTCCCATGGTGTACTTGAGGAGGAGGTCCACACTGGATGACTGGAACACACACAGACGCACACAGATGTCTGAGATCACCGACTGAGGGTAATCGATCATGTGCAGTAAAACAGCTCGAGCGAATACATGGTGGATGAATAGTTTAAACTGCAGCCTCACTGGCTCAAAAGGTCCTGTGTTGGAGTCTGCACTAAACCTCTACTTTGTGTGTGTGTGTCTGTGTGTGTGTGTGTACAGAATCGGTTTCCTGCCAGCTGTGACAATTACATTTCTTTTACACTGCAGCCGGCAGTACAAAACAGATACCGGTAGTTTGAAAATGGTTTGCCAATAATGGATAAAATTGTTAGCATGGGATTTCATTTGATCATTCGTTAAAATTTACTATTCTATCTTCAAGCGAGACAAATGATGCAGCATCAAAAAAAGATTCCGTCTCTCATCCATGACATCTAGTTAAAAGAGCGCTTCCTGTGAGGGTTTTTCCCAATGGTATATGACAAGATGGCTGCAGATGGGAGACATGGCATCAAGGGAAAACCAAGAACAGCAAAAGCAGCAGGCAGCCAGGATCATTGTATGGACATTCTATGGATGTGCTGTCTTAAAGCATAAGAAGAACTAGGACACCATATTTAAGTTGCTTAACCAAAAGACAAACCATGATCACCGCGTGGATGTTTAGAATGGCTTTCTGATTTCACGGATTGAGAGTAAACTGTGATGTTGACTTCCAAATCAAATAAAACCCAAATGGTCACCCAGATAAAATTGACAAATATCTAAATTATTACTATTAAATATGCATACGTCAAATAAAGAGAACAAGGTACATGATCACATGAAAACATACAGTTTAAGCGTCAGAAACCCACTGTGTGCACCTATTAGTCCATGCAGCTGTGGGGCGTGATCATACATGCAAGCAAGTTGTATATAAGCCCAGACGTCTGTATATATAACTTCACAACACCCTGATCAACATCTGTGCGAGTGTGCATGCTCGAGTGTGCATGTGCAAGACGATGATAACCAGCTGCACCGCTTCAAACATCTAATAAAGTCAGTGTAATCCTCATCCAACCAGGGGGCAGATGGTTTCACACTCTATTCACTCCGCTATGATGGCATACAGAGAGTACACATTAGCAGACACAGAGAGAGAGGCAGACAAACAGACAACATATACATGCTGTACATACAGGAGACGCACAAAAAATAACTCACTGAAATTAATTATGGGAAGAATGCAATAATATAACAATATTATAACAACAACCATTTTTAGCACATTTCTTATTCTGTCAGCGGTCGAGTATCCCCTATTTCAACATTCTGTTTAATTGAAGATTACAATTTAAACTACAAAGAATTTCCTTTGTTTGTTTACGGTTTCATTACAGTTTTCCAGGCAACTGCTGTGTGCTGGCTGCAAACCAAAAACATGACAAATTCTGGCTTTGTATGTCAGCAGTGTCCCAATGAAGCACTGACTCTCCCCAAAGTCATCCTCCCAGTCTTGCAAAAAGTGTTTAATTTCCAAATTTCCTTCTTCTTTACTCAACGTGTTCTGCTTGTTGTTAGTCACAGTGAAAAAATCTTCACACCTGCACACAAGACAATTCCAGCCCCAGTTCTTAAGGCATCATGTTTCCCCCGCTTCTGTTGTGTGACTTCAGGAACAATTGCTCGTGACTAGCCAAGCGCTGATGGGGATTCAGATTAATAATTGAATCACGAGTGTTTTCTAACCCAGGGAACAAATACCAGTTGTCTAAAAATAGAGAAAAAAAAAGACTCAAGACTTAGACTTGCTTGAGAAGTTAATATTCCCGCACAATATTCCTGCAGGTATTTAATGCCAAAATAACTAACAATACAATTGATTGTTGTTTTGTTTCTTTCCATGGTTGCGAATAGACAAGGCTGGCTTCACGTCGAGCCATGGTTGCGATGCTTGACTCCTTTAACTCCATCTTTGTTCTTGCCTCTCACGTCTCCGCACTGTTCCTCCCTACACTTTGGTCCCCTGCTTTCTCTCAGCACTTCTTCTCTTGCTCACCGCACCATTCTACATGGTCCTTCTGTCCCAGCTCCAGTCCTTTGTTACCCATTTCCATTCGTCTGGTGGTCTCCTCCTTATATCTTACTGCCTCTCCTTCCCTCCCCCCCTTTATCTTTTGGGTATATCTCTCTTGGCACAACTCAGCCAGCCAACCAATTTAATGGGCATAATCCTTTTTCTCACAGTGTGTTTACAGGTTTGGGGCAGGTATTGATTCGTCTCTCTTTGTTTCTTCCATCAGTCGCTTCCTCTCTCTCTCTTCTCTGTAACCATCTCCTTTTAGCGCTACTGATGGCTCATCACATTCTCTCCTCCCTTTCATTCACACACTTGGCACTCGCTTCTTCCACCTCCCATTTTCAAACCTTCTCAATCACTTTGTTACTCTCTTAATGTGTTTTTTGTGTCTCCTCTCTTTGTTATCGAATATATTCTTCCAATAAACGTCTTCCTCTCTCGGTTTTAACCTTTAACTTTTTCCATTCATTCATCCTTTCTTGTTTCTATGTGCCTTCTCCTCATTACTTCCCTTGCATCTTTCCTTCTACCCTCACATGATTCCTTTTGCTTCTTACAACTGTCTGTCCGTGTAGGAAGAAGCTGTTGTTCCAAAAGAGGATCTCGTGAAGACTCGCCTTCAGGTGCGAGAAAGCAGATGGGATGAAAAGAGGGGAGCTGAACAAAAAGATGTGAACAAAACTACAAGCTAAAAGAGAAGAGAGATAAAAGTATAGGGCCAAGGAGGGCGAAAAAGAAAAGAGAGAAATGGGCAGAAAGAACGATTGCTGCAGTTTCCTACCATTATCTCTCCACTGTCTCATTCTTACTCTTTCCTTCTAATTTTCCTGCGCCAGTCTCAGTCTATACCACCTACGGTATATCTTACTTCTGTGGTTTCCTTCTCTCTGGTTCCCCCTCAGTAGCCTCTCTACCGGCTTTTTTCATCTCAGTTCAAAGCCTCTGCAACCGCAGGAGCCAGCTTTTCTGTTTGTAGGCAGGAACGTCAGGAGGGGATCTCAGGAAACATTCCTTGTTTCTGTTTTTCAGTAGCATAGTCTAAATATGGGCTGTTATGAAACTCAAATTCATCTCAATTCTTATGTGTTCTTATTTTCCTTTAGTCTGTTAAAACATTTTGGAACAATGTGAATCTGCTCTTGGCCTTTTTTCGACTGTACAGTGTCACAATCTGCAATCCTAGTGTGTCTCACACTGGAATATGATTATCTTTATGTAAAGGTTCATGTATGTGCAAAACTGCAAAACTGCAGGGTGAAGGTTATTATCCCTCCGCAGGTTTGTGCCATAATCCACTTTGATCTCAAGTGGGCCAGACCAATTAAAAATCATAGGGGGTGGGGGGGTTGGCGCGGGTGTCCGGAAGGGGGCCGCCGGATCGTGTTGTTGACGGCGGGTGTGCGGACAGTCGATAGGGGGTACACAGTCATTTTCAAGCGGGCGCTGCTGCCTGGAGTGACGCCGTGGTCGAAAAGGTCTAACCCAGGGGTCCCCAGTCTTTTTCGGCTCGCGAGCTACTTTTCACTCAACTTTTCAATCCAAGTCAAGGCAATCAACCACCCCTCTCCCTTCTGCTCAGGCAGTTTGCCCAAATCATAATAATTACGAGCTGTAGCAGTGCTGTCAGAAGCGACTGCGAGCGCCACCTAACCCTGGAATGTTGAAAATTTCTTGTTTTGAATGTATTATTTCTATCATCAATACATAATTGTCAAATATGTATGCATCATTCCATTTTGACTTCATATTCAACTTGTTTTGTTGTAATTGTTTACCAAATGTGACTTGAGTATTATTCACAAAAATAATAAAATTTAATTGAAGCTCATACGAACTCAAAAGCTGCTGTTCTTGTCAATTATTTCTTTGAAAGCAGTTATTCAGGGCATTCGTTTGTCTTACCTTTACAGCTGGGCTTGGTTTGGTTCCAGGTTCCATCTTTAGTGCAGAGCAAAACGCTGTGTCCGGGTGGTTCCATCAGGTGGCCAGGGTTACAGCGGTAGGTAACAGTGTGGTTGAAGGCAAACTCACTCCCAAAAAAGATCCCATTGGCTACTTGGCCAGGATCTCCGCAAGTTATCACTGAAGGAGGTGAGATCAATTTCACAGAAGTGAATACTTTATTTAGACTGTGTATCTATCTGCAGTAGTGTGGCACTGGCAGTAATATTTTTGGAGAAATCAATCTTATTAACTATGTTTTACTTCCCTGCTTCTCCCGGCTCTGTTTAACTACACAAGTTTAAATATCTGACACAACAACCTTACAAATGCACAGGCCTGAACCTGCACAGCAGCAGGTGGACCAGTCCATGATTTGGAATTGTCCTGGATTTTTCGCTAACAAAAACACCACTATGCACCCAGAAACCCTGATGATATGTGCAGTAGTACTGAAGTGCTGGAATTAATTAACCCAATTTGAAAACAAATATTTGCTCACAATAACTAGATCCCCATCTAGTGATAGTAAAAGGAGAGCCAACGCTATGAAACCTATCCTACCTGTGCAGTCCGGGGGCTGTCCTGTCCATGTCCCATTGGTTGTGCAGTGTCTGGTGGTCAGGCCTGATGTTTTGAAGCCGTCCCAGCAGGCATAGGCCACCGAGCTTCCGAAGGTGATGCCATCACTGAAGACGATTCTGCCGTGTGCTGGGGTGCCAGGGTTACCACAGGATACAGCTGAGGGTTTAAGAAATAAATACCAGACAGCCGTGATTAGTCACAGTGTATCATTATGAGCATTGTTGTCTTAGGGTCACTCGGGCTGAAGCTGTAGGCTGAAGCTGTAAGCTGCAGTGATGAGGGAATCAACCAAATACATGAAACAAGTGGAAACTAAAGTGCCATCCCTAATATGTCCAAAACTGGTGCTAAAAGTGTACCTGGATCATCATACTTTGAACAAAGCATTAAGGCGAATGGGCAAGCAAGAGTTTGGTGATTTGAGTTGCAAGTATGAACACATGAGGTCAGCATGTCACGCCTATACAAGTGTTTTGTACAGTTTCAAGTGTTTATTGAATGCTATGTTCACATGACGAATGACCACAACAAAACAGCCAAGCATGGCTGACTGCTGTGACCACCCTGCCCTGCCACGATGATTCTAATGGGAAAGTCTATTATTACTATTATTAAGTCTATTACTATTCTCTAGTTTACTTAGGCATGTCAATCCCCAGCTTTCTTTGTTTTGTAACCACTGCTGGTCTGTTCGGTTGAAAGAAAAAAGGATACAAGAATACAAATGGCAAAGTGATGTATATCTGGTCTAAAGGAGGGATCCATCAATCTTTAGTTTGCTGGCACAGGAACTTCACGGAAGAAAAGGTAATTAGCAGCCAACCAAAGCACATTTCACTAATAAGATCAGGACAACTGGCAGTATTTTACAACCAAACGCCTATTGATGGGCTTCATTAGTTAGAGCCCTTAAAAGCTCTGACCGTGAGTGAGAGAGTGCGTGAGTGTGTGTGAGAGATAGAGTGTGTAGGTGGAGCACGTCATATGTGTGGATGTCTACAGCAGATTAATGTTTGTGCCTGTGAGTGTTATCGGTACATATTGTGTGTGTGTGTGTGTGTGTATGGATTTCTTTGTGTTTGTGTCTCAATGATGGATGTCTCACCCTTTCTGAATCAGCTTTTCACCACTATAAGCTTAATGTAAGACAACCGTGGATGGACGTGAATAATTAGGGTTACACAAACACAACACTGACGTGGACACAAAAGAGACACACATTTTAGAGGTAAGAATACAGTAACTTTGACGTTAGTTATTCAGCTCATTGTACAGTAGAAAAACAAAGACTCAAAATAGGAAGTAAAATGGAATAACTTTGTTATACTGAGTCATACTTTTGTCTCAACACAGTCCTTTAAAAAGTTGTCTCGTCTCATCTTCTACCGCTTATCCGGGGTCGGGTTGTCCCGACCCCGGATAAGCATCCCTTTTACATCCCTTTTACGAGCCACATCCACCAGGTCTGACTGCGTTCGCAGACCAGTGTGGGAATATAATCTCTCCACCGAGTCCTCCTGGGTCTTCCACGGGGCCCGGGGCTTCTTCCCAGGCGGCCGTGCATGGAAAACCTCCCTAAGGAGGCGCCCGGGGGGGGCAACCTCAACCGGCTCTTTTCCATGCAAAGGAGCAGCACATCTACTCTGACCTCCTCTATTCTGGTGTCATAAACGTTTAGAATTTTGCAGTTCTGATTCATTTTTGGGGGAGGGTTGGGACTATTTTTGAGTTTTTTTCTTCCCAAAATGATACACAGTTTATAGGGATTCCTGGCATGAATGAAAATCACATCCATCCATCCATCGTCAAACCGCTTATCCTGGACACAGGGTCGCGGGGGGGCTGGAGTCTATCCCAGGCGAGAGACGGGGTACACCTTGGATTGGTCGCCAGCCAATCGCAGGGTAACACAGAGACAAACGACAATTCACACTCACATTCACACACCCACGGGCAATTTAAAGTCCCCAATCAACCTGATCCCCCCCAAAAAAATTACATAATGGGTTTTCAATAGCATTCTATAAAAAAATCCCAAGAACAATTTCTAAATAGTAACATTCTCAAACCTGACATTGTCTTTTAAGTCAGCAGATGAAAATCACTTGACAAAATACTGCATTTGGGGAGTTACATTTAGCAGATACACTAAATCTACTGATGATGTTTCTGTTTAAAGTCAGCGTGACCTTCGTGCAGTATACCCGAGCAGTTGTTTTGGGTCACGACCAACAAACAGGAGTACAACGAAACGCATGACTCATTCTTCCCCCCTCCACTTAAATTAGTTATGGAACGGCCTATCTAACCGAATATGAAATCTGTGTCATAGTACAGTAAAGTTCATGTCAGCAGTGCTTTATTTAGCCTGCCTGAATATAGCTGGGAATATGGAAGGTGATACAGGAAGGCGTAGGATTCCAGTGCCTCTACAGCACTATGGGGACCCAGTTTAATTTCCCCTAAACCCCCATGGGTTCAAAGAGCGTCTTTGAAAAGTGCTGTTGTATAGGACAGAATTTATTACCACAGCCTTCTGGAAGATCCAGCTCAGTCCTTTTCGGAGGGACACACTTCAAATTGTTAAATCTGGGCCACACAGGTACAAACATGTACACACACACGTAATGTAATCTCTAAGATATGATGGTATTTCTCTGTTGTTTGAAGGGGGAGCTGAGTTAAAGTTGTCCCAACCAACACACTCTGCTTTGCAAAATTGCTTGTCCCTCCCTCACTGAGAGCAAAACACTCGACTAGATCACGACTCTTTGCTGTCCTTGCTCCGAAATGGTGGAACGAGCTCTTTAATGACAGCAGGACCGCAGAGAGCCTTCACATCTTCCTCCGCAAACTAAAGACACACCTCTTCAGACTCTACCTCGACTAAAAGACTAACAAATTGTAGCACTTAAATTGTACTTATAAGGGCACTTATCAATAGCAAATTGTAACTTGGCTTATTTGATGAAATCGCACTTTCTTGTTTCTTGCTTTTCTAAGTTTGTAGCCCTGTGGTTGAATGCACTTATTATAAGTCGCTTTGGATAAAAGGGTCAGCTAAATGACATGTAATATAATGTAATGTGTCTAGTGACCTTCATTCCTTCTTTTGGTATCATCACATTTTCATGTAGCCACATAAGATAAGATGATCTGTTATTATTGCAAACAAAAGACAAAGTAAAAAAAAAAGATTAAAACAAAAAAGATAACTATGCAGTAGCAAAGACAGAAAACAAGAATCCACAAAATGAAATATTAGACAGACGATGACTCCATAGATGATATTTTAAGTGTTTTGTCGTCTACTGGGAGCACAAAACACGTCAAGTCTTTGCCAACCTTCCCTACCTTGACAGACAGGCTGTGTGCCGCTCCAGGTGCCGTTGTGAAGGCAGGTCCTCTCGGCTGAGCCAATCAGACTGTATCCCGCCTCGCAGCTGAAACGCAGCAGGCTCTTGGTTTTAAATTCTTCCCCTCCCAGACGGGCACCATGGGGAGGCATCCCTGGGTCTCCACAGATTCCTGGACTTACCCCTGTGGGCGGGAAAAGAGACATCAAGTTAATGTACCAGACACAACAGTTATATGTGTACAACGCACTGATGCAACCAAGACACGTCCACAAGGAAATCCTGGGCACTCAACACATTTATTGTGAGTGAATATTATCATTTTGAGCCAAGAAGTAGTCCAACAATAAATGCGAGCATTTATTCTACAGTTTAACATCAATAGCTAAAGAGCCTTTCTAATGTTGCAGCACATGAACAAATATTTCACCTACTCTTTCATATCCACTGACACACATACTCATTTTTGCAAACTTGGTATAGCGGAATTTGTTTCTAGCAGTAAAAGCACAGAGCGTGTCACAAATTTTGAAGCTTAAAGTCCATCGGTAGGGATTTGTGAGTCTAAGAGGGTACGGCTCCAAATGCAGCGCCTTGCATCTCAATGAGGTCTTCAGCTGCAGGATGGATTCTGTCCTGCTGAGCGTTATGTTTTAAGGCCAGCGGAGTAAGCTTATTGCATTTCAGCTATTGAGACAGCTGATGCTGAGTTGGGAAACTATCATTTGTGGTTTTGTGTTGTGTATTAGCCTGGAGCAGCACTTACAACCTGAGAAGCAAACCAGGACTCTTCTGTCCTCGTTTCCCCTGCATGTTCCTTACATATCCAGCTCAAGCCAGTTTACATGCAGCAGACCTTGACATGGGTTTCTTGTAACACTTCTTCATTTTTCAAAAATATTTTTTGGAAAATATTCCAAAATTGTTTAAAACATTAAAGCTACAGTTTGTTTGTTTTGGCAGTGAGTATATTTAGTTTAGTTACTTTTCAACTACTGTAGGTAGTTTTTTGTAGCTTTCGTGGCTGGAGGAGTTTTCTCTCATGTTTAGTGATCTCTCGATACATATTTCCTTGTTAGTAGTCTCAGTACAGATGCCTTTAAACATTAAACAAGCCAGTACGGGAATATAGGACAAGGTAAAAGATTTATTTAAGATCGGCTATCGCACCCGCCGAAAAAACCTCTATGCATGCTTCTTTATGGACCAGTGGGCTTTTACCAGTGCAGTATGGTGGCGATGCACTCCATGTGCCGTCCTCCTGACAGTGGCGGGTAGTGTTGCCCACCAGCAGCCCTCCAGGCAGACAGGAGTACTGCAGCACTGAACTGTACGTCCAACTGTGGCTTCCAGTCACCACTGCATTGGGAGGCCCGCCCGGGTCGCCGCAGGAAATGGCTACAGAGAAAGTGAGAGATTGAGAGAGATTGTGTTAGCGTGTGGGACCAACTATAGATTCCAGATACTACAGCATTAGGTTGTGCAGCTCGGTCTCTGCAGGAGACAGTAAGAGAGTGGCAGCCAGGGAGGGGGTTGAATTATCAAGTGTCTTTTTGTGTGTGTGTGTGTGTGTGTGTGTGTGTGTGTGTGTGTGTGTGTGTGTGTGTGTGTGTGCGTGCGTGCACAAAGGAAAAAGAAAGACGGCTCCGGGAACTCAACCAAAGACGAAATTAAGTTTGTAATTTTATTTGGTTGGGGAGGCGAGGAAAAATACAGTTTTTAATCTTCTATTTTCCTTTTGTACTTTTATATCTAATTTCACACAGATCAGAAGACATTTCTTTACCTGTTACCAACGTGAATATTACAAAATAGGTTTCCCTCTTACCCGTTTTCATACTTTTCTTTTGCCATTTTTACTTTTATTTTATGTAGACAAGGAGCATAGGAGTGAGGGGAAGAGAGACAAGGCTATATGAGATGCACCAAGCTTGATTCAAGCTGGAGACCTTACAGTTATGTGGTATATACCTTAACCATTAGGCACGTGCTTTTTACCACAAATTATTAAATATAACTCTTACTGCTTGGCTTATGGCACTATATAGTCAAGCTTATTGAATGTACTGCCTGTAAGAGAACCAATAACTGTGTATAAATAGTTTCACTTCAACCTTTTACTTCAATGTAGTAAAAATCTACGTTTTACAGAGCACAGGTTTCTGGAGAACACAAACATGAAACTGCCTGTCATTTTCTATTTCTGCCAAATTACTGCTTCTCTGATACCTCCCCTTAACCCCGAATTGTATTACTCCAATGCTCGATGCACACAAACCTGCGTGTGTCTGCTCGTCTCTCCCTCTCCTATCTGTCTAGTTCTGAATTTTTCCTGTTACCATGTTCTTGTGCTGTCCTGTTGGCCTCTCTCTGCTCCTCTTACCATCTCTGAATCAGCCTTCCTCTCTCCACCGCTCTCCAGTTTAATCTCTACGTTGTTATCGCCCATTCTGGGTCTCTGACAAGAATTGCCCTGAAAAACACGTGCTTACCTTTTTTTTTTCAGAGCACACACTCAAATCTTTAAGCATTTTCTTTCAAACCCTTTTTAGGATTAGTTCCCTCCGATTTTCCCCCTTGAATCCTCTTTGATTCTCAGTTTCTCATTTGCTCCTCATCTACCTTCCAGTGGCTCTCCAAACCATTTCACTCTTCACATGGCTTTTCATCGCAAATACACAGAAGAAAATAAAACAGAAATGCTGCATGACTACAGAAACTGTTCAACTATGAACTACATGTCAATTTATTGCTCGTTCGGTCCCATCTTGTGACTCTTTTCTCCCCAACCTAATTTGTTTCTTTCCAGTCAAACAATTCTTGAAGTGCTTGCATTTGTCCATCCGCACCTAGGCAGCGAGGGATTGGCCGGTCCCACCGTCCATCATGCTGGCATGACAGGAGCGCAGAACCCAGTAGGTAGAAGCCTCGCTTACAGTGTATGGCCACGGTTACACCGTAGCTGAACACCTCCGGGTAACGTAGACCAGACTGGCGCACACCATTCTCCACATGGCCGGGGTCAGAACAGTTTACCACTGCAGAGGGAGGTGGGGGCGACAGAAGACATGGTTGGAACGTATTTAAATAGGTCTCATTGAAGGGAATGTTTCTAAACGTTTAGTTTAGCCAAGCGGTTTGCATGGATGTATGTGGATACAGGGCAGATCAGGAATAAAGACAGGACAATGCAAGACAAGAAAATAGAAGAGGAGGGAGAAGATGTGTTCACGGGCCGAGCAAACCAGATTGGATAGAAGGACTGCTCGCCCTAGAGAAACTTACATATCTAGTTAAAGGGAAATATAACATTTTGGAGCATTATGGAGTTCCTGGAGGGAGAAAATGCTGAAACCCTCTAGACTACTGTTTAGGGAGCATCCTATTTGTGGGGTATATTAAGTATCTATCCGTATCTGTATGTAAATCATACCACTGATATTTTGATTCAAAACATTTAAAAAACTTTCTGTACTTTCTGATATGTCTTGTTCTTTTTGTTTTTGTGGAAAAAACACTACAAATATTTGTGAAAAAAGAAAACTGAAAATAGAGAGCTTTCAATCTTTACAACCTCAGTAGAGGATTGTTGCATTGTAGCTTTTCTAAACAGTAACGCTACGCCCTGCACTTTTTTGCCATGGCTGAGGGCACACTTGTGGAAGCTGCTTCCTCCACGGTTTCTGCTGGTTGTATTTCAAATTCTACGGTCTGAGAGCTGCTGATCTCTACAGCTTTGCTTTGCCCCTTTGAGTTTGGGATCTTTACGTCGTGAATGGAATGTTTTCATTCCACTTGCCAATTGACTAAATCCCCAGAGCTCGTTCTATAACGACTCGTTCGGTATAAGCGGCGTTCCGCGGGGAGGGAGCTGACAGCGAGGACACCTGCACAAATGCGTACCTAATAACCAGGCCGCTCTCAGCTGATAAGACACCAGGTTCATCCTTCAATAACAGAACCACTGCTTTGTTCATTCTCAATGAGAAGGAAGGTTTATGGTGCCCTTCCTGCTCACCGACAGCCAACAAAACATCCTCCACGTTGTCCTGGGAGGGGGGGGGGGCGGACGTCGTTCTTCCCGAAAAAAAAACACCTCGACAAAAACCACCGTGTCACTGTGGTAACTGGACACAACACAGTAAAACCGTCGAGAGACACCTGATCATGCCGATACGACAGATGATGAAATACAGTTTAAACCTCAGTGTAAGGGACATAAACCGACTCAAACTCAGCGCCACTCGACAATTCCTCCAGCACACACTCACGTAAAATGGAAAGACAAGACATGAGAACACAAGAAAAGCCTAAATAACAGAACAGAAGACACTTTGTCTCCAAAATCAATCTCGGTTTGCATTTAAGTAAGCGTTGAATTTATATTTTGGACACGCATTACTTTCTCGCCATGCATTTTGTGATTGTTGGGGGAATGTGGTGTATATGTGCAGTGAATGCTACTTTTCTGCTGCATTATGGGAATATTTGAGGAAACTACACAGTGCTTAAATGTCATGCTCAGGAGGGAGCACTCGTGGCACTAAAATAATACTGTGTACAGTAAATATAGTGCACTATAAAGTCGGGGATGATTTCAGAGAGAGATGAATCAGACATGTGATGGAGCTGAAACTTTACAGAAACCAGGACACAGTTACCTACTACCTTTAGGGTAGTAAATCTTAGATCACAGTGCTGAAAAATCATATCATTGTTACTCTGCCCAGGTCATCTCCAAACTCCTGCAGGTCTGTTTTCTGTAGTTCTTTGTTGTTCTCTCACCCCTACGGTCCCTCCTGTACTGCTCTGCTCTCTGGGTGGATGCCAGTCAAATAAAAGCAAAGTTTTATTTTCCACATGTCACAGGGGAGACTGACATTCACTCAAATTCAAGTCCATTGGGGATATGCAAGTGTGTGTGTGTGTGTGTGTGTAGCATCCTATGGGAACAAAGAAAGTTTCAGTCTCGTAATTGACAGCTCCTGCTGGTAGGAAGAAAGCGGGAGAGGAGAATGCACCCGAGAAAGGCAGCGAGACACAGAAAACAAGAAAGAGAGTTGAATGGATCCGCACTCAGGGTTGTGCACAAAGCCTGTGCGTCTTAGTATATCGTAACGGTTACACCAGCAGAGGTCTGAAAAGGCTTGTAGTGGAACGACCACGCCTGGTTAGCAGAGTAGAAGACTGATTCTCTGGACGTGTACCCAGCTGTGTGTGTGGACCTATAAATCTGTATAAATGTATTTAAACACAATGAGAGTGGGTGAATTGTTAAGAGTGCTACAATTACTTAGTTCTCAATAAATCTGGAGGCAGATTTGGCCAAAATGTTCCACCCATATGCCGACCATATCGAGTACATCGTTTTCTGGTGTTAAGCTGACATGGGTATACATTAGTAATAGGGGTGTGACGATTCATTCACTGAATCGATTAATTGATTTATATTCCTGCGATCCAACTGAATCGATCTGTGCTCCGCAAATCGGCATTCCAGACGACATATATCGATTACAAATTGATTGAAATGGTACATAATCGATTGTATCGATACTACGGCACATTGGATTTAAGTAAAAAAACGGCATGGATGTGTGTTTGTTTGTTTGTTTTTTAGCACTTTAGACAGGTTAAACGTTACTCGATTCAGTCTGCCTGTGACGTCATCAGTACGCAGCGGCAGCCGCGCGAAACTCGGAACAACAACAAAACACAGCGTGTGGAAACATTTTGGCTTTTGCAAACACGGAGGTGTTCTGAATAAGTCGGTCGCTGTTTGTAGAATATGTAGAAGCCAAATAAAAAAACACGGAAACACGAATAATCTTTCCGGCCATCTACTGAGGCGCCATGGGATTAAACAACGCCGACAGTCAGGACCTCTAGCAGCGTTACCGCTGCAGCAGCAGCAGAAGGTAACTCCAGCTCTGCAGACACCTCAGGGCCCGCCTGCACCAAACTCAACATCACAGTAACAATTGCCAAGTTTATCTGTAAAGACATGCGACCCTACAATGAGGTTGAAAATCCGGGGTTCTGTAAATTGATCCAAACATTGTGTAATTATTGTGTAATGTTTACATTGAAAATGGTTGCACAATAAAAGGTTAATACATTTGCCATCAATTGTTGTTTGATGGTTTATAATATCCATAATTAATTTAAACGTGATTTCCTTACAAGAAACAACAGGGATCTCAGATACTTTGCCTACACTGTCCAGTAAAGTTACTGAATCGATTTCAAGTCACTGAATCGAATCGAATCGTTCTAAATTAACCCAGATCGTCCATGAATCGAATCGGCAACCATGAATCGTGATTTTGAAACGTTGTTAAAATGAATCGTTACACCCCTAATTATTAAGCATATATACAGGTTTGTGACCTTTGCAGACAGGTAGTGGGCTGCTCCACTGTCCGTTGAGGCGGCACTGAGCCCGAGCGTTTCCACCGAGGATGTAACCCTTGTTACAGGTGAAGTTGACAACATCATTGAGGTTGAACTCGCTGCCGTTGGTCCGTCCGTTGCCGGGGTTGCCGGGGTGACCACAAGTGATAGCTGAGGGAGTAGAGAGAAACAAGGAGAACTTTGGACTAAAAGAACTGTTTCTACTCCAAAAGGAGCCTGAGCATTTATTTTCAGACAATTGTATTGATTTACTACAAATAGGAATACTTACTGCTAATACAATGCATGTAAGCTGCAATGATATTGGTATCATAAGAACTTACGGACACAGACGGGTGTTGTTCCAGACCACCGATGGTCTTGCTGACAGATCCTGACTGATGTGCCGATTAGACGATATCCCAACATGCACTGGTACACCACTGTGTCTCGGTAACTAGAGCCATCTCCACTAATGTGCCCATTGACTATTGGATCTGGAGAGTCACAGTGACCAGCTGTGAAGAAAAATTACAGCGATTATTGCAGTATAATGAAGAACAACTTGAAGTCACTTTCCCTATTTTCTGCTATTGAGTCACCAGAGCGGGTCTTATTTTGCTACACTGTTGCTCATCGCCCCGTGAGACTAAAAAACAATGTCACAGAGCTGTGTCAGTAGTTCATCAGTTGCAAGAGTGCATCTACAAATCAATGTTCAAAGATAACACAGCTCCAAAACTGCATTAAAGGTCTGTTCAAATTAGAACACTAGCGCGATTTTTTTGAGTTCCCCTAATTGGCTTTGAAGGGTCACTTCCTCGGTTCATGCTTCTGTCCCTCAAAAACTCAATGACTAAAGCCAGTAGCTTTTCATTTATTGGCCATTTAAATTGTTTCTTGCTTGATTCATTTGAAAACAAGGAGAGTACTGTATATAATGCAATTATCCTTCTCAACACTATCTTCTCAAAACCGTTATTACAGATGCCGGATTTTATAAAACCACTAAGATATAAAATTGGTCTTATCTTGAAAACCCAAACTGCTGATTGCAATAAAGATGTTGAGGGATTTTGTACATGAAATTGTGATTAATTGTGTCATCTATATTTGCGCCTCCTGAACACGCGGAGGAATGTGTAAAAGTGCTAGAGGTTACACACTGCAAATTATAGCTTTCCAAATAGTGAGGAACAGATGTTTTGCATATTTTAGAGAGAGACTTCAATTAGTTTAATTAAAAACAGAATTCCATAAGATGATTGTATCATAATAAGTGTTCCATTGTAATGACTATTTTATTATAATTGTTTCATTTCAAAACAATTGTGATTTATATTTATGCCAAAAAAAACCCACCTCATCAGACTTTAAACATCTCAAACTATCATGGTTAGTCACTTAATAATTAATAATAAAATATGAATATTTAATAACATGACTAATACATTCATCACATAAAAAAAGAATCTGTGTAAGGTTCCTTATTCAAGCATGTAGCTCCAAGGCTTAATCATTGGAGTGGAGTGTGTACAGTATGCACGATCATGATTAATAATCCCTGGTCAGTGCTTACTGAAGATCTAAATCAAGGCCTTAATGTATTCAGAAATGAAATATCTTAGCAGTAGATCATTTGAGTTACTGAGGCATTTGCATAGTCTATCTTACTTCTAATTTTCATAGACCTTACCCAGACACCTGCGGCATTCCCATGCATCAATACAGCTTAGGTTTGAAATTTACATGTTTAAACATTTTTATTTCCATGACGCAATTCATGCACACAATTTAGCCGATCAGCAGCCATGGTAGGGCTGGTCCCAGGCTGCGCTCTGGTCATGGCGACTCTCGCCAGGCCGTTTTAATGCCAATGGCGAGAACGAGGTATTCTTCCAAGAAGACTCGACCCGAATTCTGTAAAATCTCTCTTCCAAAACCCGTTTGGGAGAAGAACTTTGACGGAGAAACTAGAGGTAAAACAACTGGACCCTGATGAACCGGACCTCACAATCAGACAACGGACTGGCACGAAAGGGAAGCTGCATATACAAAGCTTTTGAAGAGACTGCTACACTGCATTGTACAGTGACACCACAACTTACAGGAGACAAATAGCAATATTAAATCTCATATGCATTTGTAATTCTGTACATATCGTCTTCTAAATTTGCATTACACTGTCTTTGTCTTGGGGGCTATATTGCATATAATTAATTACAGAAGCCAGTCTTACTGTATTTAATAAAAATACAAAAACAACAGAGTTAATGAGTGCTTTTAATGACAACTTGCCTAAATTAATTTCCCCAATAATGTGGCCTCTCTTTTGTGGTTAATGACTTTTACCATATTTAATTGATTTGGATATTTGACAGCCAAAGTGTCATCGAGAAAGACCACAACACATTGAACAACCATATTTTAAGCACATTTTAAAGAACCTTACCTAAACACCTGGTCTCTGCACCACTCCACAGCCCGTTAGCACCGCATTCTCTGACATGTGACCCCACCAGCGTGTAACCATGGTTGCACATAAAAATCGCAGTTGCTCCAAATGTGGTCAATGTTCCCAGTTTGCTCCCAAAGGGTGGAGACGGAAGATCCCCACAGGAGATGACTAAATGAAACAAATAAACACTGTGGTGTTACTGGTATTGTTACATTTTCTGTGTTTCCAAAAATCTTAATATGAAGTGGTTGATATTTCCAAATCTTCATAGTGTTTCTAAAGGTAGAATAACTTCTCTAACTTCATGAGAGTCTTGTCCCACGTTAAGTCTCTAAGTGTCCTTTATTTTTATACAGCAGTGTTGCTGTGCTTCTAAAGACAATTTACACCACATCGTCCCGTCCTTCTAAATGTAAGTAAAGACTGTAGGTTACACTGGAGTTAAGGATTTTAGGTGAAAGGCTTATGCTCCTAAATGAACAGTTTTACTTATACATGGCTGAGAACGCTAAAATGAATGATAACTCATTTCTGGCAGGTTGTGGCAGCAAACGCGATGCAGTTTTATTCTTTTGAAATTTGTCTTTCCCACGTGAAACACAACACATGTGCCTTTGTGACTGTCTGAGTGATTGTATGAGGTTTCTTTTCTATCCCGAGGTTTATATGTCGTCATCTGTGCCTGAGCGTTGCTGATATCACTAACTAACATGACATCACACGGCAAAATTACCTGTGTAGTTTAGATCAGAAAGAGAGTGTTTCTATCAACTATTTCATATTCAGGGGAATATGTGTAACCAGTATAATGGGAATCTCTTGTAATACAATTCTAGGCCCTGAGTCGGCGTGGACTCATAAATAGTTATATGTCATCTAGAGTGCTGGGGGAGGTAAACAAGCGCACAAAACATAATATCATCATGTAGTTTTATTATCCTGTTAGAGGGCAAGGGGTTAGATTATGGGACATTCGCTGTTAAGATGTATTCTGCAATGGAAAGACTATACTTACTCTTGCACGTAGCTAGGTCATCTGACCCCTCCCAGGTCCCGTTGGCAAGGCAGCGAAGAGTTCGATGCCCTACGCCCAAATAGTACCCTGTCGCGCATTCCAGCATCAACATAGAACCAAACTCTTCCAAACTGCCAGAGAGCAGCCGAGAGGTCATCTGATCCGACAAGGTGCCATCTGTGCTGGGGCAGTGGAGAGCTGAGAGACAACGATTAATCATATTGCAATTAAACGGAACATTGAATTACGGTCTTCAAGCTTTATTTGTGTCGTTAATCACAAGATATTGACTGCCGTAAGGTCAGCATATATACAACACTAAATAACACATGAGCCTAATGTGTGATTTACCAATCATTGAATCAAAAGATCTATAATCTTATCGTATGTATAGGTGATGTCACCAGAATGTATCTGGCTGTAGTACACATTTTCTGAATGAATGACTTTTTACACAATATACCAATTGTATATCAATCACTCAAACAACATCTCTCTGTAAACAACATCTACACAACAGACAGTGAAATGTAGCTCTTGCTTTTAGTATTAGGAAAGAATGCAGCTACTGTACAGCACACAAGGAACTGTTTAGGGGTCCAGTGGCTTGCTCAAGGGCAGGTTTTCCTCAATAATTCAAGGCAATACATTGTTTTAGTGAACTCCTTTCATAAACTTACGAAGGCATCTGGGTGCAATGGCAGCATTACTCCAGCTCCCTTCTTCCAAACACACGGCTGTCGTTTGAACATTAGGGTCCAGGTGGAAACCTTGGTTGCAGTGATAGGTGATTTGGCTACCCACAGTGTACTGGTTAGCATGGAAGCTGCCATTGCCCGGGGACTGAGGGATTCCACACGAGACAGCTGCAACATCACAAAGACACAAAAGTTTATGTTCATTTCCTCTTAAACACAAACAGCTGTAATACTTGTCCAATTGTTTGTGAAGAACGTATTCCGTATTTTACCTTGACAAAAAGGTGGTGGAGTATCCCACTGGAAGAGTCCGTTTGGGTGGAGCCGGCAGGTGGCATTGCTTGAGCCTATCATCCGGTAACCACGGTTACAGTAGAACTGAAGTCTGCTACCTGGCCGCAGTCTGGTTCGGTTGATAACGCCGCCATTCACAGGAGGATCATTAATGCTACAGTAGGCAGCTGAAAAGACGGAGTGACAAAGACAAGTATTTATCTGTGTTTTCACTTCACAGAAAACTGCCAATTACCATTCTATTTAATTTTCTATGCAGAAAATAATTAGCACGATAGACAAATTAAGTTGGCTCCTTAGGATTTTTTTAGTGAAAAAAAGACACGCCAAGAATGAATATGGAAAGAATAGCACAACGGCTGGAGCTTGGATAAAACGGCACAATCTCCCTTTTGTCAGGACGCAGGAGTCACTGTCATTTTGAATACAAAGTACGTTATTTCTCCTTCTCGAGTCATGTGGCTTTTATATTGCTCACACCAACTACTAAAAAAATATCTATTCTATGGCGATTAAATATCTACTAAGGGGATGAAGGGGCATTCTTATCCTGAATGTTTATTATTCTTAGAAAGGGTCAAAAACTCCTCCTGGATGTTAGAATACGACCTCACATGATCTCACAGTATCCGCATCAGAGGAGCAGCTGTTTTTTTATGAAAATTTACTTGGATTGTCGGTGTTGAAATTACTTCCTTTCCAGTCAACAGGAAACATAGAATTTGAATTCCTAACTGTTCATGTGAGTGCACATGTGCAGTGGAATGTGGTATTCTGGAAAATCAAACGATAGTGTTGCAGGAAATAGGACAAGGCCAAGACAAAGAATGACACATGTGATGTTGGGACATATTATAGTATATAATTTACTTATACCATAGTCACAAACCAAAGAAACCAAGATGGTTTAATTTACTCACTATTAGTTAAAACAAAGCTCAAAGCATCAGTGCTGTTGCTATGGTTACACAGCTTCATCTGAAGGCCTTGAGCTGCTCAATAGTCCAGTCAACATGACTGCTTATCTAGTTCCATTTGTTCGACTAAAAAAACAGGCCCGTGTTATAGCTCACTGATATGCAAAATATGCAAACTAGATCAACAACGGGTCAACACAACGCCTGTATTTATAATTAAACTGAATACATGTTTTTCCACACTCAATGACAGTTACCAAATATGTTTCTCTGAGATGCTCACAATCGTGTTTGTTTCGGCTTTGGTTTCATCTGAATTAGCTTTAGCGGACTGAAAGAAAACCCCCCAAAAATGAATGATAATTCATTCATTCAATGATAATACTACACATACCGACTTAACACTTAACTCCCACAGTAGTTTACACTAAGTCAGGCACCTCGGACACAATCAAGAAGCAAATGAAAAAAGAGAAAGAAATACAGAGGAAAGACTGAGATAGAAAGAGTGGAATCACGAGTGGAATGCTCATTTGATGAGGCTATTGCTACTTTCGGAAAGGTCAGTGAATATATAAACATGATACCATTAAGAACATGCCTCCGAGCTCATTTCTCAGCTAAACGATACGTAAAGAACTATTAGGAAAATGCTGCAGTTATTTTTTACTGCACAAACCGTATGCAACTAATTACTGCCAGTCTGGATCCTCGCAGACGTGATAAATTCCCTTAACTCACTGCATTCCTAAAACCAAGTCTTCATCCTAAAATAGCCGCTCGATAAAGAATTACGTGTTAAACTTTGAGCAAATGGGGTGGCACAGTGGCGTGGTGGTTAGCACTGTTGCCTCACAGCAAGAAGGTCCTGGGTTCGACTCTGCCCAGTGGCCTTTCTGTGTGGAGTCTGCATGTTCTCTCCGTGTCTGCGTGGGTTCTCTCCGTGTCTGCGTGGGTTCTCTCCGGGTTCTCCGGCTTCCTCTCACAGTCCAAAGATATGCTCTGGGGATCAGGTTAATTGGGGACTTTAAATTGCCCGTGAATGTGAGTGTGTCTCTGCGTTAGCCCTGCGATTGGCTGGCGACCAGTCCAGGGTGTACCCTGTCTATCGCCCAAAGTTGGCTGGAATGGACTCCAGCCCCCCCGCGACCCTGTGTGCAGGATAAGCGGTTTGACGATGGATGGATGGACTTTGAGAAAATTACATATGTACACATGTATAATATATATTCTTTAACATAAAGGTCACCGGAGAACTTCCAACAACATATTATTGTTCTCTGTATAGCTGTCAATGTCAGGGGAACAAACAATACTATAACTATGGCGACTGTGCTGATATTACTCAAATAGTAAAATGTATCAGACTTTTTTTTCCGTAAAGCAAGCAAATCTCAAGTCTAAACAGGATTAGGATTAGTCCCATTGTCTTTCAATGAATGGAATTGGTGGTCATATTCCACAAATTCTTTAAAAATTAAATACTTGAATTGAAGAGAAGCTAAAAATCTCAAAATCCTCATTCAACAAAGCTAACAATCAGAGAACCACAGCATTGGCAAGAACCTGCAGATGAATACAAATAAAATACTATTAAACACAGTGAATCAAATGAAATAATCAAAGCTCAGATGGAACATTTGGATGCCACATGGGGGTGTAACCCCGAGCTAATGCGCTGGATATGCAGCTCGTTCTCGTTCCCTGGTCCAACACCTCTGCTTTCTTACCCACCTCATATCAATCAGAAGTAGAGTTTAATGTTCTTATTGTCACTAATGCTGGTCCCTCTCTTCATTTTCTTCCCTCAAAATCTTTTGCACACTTATCAATTCAAGGAGGAGTAAAAACCATACCTTTAACAAATAGGAAGATAACTGGTGTTTTGAATTTGCATATATTATACTAACATAACATAACCAGCCAATAAACAGAGCGTTGAACAACATTTTCTTTCACTGAAAGTGATAGACTGGATGTACCTGAGTATCGTATCTTGAATCCTCTCTTGTTGGTTGCATGGTCCGTGGACCATCGCAGGTAGAGCTGGTTGGTTTTAGATGTGAAGTTCAGCTGAGATGAGTGATTACCACTTAGTGCGACAAGCAAAGGGCTTTGCCCCGAGGATCCTGCAGGATAAAAGGAGTGAGGCTTCAGATATGTGGAGAGCACACTGCATATGTGTATGTTCTCATGTAAAAGCATAAATTAACAGTATTTTTTAGATTCCAGTAAATCTGAGACTGATGCGAACATAATGCTGCAGTCAGAATGTGTATTATTGTTTCTGTGACATACGGCACATGAAGTTTGACAGCATCATAAGTAGCTAAGTAGCTCTAAATTACATGTCGAACATGATTATAATGACATTGAGGCACATAGCTTTATCTAAGGTTTAAGCTGACGTCAAGTAGTGGATGGAGGCTAAAGAAATATGTTTATAAAAATGAATAAATAAAGAAGAATGAAGTGAAATTACACACCTGCACACACACACACCCACACACAATCTCATCTGCTCACTTTCAAATGTACTGCTACACAAGCTAGTTGGAACCCCTGCAGGGAAAAATCCCAACATTGCAAATTAGAAGTAAGTGTTGTGCATCTTATTAACTGTTGTGCTACTTTTCATAAACAAACATGAATTAAAGCTGCATGTGTATGCGTTGGTGTGTCTGTGTACCAAACAAAGGAGTAGCGAAAAAAAACCAAACAGAGCTGAAGCTTTGTGTACCATCAAAAATCTCCAGTTCATCAAACTGTTTCTCGCTGTGGAACATCTCTACATAGATGTTGATGGTGTAACCTGGAAAACAACAAAAAATATTTACAAACACGTCCAAAAACCTGAAATATACAATATAAAGTATACTTTCAAATCCCTGAAACTTAAGCATAGAGTTCCATGAATCACATTTTAAAACTCCGCAAAAAACATACAGCTCTACACAACTCGTTGCATCTGCTCATCACACACTTTACCTGGAAGTATGTGTAGCAGCCAGGAGCATGTCTGGCTGTTGGGATAGTTACTTGGGAACCCGGGGCTCAGTATCACTCCTGATGACAAAGGCCGCTCCTCATTGGCTGGGCACTGGGCTGAAGGGTTAAGAAACAAGACAAATTGGAAGCATGTTGCATGTTCTCGAACAAGAAAGCGGGTTTTCTTTGCTGCAGCTTCAGAGCAGAAAGGACACTCTGTTCATGGCACATGATGGTGAAGGCTGAACGTCTCTTCAACACAAAAAAAATGATATCTTGAGAAAATTTGGAATATATATCAAGTTGTCTCATTGAAATTCCTAGCGCTGCAACCATCACGTCCAAGTGTCAATTTATGCTGCTGACTGAGAATATAAAATGCATTTTCCCTAACGTCTCGCACGTCTTAAAATGAAAAATGAAACGCATGCCACAATCAACTGCTGTACTACCAAAGAGAAGGATTCAATAAATTTTGATTTATAGGGTGATGAGGAGTGGATTGAGTTTTAAGTTTTCATCCAACATGTTTAACATACAACTGTAAGACTGTCAATGAGATTACAGTTCTGCTGATTTTTAAAACGTTGATTCTCCTTCCCAAAAACAAAAATATTAGCAAAGGGTTTTCATTTATTGACTCTCCTGCATAAAATACCTTTCTGGTAGTGGAATGTCATAGAAGCAACAGCAAATGTACATGTACTTCAACACCATTAGAAACTAATGCAGCTCATTTCACTTACGCTTGCTTTTCCCTCTCTGACCTGTCTAAACGTGTGTGTCTCTTTTATGTCTTATGCAAGTTGAGACAACATTTGTAGAATATTTTGGTTCTGTAAATTAAGGTTTTTGGATAGTTTTCCATAAAGAGATCTTTTTAAAAGGCATGACAGTTAGTTACCACCATACAGTAATGGGGTGTAACACATTCAAACTTAAATCTCGCTGAAAATGTACTCCAGACTGATGAGATAAAAATACCTTCATCTACAAGGATGATAATCATCAGGTTATAAGATTTACTGTCTATGAACACTTTGGAACACGGGTGAAGATGTGATCCGTTTTTTAAAGCTGGAGGATATATTTTCAAGACTGGCAAAGGGGATCTCCATGAATTTCACAGCTCAATATCAGCTTACTATTCATGTGGAGAATCTTTAAGCCTGTAAAAAAGCTGAATGATAAAATGTCTCGTGGCTCTGGTAAAAACCTTGCAAATAAAAACAAGGGCCTGGAAACATGTGGGTTTTTATCTGCATGAGAGGGTCTAACGGAAATATTTATATGCAAAGTGCAGGATCCAAATGTTTTAGATTTTATTTAAATATTTGGATGTTTCACCCTGTATTGATTTATATAAAGCCATGCAATATTTTGTCCATTTGGGCACTCCGGAGTGGCCTCACCTTGACACGTGGGGGCCGGGGCTTCAAAAAGCAAATGGGAATTGAGTCTACACATTAGCTCCGCCTTTCCGACCAATGTGTATCCAGGCAAACAGCGGTACTTCACAATATCCCCTGACACAGGAGAATAAGGATAAACACATTAGGTCATCACACGTTACACATGGAACAAAGGTTTCTGCAGAGCAGAGTCTTGATGATATTTGATGTGTATTGAAACACTTGCTTATATTATTGACGTATCTGGTATGAGTGACGTACTTGGTATGAAAGACAGAACAAAGTTCAGCTTTAGCAGCAGTGGGTGCATTGCCGCTCAAAAAACGTATTTTTTGTCCGTGCTTGTGCTACATTTCTAACAGCGAAAAGGAAAATCCAAAATATGAGTGGATAGGATGTTAGAGTTAATAAGGTAAACAAGCACATCTGAATAAACGTGTGCTTGGATTTGGGAAGGTGTAGGCTTACATTAAAATTTGAAAATATTCTTTTCATTGCCGTTTTTATAATCTATTTAGTTTTTTTATCAGACATGGGCACAATTTGACAGGCTGAATGTATGGCAAAGGGTTGGCGATCCGCCGGCTTTGCTTGGGCCCAGACCAGAGCGGTCCACTCCAATTTTGTCTGATATCCAACTGACAGGAAGGTGTAATGCTGAATCTTGTGGGGAGGCACACGGTATTTAAGCCCACTCACAGTGTAAACTTTAAATCGTTTAACAGAACAAACAAGGACATTCGCCGCTTTCTTGAACTTGTTCAAAGATTGTTTAAATGTCTATTAGACTGACCTACAGCAAAGCCGTCTCTTAAGTACTCCATTCTGCCAGGATTTGAGAATGTAAAAGTCTCAGAATAAATGATCTGGCGGGCTTGGGAAATTGCTTTGTGTGATTATCTCAAAAAAGCTCCCTTTGGTCTTTACTCTGTCACAGATAATGGCTTCACTCTTGCTGTGAGGAGGCGCAACCTGACGCCGCTGTGGTGTAATTATTTGACGTCATCTTCATAAATGGCCGCTGTGGTGTAGCCATTCTTTGAATCACTGTTTTATGTCTTTCTTCTGTTAGAAACATTATATCTTACTATCCCGGGATTTGAACGATGCATTTTAAACGTGTCATCAAAGGGTCGGAAACTAAGGATTGTAGAATTCAACAAACATTGAATTCATAGAAAGTTGACATTTCAAAATGTGAGTTTTCTGCAGAGAGATGGTTGTATGGTTTGACAGGAGCAACAAAGCTCTGCAACCCTTACTATATATGTACTATACAGTATATGTACAGTAGAGATGCTCACATAGTGGAAGCCTAAATGGATTTTACTCATAGCAAGGACCTCAACACCACAAATAAAGCCAAAAATAGAATTAACAGTCAAAGATTAATTATAATTTACATTAGCCTGCTATGGTTAGATCACGCATGTCCTTTACACAGTAATGTGTCCCATTAGTAGGGTAATTTAGAGTTATTTCCACTCAGCTGAATAAGGACCTCATAAAAGACTAATGAGATTACCAGTTCTGTCACAAGAGTGAAAATATGTTTGTATTTTGGAGAATGTAGAACATTATTTGTTTGAGAAAAGAAACAGACATGCACGTTCAGTATTAGTTTCTGCATTTGAGACTGCAGCTCTTATTCACTTATAGTAAGATCTTGTCAACCAATGTTTTACAGTATCGAAGGGTTATGTTATTAGTAACCAGGATAATTACCTATCTGGAAGTCTTGATCTTCATAGATCACCTCTGCATTCTCCACAACAGGGGGAGGAGGGCATTTCTTCAGACGGTAGGCTGGCAAGAGGTGAGAAAAAATTTCAAAAAACATAACATATATTTATCTATATCATATTACAACTGTAGTTTTTAGAGCAGCAACAGCAGTGTTTTCAACTGCAAAAATAAAATGCCTGAGTGAAGTTGTTAAAGAATAAAGAACTCAAACATATGATGACGTGTCAGTCGATTCTCCTGTTCTCTGTCTTCCTTGTTCCAAGCAGCAAAACAGTTAACAACAAAAATAATTGGCAAATCTTGCATGTTGTGCTCGTGTCAACTAGCTGTGGTGATGTGACTGTGCTGCAGGTTTGCAGACTCTATTGAAGGCGACCTGCTCCCTACGTAGATATTAATGCACTTTGAGTCGTAGTTTTAAGTGATTATACAGTGATAGAAAATATATTCATAAATTATATATTAAATATCTACCAATTAATCCCTTTAATCTTTCAAACAGTTCCTTTAATTCACAAGTGGGCATCAGGGTCAAACACCGCAGATCATCAGAACCACTTTAGCAGTGAACACGTACAACAATAATAGGTTTCAATCAGTTAAACTCTCAAAATGAGATTGCGTTTTTCTACTAATCGAGAAAAACTAATTTCAAATCAAATCTTTAAAATGTGATAATTTCTTTCTTAAGCAAAACAATACATTGGCCATTCCAAACTGAAAAAGGCAGCCATTATTTACAGTAATATCCTAAACTGTCAACCATAGACAGAGGTGCTGATAGCTTGTGTGGATGTTTACCTCAGTAGAAGAAGAAGATGAGAAGAAAAATAGCAAATGGTTTTACCCTTTCTTACTGGGACTGTATACTTGCAACAAAAGCTACAATGATTCCTCAAAAAGCAGGAAAAAAGCACATCACTCAAAGGCATAAGATGGAGCTCTTAAGAGACATGACCTGGTCTATTTGTACAAATATAGAATAGTGGAGTAATATCGAACACAGAAATATGGAAAAGAGTGTAAGAACCATCTGTCTCTCTTTTTCTCGTCTCTTAGTAAGGACCCTTACCCCGACCTCAACTATTTACCGGTTATGGAACAGGTTGTTGAACTGCAAAGCACTAGCCACACTTACACCAAAACTAAATCAATAAGAAAATCGGATTTGATATTCGCAAACACAGATGACGTTACGTGGAATTAGGTTTTAGAAGGCAGTGAAAAAAGAACTTGATTCTTTGTATATCCGTCCCTCAACCCGAGTGTCCACATGTGACTAACTGAATCTAGTGTTTTGTATATGATGAACGCATTTATACGAACACAGTTACACCACAGGTAAAAGTGTACGTGAGTGTGTGTCTGCACCATGAAAGTTGAGAATGAAGAATCCTCCAGTTGAGAAGTCAGAGTGAAAGCGGATCCGGACCTTCGGGCTGGTGCTGTAGGCCGACTCTAATGCCGTGTTTCCACTGAACACTCCCAGTTGAGGACTGGACGTATCTGGGCCATCCCTAAATACAAAGAGACAATGAAGACAACTGACATGCTTTGACTTGGACGCACCATGCATTTTAACAACTGAAGCAGAGGGAGGAGGAGGGACAGAAGAACAAACAAAAAGATAACTGTATACAATGAAGAGTTAACTGATTTAATTTTACTCCTGAAATAAAAATACAAATTTTACATTCTGACCAAAACCTTTCTACAATAGGTATTTAAGATTACAAGACTGTCTTTCAATATGCACAGAAAATTGGGGGATGCTTTACTGTAGAGTATGTTTAAAAATGCTCATGTACTAATAATACTAGAATACGTTTAAAAAGTACGGATTAGAACAAATTATACAAAAGGATAGTATCGTAAAATAAATCATGAGAAAAAAGTGATCGCAAATAGTCTTTTGATGATTCCAGAGTGACGGGAAAATGTGCTCATGAAACAAATAATCAATGAGCGATAAAAAAAGACCTGATTCGAGAACTAGTCGACTATGGAACAGACTCGACCAATCAGATTTAACTATGCAAATTCCTTATTGGGAACACCTCTACTTATAATTATTCAAAAAATTGGATGAAATATTATGATTTAAAAAGTATATATTATGTTCTATTGCAAAATGAATCTTGCATTTGCCTGCAAAATGATTTTGGCCGATACGAAATAAAGTTCAATTGAAATGGCAACTAGTTTTTCTCTTTGCGTTGTCTTGTTTTACTTATTTGAAAAAAGCTCATTGAACAAGTTCTTAGGATTAAAGGCTCAATTTAACTCATTAAATAATGAATGTTGCTGACATTTTTTTCTTTAAAAAGTTCCTAAATGTTCAGTTTTAGATTTTTACTGAAAATGCCATTAGAGTGTTTTTAACATTTTATTCATGACAAGTGCCTGAGATCTCTTGGCTCCTCAATAATTGAAAGCCTCCTTGAGGTGTTTCAGCTCCTTTGGAGTATCAAAATGTTCTATTTGGTGTGGCTTAATCTTTATTCTTTACCTCACCGAAAAATACACAAGCCCGATTAAGCAGATCCTGTGTCTCTCGTGTGTGTGTGAGTATGCATGTATAAATATAAATCACACATGCAAACACATACACGTATCAGGGACTGGCTGACATGGGCAGGACACATTCAAAGTGAGCCTTATCTTTGGAAATGAAGATTTAAAAGTTTGATTTATCTATCGCCGAAAGATGATTGACTCAAGCAGCTGGTATACAGTGCACAAGTCGGAAGACACGCATCACAGAGTTCTGGAATATGGAGGACATTGTGATGAAAGACGTTCGTTACGAGTTTGATTAATGAGTAACCTGAACACAAAGACTGGTGGAGGTGAAAAATCAGCCTAACCACTGAAAGCAGGAGAATGAATGATTAGAAAAATTTAAGCTTTGTAAGATTTACCTAAATTACCTTTTTTAACAGGGGGTGGGGGGACTAAAGTCAGCGGCTACTGATGACTTGATTGTTTGATTTTGATGCTCAGCTTGAACTAAATAAATTACATTTAAAAATCCCCCCTCTCCTCATATAATTAATAGAAATTATGCTCAAATCAAATTAACACAGCAGTTCATGCAGATTCTACTGTGTGTCCTTTTTAACACCTTAATTCGGGAACCCAAAAGTCAAATTTTCAAATTATGACAAAAGCAATGAGCAGGATCTCAAACTTGTCAGCTATCTTGATTTTACAGTTTACGGCGTATGCACAATATAACATATATCCCCATTGATGTAGAAGGCAACCAGCTATTATCTAAAGTAGATACTGTGTTAGATAGTGTGTGTGAAGATGCTACCCCACCGCCTCCGAGCGAAGCACTCTCCAACATTTTTGGAGAAGGTGTTAGAGAAGGATGTAGTGAGATGGAAAAGTGGAAGTGCGTCATTTAGGCAATAACCTCAGATGTCTTCTAGGAGTCTACAATCCAGCAATATGATTTCAGAATTTTGTTGCCCGTAAAAAAATCGTCAAGAACATTCAAATCACCAAAATCATTTCGAAACAGCAAAATAACCTTCTGCAGAGCAATATCAGCGGCTCGTGTGGCTCCTGAGATTGACATTGAGTAATCCCAGTGGGATTGAATTACTTTCCCTCAGCCGGCATTTCAACTACTCAACCCTCACAGCTTGACTTTTGAGTCTGATAAAAGAAGCCTAAACACCCAAACATCAAACTGTTATTTTCTAAACAAAACGAAACCAACACCCAACAATATGAGTGCCCAAATCCTACTTGATTTCAATGCTCCTTATTAAAAATGATCCATTTTATTCTGTTTGTACCGTACTGAAACTCTTAGTTGAGAAATGTCAGACCGTGACGATTCCTGTTGGATTTGTGAACCAGGCTCCACTGCTCCTTCCATTAGATTTCCCACCCCCCAATGAATTTCATCATTACTGCAACAGGTCCCAAGCTCTCACGCTCTGTGTATGGCCGTGGTACTGAGTTAGATCGAATTGGTCAGTGGTCCCATTGTAAATGCATTACTCTCACACTCCCTTTCACATTCTTACCCCCACACTGAATCCAATACTACTGCAGTACTACTTGATGTATGCATAGCACAGAGTGTGCGTGTATGTGTTAGGAGTCTATGGAGTTGTGATCCCTGTGTACAGTATGATGAAGTCATAAACAATCGACACACGGGCAAGACTATAAATAAATATGAATGAAATACCAGGAATAAGGTTATCATCAATAAAATACATCCCAGTAAGTCAGTGGGACAGAAAGTGTACACACTTGAGCGGGAGAGAGGAAGAAAGAGATGAGAAAAAAAAAATTTGAATCAAAAGTTGATTCAACTTCTTATTTGTGTGCTGAGCAGATACAGAATATAAGTATAATTCAAGACTTACCTGTCAGTGATGCCACGGATGAAGGGCAGCTTCGAAAAGAAGCTTAAGCATTTTTGTGTGTGTGTGTGTGTCCGTAAGTTCAAGTGTGAGAGTACCCCGACTTACCAGACAGCGATGTAATCAGTGACAGGCTCGGTCTGCAATAAAGTAAAGTTTATATAAACTCCATGTCCGTGTGGAACAGTGATGAGCCAGCTGCAATCTTGTGAGTTGGGGTATTCATTGGGGTACTGAGGCGAATAGATTGTCCCGTTTTCAGCCGTGACATTATAGCCACAAGGAGCTGTGAAAAATAGTTTAAAAAAAAAAAAGAGTTATGAGATTATCTTTTTGCAAATGTCTTTTTTCCTAACTTGCTATGCCTGCTTATCAGGGGACAAGAACAACAACTGTAGACGGTGAGGAATGAAATGATTGTCATTACTTGTAGGTGCAGTGGTGAGTAGTAGTGGTAGTAATAAGAGCAATTATTGTGCAACTGACTTATGTTGCTGGCCTGAGATAGCGGTGATAGATTAGATACAATTTACAGAAAATCTATTAGGATGAGAACATTTTAAATCACCCTCTTTGCCTAAAGGAGAATGATGTTGTTGGATAGAAAATGATATGCATGTGTTATACTAAAACAAAAAGTGGCAAATGTGAAAAGACTTTTCAACATTTGAATTCCAGTTATATAAAATGCTCGATTGTCCTTACCCTCACAGCGTGGGAAGGGGTGGTTCCACTTCCGGTTGGTCCCATGCAGGCATGTTAGCACTGGGTGTCCGATCAAAACATAACCTGGGTAGCAGTGAAAAGTTACTAATTGGCCAGCACTGAAGTCACTGTTGATGATGTCTCCGTTAGGGAAAGGAAAGGGATCCTGGCAGTTTTGAAGTTGATAGGCTAAAAGAATGAAGAAAAAAAAAATGAATCCAGTGTTATTTAGGTTTCAGGAAAACAAAACAAAACTGATTGTTGGCAAACAGGACATGGAGGAACACAGCTATACTTAAAATAAACAAGATAAACAAGTAAATGTTTTGTTTTGTTGCAGCTTGAGTCCTAAAACGACATTTACAATAATTTGTGTTTGAAATATTTATTTTTCGTTTACAACTAATGGACTTCAAGGAGCAGTAAAAATATCTATGAAACACAGAGGCTACCAGCTACGACAGTGCAGCAAGGTAAAGAGATCTAATCTATTTTTATACAATATTCTGGCACATATGAGGAGACTTTCTGCACACAATCATGGAGCATGGTGTACACAGGAACACCTGGTATTCCTAATGGGTTTGAGGCCTCCCTGCCCATGCTTCAGAATGTCAGAACTAAGATCCCATGGGACTCTTAGATACTGACGGGCAAACCAATACTAAACTACAGTACAGAAGGAGCAGAAAAACAAGTGACTGATGCAGAGTTCCCACAAGAAGCTAGCATCAGGATATACAAATACAAAATATCCCTTTTCAGGCTAACCTCTTTTCTGAAAGTTATTCCATTGTAGTTTTGCAGATGAACACATGTGCATTCAGCCTACGATGATCCCTATACATCCATCGGTATATGTTTTTGTCATCGAGTGCTGCAGCGATGAAAGCATCCACCCAGAATGGAGCGCTCTCAGTGCTATTTATCAACACGACTGAGGGTAGTATCATGGAACTCTCTGTGTACTAAAAAAAAAAAAAAACATATGGTGTAACCTTATGCGAGGAAACATGTCCACAAGCTTTACGCACCAACTGTGCAAGTTCGCAAAGACAAGCGCTGCAGTGTCAAAGGACTTGGTCATTGCAAAATGGGAGGAAAAAGGGGAAAACAATATTACATCCGTGTAAATGTAGGTTATCGTTTGAGTAAGTTAGTGAGCCGTGTTCTACTTATGTTGGGCTACAGGCCCATAGTGTATTGCTTGTGTCTTTGAAGTGAAGCACTTTGGGCTACAAGTAAAGCCTACCGGACAAGATGCCAGTCTCTCACAGGGGCTTACTAACAATCCATTTTTTTAATGAGAGGAAAGCCACAAGGTTTTTCAAGTCTTCAAACTGACTCATCCACAGATCTAAGCTCAAACCCTCGTAGCAATACGTTTCTCATCCCACCCTTCATTTTCTTGGAGTTGTGAAAGTTTGCAACTAGGTTTGGATGCTAATTTATTCAGAACGTTTTAGCAGGCCACTTATATTTTCTCATATCATTCAAGCAACTATCTTGTGTTCCCAAAACAGTGGGCCCAGTTTGAACACGCCTGTTCCCTCAGTGTCCCTTAACAGGCTGCTTTCAGATGGATTTGCCTGTAATAATACCTCCTAGTTTGTGGGATTTTAAGTCTGCAATCGTTTCAAAAGTAAAAAAATCAAACGTGAAACCCACCCTGATAGGTCAGTTTGAACCCTGGCCTGTTCTCTGAGTGGTCACTGTAGAAGTGGATGATTGTGAGGTGAGTGGTGCTCAGCAAGGGTGGTGGCATCTGCGAGCCAGTATACTGTCCAATAAGAGCAGAGCTGTGCTGTGGCCCAGCCCTGACCTCCAGGAAGTCATGGTTGTCTTCAGAAGAGAAGTTTTGGAACTGAACGTGGGCTCCTAGAATAGAAACAGAGATTATAATAGACTATATGCGCCACGCAACGATGATATTACATTTCATTGGATGCCATATAAGTGGCATGAACTGATCCATGGAGATGTTACGCCTATAGACCAAAAAAGTAAATTTACATCATTCTACACAACTCTTGGCCAATTCTATTTGTATTGGTTGTTTTATATAATTACATTTATATTTTATTAACATGAATTAAAAACACAGCTTCAATTTTGTTATCTGAGACATGACAATGAGGCCTTCAGGTTGAAAAGAGTATTTATTTTTTTGAATTCCACTTTATCCTCTTTGCTTCAATAGAATGAAAGTCTATGTTTCCCAAATACAGATGGACTGAAAGTTTCACAAGTTTCTTTTAAGGAATGCACCTCTATCCCATAATATTTACCATAGCCAGTTGGCAATGTGATTTTCCAGGTGCAGTCAAGGTTTCCGGGGTAGTTGCCAGGGAAACCCGGACTGAGGATGACGCCACTCATCTCAGACAACACCCCACCGCAAGGAGCTGACAGGCACAGTGAAAACATGGTTAAAACAGGCATCGTATGAGAAATCATCTGTTTGCCTGAAAAGAAAGAAGATTATGCCACATTTCAACAGTTTAGAATGATCAGCTTTGCTGCTGCGGTCATAGTTAAAGGGGGTGTTGGACTGAATTACAGTGAGTGATGTTTCAAATATGTTCTCCTCCTTTCCTACTAAACGATTGATTGAGAGAATATTAGAAACACCCCGTGCAAGACCAGCCGTAAGTATCATGCTATTAAGTTGATATATTTGGTGTGAACCAAAGTACATGAGGTCAATTGTTGATATTGGGTATCATGTTTAAACATTCAGGGACCAGCGTATTATGGTCTATCCTAACTATTGAAAGACAGTGGACATGATTTGGTTAAATAGTCCTGACATGCCAAGGTTGAGTTTAACTGGAATTGGCTTCCCAGGACCTGCTACAGTTTTTACCAAACCCTCCCATCGATGTCCCCGAGGTGCCTTAACTCTATTACAGACATTTGGAAACCTCGGCTCTCAGCACAGGCTACACAATTGAGTTTGCAACCAGCAGGTGTATTGATCCTTTACTGTATGAAATTGCCAATTTACACAAATCATATTTGAAGGTCACGTCATTGAATACACAATTTAAATTATATGAACTACACTTCCTTATTCAGTGGTTGCTGTTATCCATTTATTTTAGGAAGATTTCATAGTCCTGTAATTACATTGAGTGGTAAAGTGTCCTTTTACAAAATATGCAAGTGCCATATCACATCATAGCACTACCTCAGCTATTTAAGGTCTTTATATAAAATACATTTTGTTCTACTGAAATGTATTTAGTTTCTTCTTTCAAAGATAATAACTGCATTTTTTTTTAACCAGAATTACATTTTGTGCATTTGAGGAATCCCACACGAGTAATGAATGAAGGGACTTCAAGTGATGTATTCTTTCCCTCCCTCAATACAAACCGTTTTTTTGGATTCACATTCTTAATCTACAGAAAAGCTTCTGTCCCTTTGCTGTGTGGATCTAAAATTTCAATGTGGATCTCACACCTGCAGGTCATATTTTTTTCCTCAATGGATCGATCTTTCCTGACGGCGTTTAGCCAGCGGAGCAGAGAGTGTGAGTTACCTATGCAGAGAGGAGGCGGGTAATTCCATCGACGCACTGTTCCAGGCATACATGAAATGTGAGAGTGGCCCTGAAGGTAAAGTGGAGAAAAATCTATTAAAAACAGGAGAAGACAAAAGTTTGCAATCTTGAAATTTGAAAGTTTTTACTTTGTGAAAATGCTAATTTTGAAATTAATTTGACACAAGTCGAAAATTCTTGTGGAAATATATTTTTTTCATTGCGTTCTATAGTTAATGGCCGCAGTCTGTGTCCTTACTAAATTTCGCCACACAATATTTAAGGCATTATTTAACATTTTAGTATATTTTTGTTCAATGGATTTAAACCTAAACAAGAAAAGAAAGCATTAGTAAACTATGTATGATCAGTATCTCACAATTTGTTTATAGGTGATTTGTCTGTTTTCATACCTGTAATGTGTACCCTGGTTCACAGGTGAAGGCCACCACCTCATTCACCATATATCTGTCACCTGCTTTAATGCCGTTGGCTGGTATCATTGGCTCTGGACAAGTGGTGAGACCAACAGCTAAAAAAGAGGAACACAATCACAAATAACCATGTAATTACCTTTATTTATTTCACAAATACAATTTCTTTGTGCGTACTCAATGACATGAGCCGAATGCAGAAAGATAAATTGTGACATAATCAAGTTCTATCCCAAGTTGCTGTCTCGACCTTAATTATCAAACGTACACAGGCCTACTAATTATAGCCTGCAACATGTTAACAAAACAAAAACAGCAAAACAAGTATCCTCGATTGTTTTTATTTAATCTTTGCTCCAGTAATTGTCAATGAAAGGTTTTTTATTGCTTGTGACCTAACTCTGAAAATGAATACTGTAGTCTACTTAACCACTCATTGAATCTGAATACATTTTTAAAGGATAATAAATAAATAAATATTAAGATGAATCAGTGTTATATTTTCATTCATGAATTGACAGCTGGTATAATAAAAAAGCTTGTATGTTGTCAGTGTTGACGCCGCCTCTGAAATGTACATAAAATACATTAAGGTAATAAGATGACTTTGATTATCTATTCCCAACCCCGTAAAGGTTAAACGCATCCTTAATAAGTTTGACAGCCGCCAGCCCTTCATCAGAAAGTATCAGTGTGTTCATGTGTGTGCGTCTGCTTTTGTGTTTCAGACGGAAACTTCCGCAGGAGCCCGCCCTGGAGCGGTTACCATGGCAACAAAGGGGTGGAAGAGGAATAGAGAGTGAAAGACGGGGAGAAAGAGGCATGAATGTTTGTGTGCGTGTGTTTGATTGTGTGTCTGGTCTTGTTGGTTCATTATCCACCTTCCAACCAGCAAAACGATGTGATCCCACTGAGCACACACACACGCACACAAACCCGGGTGGCCTAGAACATATTGTGCATGACTGACTTTTACATGAGTGTGGGCCCGCTGCGAGGGATGAGGGGGACTTTTATTAGATGGAACGTACGGGAAAAAAAGGCAAGAGAGTGTTACTTTGAGACACACACACACACCCATGAACACACAGTATGTTATTACGCACAGCATCAGAAGGATGTCAGGACAACTGATCAATGAAACTATTCCAATTGGCTGACCAGGTCTCACCGGGTGTGTGGTAGCAAACCGCTCCCTCTTTTCCCCCGTTATGACGGAGAGGTGTTGCTCTGTAAACTGCTGACAACGCCAGAACCCCCACCCCCCCCCACACCCCCACCCCCCTTAGGGCCACTGGACTACACCTCGACGCATTCAGCACTTAAGGCTTACTGACTGGATTTACTATACTTCTGTTTTGCTTCATTTGAGGACACAAAATTGAAAGCGACACCTTAAAGGATCGAGCGTTTAGAGGAAAGGCCATTTAGTCAGCTTAAAACGATGAGAAAATCATTACCACAGTCATCCCCGTGTCCTCGGCGGACAATTGCGTCCACTCGCACACGCTAGCACATTTCTACAAAACTGACAAGGGGGATCTTTAACAGCACAACAGATGCCAGCGTCATTTTGCTGTTCCCGGTTCCTACAGGAAACAGCCAGTGCAGTAAAAATCTGTGAAACAATGTTGAAGAAAAGGCTTTCCAATGCTATTGAGTTCATTATTTTGAACTCAAAGACCATAGAGTGTAGTTTGTGAGTATGAGAGCGCTCATACTCACAAACTACACACCGGGGGGACAGGTTCAGTGATCTAGAAGTGATTCTAAGCTAAAACCACTACAAAGGACTGGAAAGGACATGCCCTGACAGGTGTGTACATGTGGAAATGCATCATGTTAATATCTATGTCTAATCCTCTGTCCGTCTACACATTTGTTTGTGTACGTGTCAGTTTTTGTACCTATGTGCATGCACTGTATGACACAAGCAAAAGCGCTTGTGTATGTGTTTGTACTTTGTATGTGTGTTCTGTGTGATTGCTCCGATTTGGGTCTCAGTCAGTGTGTGTATGCCTTTGGGCAGCACCAATTCAGGTCACCGACTCTTGTTATTTCATGTTGGAGTTTGAGCTGTAGCAATTTGTTTGTTTGTGCTCAATTTTGTCAGCTGTTTTTTTGTGCATTTGTGGATTTTTGTGAGAAGGCACCAATCTATTGAGAACTATTTGTCGGTCCAGTTGTCTGTCTATACATAAAGCTTGAACTTACTTTTGTATTCTAGATGAAAACCTGCTGCCACCACACTGATGTCACTCTGAAAGTGCAGAAGGAGCTGATTGGACGTTGAGTTGAGGAGGGCGGGAGCAGTTGTTCCTTCAAAGAGATGAGAACATGAAAACAAATATAAACGTTTGCGTCCACAACAATGGACTACGTGGACATATTATGATAAAAAATGTTTTTAAAACTTTTGATTTTGACCATAAGTATTGTTTGGATGTCAAAACCAGCCAGGAAAAAGTGTGCAGTGAAGGTGAAGGACCCCTGGTCAGCTAGCATTTTGGTGTCTTTTTATGAAGCAACCCTCATCTGCCCTGGTGAAGCTGCAATGGCAGATCACTGGGGTTAGAGTGGGCAGCTTCCTGGTGCGCTTTCTAGAGAAGGGCACAGTCACTTGTGTAGGTGTGTGCTTTTGTTGCCCTTTGGGGCGGCATGTTTTATTCGTGATAGATGTGTGACAAGTAAGAGCTTGGGGCAGGTCACAGGGGAAACTCTGCTGGGAAATGGTAAAAGGTTAGATGCTTCCTCATTCCTCCCTGTCTGCTTCCGCTACTTTTTCTTGCATCCTTCACTTACAATTCTACCCTTTCCTCCCTTCCTCCTTTTTCCTCATTCAGTGGCTATCTGGAATTTTTTTTGAGGGTATATATGCTTTTTGGGGTATTACAACTCATCCATCATATATCTCCAGTGTATGCTGTATGCATTTTATTCATCATAGACCTTGTGGGTATCTATAGTTTGGGAGTTCTCATCCATCATAGATCTCTGGAGCGTTTTGTAGGCACGAGTGTCTGTGCACAAGTTTGTGTTTGTGTGAGCATAATGTCATACCAGAAAATGACCCTAATTTAGGAGCTGTCATGTCTCCTCCATCGTAGATCTCCAGAGAGTCCCAGTTGTGCTCAGTAGCAAACGTCATCACTTGGATCTAAATAACAAACAATGAAAATAAATAAACATCACAAACTGATTTTATATCTGTATTCTATATTCAATAAAGGTGTATATATCTGTACCTGTATCCCAGCCCCTTCGCTGACATGTATCCTCCACAGACAGTTGAGACTGTTTGGGTAGGGCTCCGGATAGGCCGGAGACAGTATTGTACCGCGTCGTTCAGTCAGATTGCCACTGCAGGGAACTACAATGGTGATATCAAACATTAAATTATACATTTAATGTTGTATGTGTATTAAATAAACTGATACAACAGATACAACAGAATGTTGGAATATTGCTCTGCCTACCCTGGGACAATAGGGTGTGCAGAATTACCACTGCAGGGAGCCAGAAAGGCAAAATATGATAAACGCGGTTTAAAGTATAAACCGTGAGGTGACAGTTGAAGCTGTTTGCAAAGGCCCGCTTCTCAGCATGGAGAGATGTCACACTGGCATACGTTTGGTTTGATAGTCAGTGTCAAAATCCCAATAGTTGATGATTTACGGAACTTCTACTGAAGAGCTGATATCGTACTTTATACAGTGGGTAAATGCTACATTCATTTTATGCTCAGTCAGCCTCACCTAAACAGGATGGTGTTGTTGCGTTCCACTGTGCGAGGGCACCTGGCACGGCCTGGCACCATATAGCACTCGATCCCTTCAGCAGGTACCCTGGACTGCACTCGAACCGGACCACGGAGCCAGCGGAGAACTCAGAACCGATCCGCCGACCGTACCGAGGCTCCGGCACTGAACTGCACTGACTGTCACTGGTGCGAGGCACAGCTACCATGCCGATGGTAATGAAACAAAACGAGAAGAGGGATGCACATTAGGAATATAATTATCAGTGGAGATACTTTTGCATTAAGGTTGAGTTGAGTGAGAGAGAGACAAACAGATTGAGAATTACCTTGGTAGACAAAGTGAAAGCCTCTCGCTGATTGGTCACTCTTAGCATTGAAGCGCAGCATAATCTGATTGGAAGTAGCCAATGGCAATGTCTCTCCTGAAGAAAAACAATTACAGTGAAAATTCATTTTAATGAAAAAAACTTGTTTAGATTTTTTTACTATTGAGACACAACAAACATGCAATTCAACACAATTCTATACCAACACGGTCATACAAACACTGGCCGACCCACACAGCTTTCTGTATCACGGACAGTCGTAACCGTATTAAACAGTAATGCTTTAAATTCAGGTAGAGGTGTCGCCCCTTTCTTTGGTAAAATGTGTTCCTCACAAAAATAAGAAGATACACACAGCAACTCATACACACAGAGATTTATATTCACACGCATGCACGAACAAACAAAAGTCACAATGATGAACGAGAAAGAAAGCATGGTTTGGTATGGCTGACATTTAGAACCATCATTAGCTGCGGTGGGATGTGTGTGTGTGCCTAAGAATGCTATGCATGTATGTGTGTTAATATGTTTGTGTGTCGGAATAATCAGTCAGTTAACTGGAACAATGTGCTACAAAGCAGTTTGCTTGTGTGCGTGCGTGTGTATTTCAATGTTTGCTGCCAGTTTTACCCAAAAGGGGAATTTCCAACCCAAATTAACTTTAAGGAATAAGCCACCCTTTCTCCGTTAGAGAAACTGGCCTCTTTCCTTTGAATTATCTTAGATGGATGGTAGTTAGGGGGAAAGTATTTGCATAATGTGCAGCTATAAACAAAGCCAAAACAGACAAACAAAAAACTGTAAAATCCTCCTAGTTAATATTATGCAGAAAAAAGCTGGATGATCTACTCTATTAAGCAAAGAGCAAAGACAAAACAAACATATGCACCTTAATGTGAAAATAAAAATAAATGCTCCAGGGAACTTTTATATCCATCTAGATATCTTTGTTGTTCTTCTTGGATTGATGTTTTCATCATTACTCTACTGCACCAGAGTGTTGTGGCAGTTGCTGCCCCTTTTTCAGCAGCTCATGATTGTACAAGCATTTCTAAATATCTTAAAAAAAACAACATTGATTCTACGGAAAGAAACAAAATGTCAATTCTAGTGGGGTTTGCCTGCAGCTTTCCCCCTGGTCATGACACATAACAGGAGAACACGCAACCTTGAAGTAATGAGAGCACATCGACAAAGCTATCAATATTTCTTCCCATTTCATTATTTATGTCATCTATATAAATCTTACCTCATCTCTCAATCTCCATTTGTGTAGTGACTTAAAATGTTAAAAACAAAGGACAACTCAAACTTGGATGATAAGGAAACCCAGGGACACTTGTTCTAAGGAGTTTCAGTGATACCCGCTATTGTACTGTCCCAGTGAGACGCTTTCCACCGCTCATTTATTCTTGTAAAGATAATCCATGATAGATTTTCACAAAATACATCCCTGTCAAATAAATTGTGATAACAACCACTGGTGGTTTCTTATGCAGGACCAAAGTGTGACTTTATCACAAACTCTTATTTACTCTTACAAAGATTTGTTGAGGAAAACAAAAAAGTTAAAACAGAAAAATATTCCAACATTACGACTGAATTGCAGCTTTTGAAAAATATACTTTTCACCAATTCACAAAAGCAAGGAATTCAAATGTTAATATCAAGGCAGCGTGACCTAATAGCATTCCCCCAGATGTGTTTTTCACTCAAATCTGCTAATCGGAGACTTACCTGAATGTGACCCAGCCAGAGAGCTGAGCAGTCGAGCATTCTCATTGGCTCCATCAAACAGCTCCACGGAGTCATTCATTGCTGTCTGGAAAACGGCAAACTGACCAAATACCACTGAAGAAGAAGGAAAGGCAAGAAGACAATAAGTAATTGGCTTTTTTTATTGGTGATGGAATTTACAAATGCATTGTCAGAGGGTGGGGTGTGATAAGTGATGAATTTACCAAACTGTGTGGACACAGTGATGAAGTAGGAGCAGGTCTGTCTTGTAGTGTAGTTTAGAGGATAGTTTGGAGACAGAACAACTCCTTCCGATCCACCATAATGTCCCCCGCATGGAGCTACAGACACAGAAGAATTAGAATTTCATTATTTTTAGGTACAATTTGTAGCTTAAAGTTCCTGTTGACCTTAATGATGTGCAGGGGACCTGCACTTAATTACATACAAAATAAAAATCAGCTTTTTGAGAAATTCGATAACATTAATCGTTACATCGGCAAACTTGAAGTCACGAAAGCCGGCATTTCAGACAAATAACAACACTGTTTGTCAATAGTTACAATGAAACAATTATTATTCTGATATCCAATTAAGTGGTTATCAGAACGATATCAATACTGCTTCACATAATCCATTTCTTTTCATTTGTTCTGTTCATAAAAACATCCTTCCTTTAAATGAATAACTACCAGTACTAAATTTGACCGAATAAAGTAAGATCACAGTTAACATTTGTGGAAGGATGCACTTTCCAATGTTTCTTGGGTAAATAAGTAAATCTTTCTATTCTCAGTCTCTTGTAACTTTTCCTCCTCTCGGAAAAAAACAACCAATCTGCACCATTTCAGTGCACAAAGGAAATCTACATGTAAAGGTCAGCGCTCACCACATATTGAATAATAGTCTATTGCCTTTGTAACCCTGATGCCAATTCCACACGGACTGCAAGCACAAATTGATTGTTTGTTTTTCTTAGCACGTAATGTCTATTGTTAAATTCAAAGAAAGAAAAAACAATCATTGATGATGATGGAATTGACAAACTGAAAACAAAAATGTCTATTGACATTCATAAATTATCTATCGATATTTTGTTGCTCCGTGAGAAACTAGCAACCCCTCCTGCCTCCTCCACCCAGTGCAGCCTGAAAACCCATCCGAGAGAGAACAGCCAACAGTAGTACTTAATGACATAATGACAGCGCAGTTTAAGTGCTGAGATTCAGTTTATATTTGCGGGTGTTTAAATTCACATTAGTTTAAAGTTATAGGGATCGCAGCAATATATACATTTAAAAGCCTTAAGCTAAAAAATGTGTTGCACAATTAATACAAATGACAAAAAAAAATCAATTTTAATGTGATTCCTCTGCACTCTCGGCCGGCCAACAGGTCAAACAATGATTTCTCTGATCAGGTTCCAGGTGTGACTGTGTGTCACTGCTGGAGTGTGATCCTGGCCTTCCTGAAAAAGAGAGCTTGGCTCTCCCTTAAACTCCCTTCACTTTGCCAACATAAATAAATAAGCCATAAGCCCACAGATATAAGCATAAACTTGGTATCTTCCCAAATGGTGCTCTGCCAGGACTGTGCAGCAGCCAGTTTCACTTATTGCGAGCTGACTGAAAAGTGTCAGTTGGACTGATGTCCAGTTTCTGCCTCCTTTGTTGTCGTTGTTGTAAGTAAGGATCAACGCACTGCTGCAATGTGACCTAAGGTCAGCACTTTAAACATCATTGTTTCACATAAATTGAGCTTGCGGGACACAAAATACGAATGCAAAAAAAAGTCAATGAAGTCACCCTTATCGACTAGCTTACGCTGCAACTGCGGTCAAACTAAGGTAACAAAACTGGCAACTCTGCTGGCAGCTTCATCCCCTCGGCTCGAGTGCTTCAAGCATTTGGAAACATTATGTTGAAAACGGTCTTTGCATTTTAAAGTGTGCCTCTTCTGTCACTTTTTTCCTCCCCTTGGTGCCGGGCGCACTGCCCATTGCACTGAAAGCTGGCACGTGTATCACTACACTAATCTGTTATTCTTGTGTATTTGTTGTTGTTTACGCGTTGTCGTTTAGTTCAGCAGAAAATTCGTCCCTAAGTATGACTTGCTCTCTTGTGGCTCCTCGCCTTTATTGTGTAAGGTTGAAAATATCGTGCTTTCAATGTGAATGTAGAATGAACATGATATCAGCTGCTCTCTTTTATCCAACAGCACAGCATTACAAGTAGACCATTGCAGCCTTGCTGCTGTTTCTTTTAAACGTGATTGTCTCCCTACATTGAGTATGTTAATGCTGCTTTTTAAACAGGAATCCACCTCCACGTCTCTATCTCCATCTCCACCCAGTCTTCGAGTCTTGAGATTCATCAGCTCCATCAACTCATTACACAACCACTGGAGGTGTCGGGACTCCACGGGGGTATTTATCTTGCCGCTGCTCAGGGCGAGTGCGCCTCAATTTCAAATCTCCCTGTCAATTCTGATATATTGAATCAATTAAAACTGCTGTTACATATTGGCTTGTATTGAGATGGTAGCTCCGCTGCCAAAGTAGCACTACAAAACGTGAATGAATTAGTGTGCTGCTGAGCCAGTGCACAGCGTGTGCTGCAATTATCAAAAAAACCTTAATATTAATAATCCCTACTACCATAACATGACCCACAAGAAGTGGAACAAAAACTATCTTGATCCATCCTCAGCATCCCCAAGAGAGTTACACACCTTGTGTGTGAAAACCATGTGGGCGTGTGTACATTTATACGGCAGGTAAGGGCAACAGAGGTCGCTGAAATTAGTTTAATGGTGTCTGTGAATGTGTTTTTGTGTGTGTAATTATCATAACCTCTGTGGTTAGTGAAACTGACGTTGCCCTGGTCAAAAATACTGAGTAAGAAATGGAACAGCACTTTGTGAATCTATTATGTCGAGTCACGTAGGTCTGTCTGCGGCCACACAGAAGAGAGCGTGGGATTTTGACTTTTGGGTTTATTTGTCATGATCATGTCCTGCTTACATCCCTCAGCCCATGCAGACTAACCAGGAACACAGGTCAACACCTGTGAGACCTCAAGTGTGGACATTAAGAACGGGCCCCTAACCTTGGCAATGGCTTGCTTAGTAAAACCGATTTACATGCCAATCAAAAACACAGAGAAACTTGAGAAAGTTGAGTTTATACTGCTTTGCCAGACAGTTGCTGTACCAGCAACCACTCGTCTCCCCCCTCCACACTTCCATACATTCCAAGTTTCTTTTTTTGTTTCCTTGAGCAACAGAGCGATCCCCTTCCTTCTTTTATTCCACTACTTCCTATCCATTGATATTTCTTTTGATTAATTCTTGTCGTGTTTCTGTATTCAAACCCTCAGGTTTAGAGGTCTTGTCTTGATCTATACGCAATTCCCAGTGGTGCTGCTCTAGGCTCAGGTGTCAGTATTATCAAAAGCATTCTCACACATGGGCTTTGATCACACACACACACCCTCTGACACACAAAGAAATGATCCAATTGCCAGGCAGGCCATTCTCCTTCTTTCACACATCCATCTGCTTTGATCATCTAAAAACATCCACAAAAAAACGTACATAACACTTTTTTATCTATCGCTGTCTGTGTCTCACACAAATGCACGCACACAGACACACTTTGGGGCGGCAGTGAGAGTGAAGAAAGATATTTGAAAAAATTCCTAATCTTTTCAAATTGAGCTGCAATCCTGAACTTTTGCAAAACCATAAATAGAACAGTTGAAGTGACTTTTCAGAGAGTAGATCACAACAATGTAAATAATCACAACTCTTGAGTGAGCACAACGATACGTCATGACTCGGCTCTCTATTAAAAGCAGCAGTGTTGAGTTTGATGTGAATGCTGTATGTTGTTGTAGTTATTGCTTAAAAACGAAAAAAATCTTAAAATATTCACCATAGCCATTACACAAAGCTAAGTAAAAAAAATAATTAAAGATTCATAATTTCATCAAATAATCTCAACAACAATTAATGTATTCCTAGCCTTTATAATTAGGCCATAGATATTGTTGAATAACACTATAGTAGGGCAACACCATAAACACACACCTACTTAAAAAGGACATGGCCAGCTGTAAAGTTCTGTGAATCCAATCTAGCTACGATTAAAAGGTGCACAACCCGTCGAATATGGCTAGAAACCTTCCTCCCTGCATTACAAAAATGCATTAGAGGAGTGAGGCGGCAGTGAATGCAGCCTTGTGGCTACTTTGTGTGTGACAAGGACAGACTGACTAAACACTGCTGAGCATCGAGCGGATGGAGACGTGGAGCTGGTAGCAGTCTAGCTAGCTATGAGCAGCTAGTCTGTTTCTGTGTGTACACAGAGGAGTACACTAGTATATAAATAAAGGAATAATACAAACACTTTGTATAGAGCAACTCTGAAAACCCCATTATAAAGTGATTTGCATTAAAAAAAAACTTTAAATACGAAGAATAATAAAATAAATAAACAACAACCAAACACGTGAAAACAACGTTTTGAGTGAAATGGACTAAAATGTCATAGATGCATCAAACTTCAGAAAATCTGTCTCAAAAGGATTAAAAGCACATTAATGAGTTGTAGCTGTGCAAGCAGCTCTGCTAAGAGGAGCTGGTTTGTGTATGCGTCAATGTCCAATGTTTAACATGACCGTTTGCTCTTAATAGTAATCTAAACGGAATGCTTGACGGCTATCCTTCATGCGCTTATTGCAAGCAAGGCCCTGACAGGAAAAGAAACCTCTTCCTAACTGATTGATAAATGCATATAAACCCATCAGTGGTATTTTGTATTCATTGTCAATGTGTGTAAGTATGCGTATGTCTATTAGCCTCTAGGCGGCACTCCATAGTAGCTATGTCTCTCTATGTCATTCTGCCTCTGTGTAACTCTCTCACAAACACACACACACACACACACACACACACACACACAACCTTATCAACAGTCATGGAGAATTCTTTCTCGCACCAGCTCTTAGTTACCATGGAAACCAATAAAAGAGCGTTTTAAGATGGGAGGTGTGTGTGTGTGTGTGTGTGTGTGTGTGAATGAAAGAGCGAGGGAGAGAGAAAGAGAGCCCGAGAGAAGACAGACAGAAGAGGTCGGAGGAAGCTGGGATATGAGGGAAAGAGAGGATGACAAAAAAACAGGAAGAGAGATCGTGTAAAAGTTACAGAGAACAGGAGAGAGAAGGAGAAGGTTTGAACGGAAAGAGGAGAGAGGGGAGACAGACGGAGTGTGAGTGTAAATGTATTATTTAAAGAGGTCTGACCCCTTCTAATGAGATTGGTCTAAATGCCCAGGAGCAGCCTGAAGACAGAGAGACCCACAGACACACAAGGAAACTTTCCTAACTATGTGGCGAGAAAATGAAATGAACAAAACGAGCTGAAGAAGAAATAGAGCAGGATAGTACTGGATTTAGTCAAACTATTCTTCTTTGACTATGTGAGGCGACTGCGACGTCTGCAGATCAATTCATGTATCTAACAAAGTGATTAAAGAATTCTTATTTTATGCTCTGTGTATTATATCAGAGTATTATGGTATTATATTATGTAATTCCCCTTCCTTATGACATGTGAAGGAATTCCTCTGCACAGTGTATGTCGCACCACTGTTTGTTTTACTTGCAATGCAAAAATCTCTCTCCATGCCGTTTGGTTTCCGGGGTCAACTTTGTTAACTTCCGGCACACCGGAAGACCGGAAGTCAACAAAGTTGAGTTAACTGCGTTTAAATATTTTATCGCATTAATCTCAGCCACATTAATCGCATAGATTAACACGTTCATTTTGACAGCTCAAAAGACTATGATGTAGAAAATCATTATTATACTAAATCTTACACTAAACAAATTGCAGAAACCCCTATTAGCTAATGAACACAAGCTCTTTATGTTACCAGGTAACACTGGAACAGCTTCATTGAGCCGATCTAATCAATACAGCGGCAGGTGACATATGCACTGATTAAGTCCGCCTGGTTAATGGTGTGATCCAATCATCAACCCACTGTTTGACTGCTTACGCCCTAAATGACTAATGGACTAACTGACTTCCTGATCTCTTATCTGACTGGCTAATTTGCAAAGTTGATATGATGGCCATGCAACCCAATTATTTTGTTATCCAATAAAAGAAGTAATATTATCCCAAATATGTACTTTTGAAACTTGGAAAGAATAAAAAAGAAAATGATATTTACTTTGAAAGGAGTCAAAGTTCTCCTCTGCTGCTACTGAAAATAAAGGTTGTTGCATCTTCATGTTAAAAGCCACAGGTGTAGCGAGAACTGCCATAGATACTTTTAAGTAAATATACATTTTTAGGTTAATATGTAGTAAGGAGTATACTCTGTGAAAAAAACGACTAATGTGAACATGATTTGAAATCCACTCATCTTTATTCTCTTTCAGCTTCCCGAACCCGTCTTCACTGTTCATCAGACAATTTTAAACAGAGCTTTTTCAAAGTGTTAAGAGGTATAAGTGTGCATTGTCTGTGTGTGCAGGTGTGTGGGTTGCTTTTGTTTTTTATTTTAAAATTCCTTCCTAGTCCTCCTTCCTCAGTGGCTTTCTTGAATTTTTTACCCATAAGGCACAAGGCCAGGAGACACGCACGCGCGCACACAATCTCACAAACACACACGCTATCTTTTTGAATGGCAGTATGGCAGGTGTCACCTCCTTGGCCCTCTGAGCTGTCAATCAATCAGTTCAGCCTTCCGATCCCTGACAGACTCTCGGTTTCCGACATGTACACGCACACACACACACAAACGCACACACACACACAAGCACACACACACACACACACACACACACACACACACACAGACACAGACAGATGAGTCTCATATTATAGAAAGAACTGAACATTATAAACGTTGTTAAGAACGTCTTTGTGGCAGAACAGTAGGTGTGCCTATTCCCTTGTCCCAGCAGGCCGTATTAAATAGTTCAACTTAAGAAGGTTTGGACCAATTCAAGGTTTCCATCATTTTGGTGTTCATAAGGATGCAGTTGTAAAGTGTCTCTCGTACCTTTACATGATGGTAGAGCCTGGTCCCACACCGGCTTCCCATCATTCCCCATTACACAGGTGATGGTATCTCCGCCCATAGTTATGTAGCCATGGTGACAGCTGTAGGAGACCTGAGATCCCAATTTATAGTCGTATCCTGTTCGACTTGCGTTCATAATGTTACCAGGGTCAAAACAGGCTTCTCTCGGTTTTTCTGTGGAGGAAGGAGAGAATTTGTGTTACTGAAAATAGACAAGAATCGACTAGTTTTGAAGATTGCTATGAAACTATAAATGCTTTTTATCTTTTATTATTTCTATTGCCTGGATAGATCTTTAAATATACTGTCTAGACTAGGAACTACATCACATTCTCCCATGCACGGAAGGAAACGTCTACCGTAACATTTTTCTGTCACAAAAAACAAATTTTGAATCTTTAAATTGTTTAGGATTATGGACCCCTTCAGGGTCAAAATCATCAGTGAGAATTTTTGAATATTCTCTTGGCGTGAAGCCAACTTTTTTTGCCTTACTATGATTGTCCAATCAGAATGAGAAACAGGAAAACCCACAGTCAGGGAGAGAGACACAGAGAGAGAGAGAGAGAGAGAGAGAGAGGTTGAGGGCAAGGTGGAAGTGAAACAGGGAGATGATTAAGGTTGTATTTTAATTAGAGAGGTGGCAGATGAAAGGTAGGGAATTAACGACAAAAGTACAAAGGTGTGAGGCATGAGAAGATGGACAAAAGAGAGAGGGGGTGCTGTTTTTTTAATTAGAGATAAATGGAGGGAGAGAACCAAGAGAAAAATATGCTTTATAAAAGGTATACATCTAGATATACATATAGTCTCTGCTCAGTCAAACAAGTAATCAACACCTCCAGTGAAGCAACATCTAAAAAAAAACAGGATGAGTCACAATCTGTGACAATTGACAACTTGTGAATTGACATAGAACAGCACGGTCTTTTAACTGCAAACACTCCTGATCTAAAGCACGGGTGAATTAACAGATTACGCACTCTAAAATGTTACCTAACCTGTATCAGAATTTTAATCATTATGCTTCATAGACACACGCAATGAACGTTTCTTGTTTTAGTGACCTAAAAAACAATTCCAGGTTATTTATCAAAGAATGAGCAACTTTTTATTGGATTTAATCTGCATGTATTCAACAACTGGTTTACTGAGACAGTTTGTCCTGAAGCAGCTCCTGGACTGAATCTGGGACGCCCTCTAGGACACACTGCACGTGGAGGAGAGCTCAGTTCAGCACAGGGATGTATGTCCGGTAAAAACACTTTGGACTGCAATCACCTCCTAAACGCTAACATTTAACAACGTTACCTAAAAGATAAGTTCAGACTGCTGTTATTTTACAGCTCATTGATGGGATAGTAAAAAATGGCTTTATATACACAAACCAAATATCCGAGGCATTTTAGAAACAGCATTCGTTTAAAACATTATCTAACAGCAATTTCAGTTTTTTAATTTTGACTTTGAAGGGACATTATACGAGGGCAACGGTGTGGTGTTCAATTACCTTTATATTCGATGGCAAACCCAGACATGCCCAGCGAGGCATCAGATCTGAATGCCAAGAAGAGACTGTTACCACTGCTCTCTATGCGCTCCGGGGCCTGGTTGCCTTGGAGACTTGCGAGTAACGGCCCATTAGAGTCTTCCCCCTCGTAGATGTGCAGGAAGTCGTAACTTGGCTCCATGTTGAAACTGGGGTAAAAAAAATAAATAAATAGAACAGATTCTTGACAGAATCAAGTAAGATTAACTACAGGGTTCGTTTGTGTTGTTTGAATAATTCAAACAATTATTCCAATGATGTTTGTTAAATATAAAGACCCGCTTCATTCAATGAATACCAATTAGTTAATGCTATTACTCTTTCAATCACCTGCTATTCTTACTTTTCTGGGTATACTGCATTAGAAATTAACATTGACGTAACTAAAAGTGAACACTTAAAGCACTGCAGCAATAATATGTTGAAAACATTCATTTCATAGAAAATTAAAAAAAAAAGTTGTTGCAGCACTTAGTCATCCTGTTAAAAGGAAATATCACCATCCATCTTGATTTATAGTCTCAGTTTGTGTGCGCATGTATTGAGAATACAGTAAACCCACAGTGCCTTCTAAAACATTTTTTTTATTTGGAAAGATTTTTCCGATATTATCTGTGGCAGCTTTATCTTTTCTTGATTCATCCATAAAAGCATCTGATCCTCATGAGGGTAAAAGTGTAAGTACACACACTGAAAAAAGGTTTGACCTGACACTGACCGTGTTACTCCCACGTGTCACATAGAGCCAAATGTGTGTGCGCAGGTAAACACACACACAGAGACACACAGAAACAAACATATACAGACCTACATCTGGTTTCAGTCAGCTCAGTCTCCCCCTGTCTGGTTAAACTATCCTGCTAAGTGTTTAGTCAGAAATATGTGTGTGTCTGTTTGTGTCAGAGCAGAGAAAGATGGAGAAGAAAAAGTAAGACGCAATGTATCGTGTATGTAAAAGTGTAGGGTTATATATGACCAGCATAAAAGCACCATGGGGAGTTTTTGAAAGCCATGGGCGCTGTCGAGTATTATTTAGATGATGAATAATATTTGTATGCTGAATAGATTCTATGAAATATAGAAAAAAAACTGAGCATTGACATGATTTGAAACACAGTTCTGTGCAAGGAGAGGGATTACACTCGTTGTCAGTTCTTTAGGATGTACGCAATTTGTTTTGTTTAGAGCAAAGTAAAATGCAAATTGAATATCTCAAAAAACTGATTGTATGAAATATTTTCAACAAGAAATGCCTCACTCGTCCCTTATATACCCAAACGGTTTCCTTTTCTGATACGTGAATGTTATGAATAGCTGAGTTTGGTCCAAGGAGGCGTTTGTTGACGGTCGGCTGACTATCATACAAAAGGACTTTTGGAAGTTACAAAAGCGAGTTAAAGTAAGTAGGCAGAATGCCCCAGTTTAAGTAAGACCCGTGTTTCTAGCTTGTAAAGAATGGGCTTAACGGGACATAAGCCCCTTTTGCACTGAAAAATCATTCAAATGAATCATGCTAATACCTTTTGCATCAGCAATACATTCTGAGTCTAGATGCTTAAGCTACTAAATGTCATAAATTGAAAATGAAGATCTCACAGAGCAGAAATGGAACAACATCATAACTTTTCTAACCAAAGGTAACACAAGAGAGAAGCCCGAATGTGAAACGAAAGCAATCCTGCAAACTTGAGAAACCGTATTTCAGTTTGCTTTGTAATTAATTGTACATCTTGATATATACAGCACCATAAAACAGTCTAAACTTTAATTATGAAAATAATGCAAATGCTTTCCAATGACTATATAATTAGTATCGAAAATATCACTTTGGGATATTTTAGAAAAGAAAATTACAGTTGACTTGTGGATATAAAAGCTGAAAAGCCTGTTTTATGATACCACAATATGAGTTTTTAAATTCAAACACTGATCAAATAGTAGGTCATTGTTATCGGTTAAATCTAATAGAATTCAATTTAAACTGTGTTTATAATACATAATTACTAGGTCAGAATGATATAAATAATGAAAACATAAAGGGGCAGAACATCTACAAAACAACTTAATAGCAAAACAAAACAAAAACTGTCTCATTGTTACAAGAGAAAAGAATCATTTATTCAGCTGAAAACACATGGAGTCTAAATTGGGTCATTTTTTCTCCTGTGGCAATCTGGAGAAAGTCTGCTTTGCTTTTATATCCTTTATTTCAAACTCCTGGCCTTGGCATAAGCCCCGAACCACTGTGGCTTTTACAATATTCACTTTGGGCACAATCAGGAATTGAAATGTAGATAAAAACTGCCCTATAACCAAAAAACACATACACATGAATCTCCCGTTCCAAATTAAGGCAAGATTAGTGTATCTGCCAACATATAACCATTCAAAAAGTTTCCGAGCAAGTAGTCGCTCACGTAATTTACTTTTTGTCTTCAAATTAATCAGGAATTACCTATATGTTTACACAAATTAACAACTAAAGGTTGGCTGATTGAAATATTTAGGTAGTTAAAGGCCCTGAAACTCAAATAGAAATTTAATAGAATTTGAATTGATGAAAAGATCTCACCACAAACTAACCATTTGAGCTTGTTAGAAGGACATTTTAAAGCAGTCTAATGAGGTTTCCTCAATCAAATGGGTGTATTAGTGGCTGATCCCTAACTATACAACGCAGACTTTGCTTATAGCCTGTGTGGGACACGGAGTCATGGAGACTATTCTTTGAAAATCTAAAAATACTAAAATTCATAAAATAAAGACCTTGGAGGTTGGTCCATTTTTAAATTTAAGTCAAAAGAAAGATATGTTTCAGAAGAGTCCTCGGGGACCCACTCCTTCCCCTAAACCTTGACTTTTTTTAATTTGCTATGTTTTCTCAGATATTTGGATGATATAATTAAAAATGAATGATTTTTATCATTTTGTTGTTGTGGGTATTTATAATTTGTGATCCGTTAGCAAAACTGCACAACAAAAACTGCCAATCAGATTTAACAACCGTAACACAAGACATGTGTTAATGACTTTGTATTTCTAAAGGAATAAATCACATCTTCAATAAGATTATGTCCTGATTGAAAGCGAGTGTTTGCTTTTAAATTTATGACACAACATGTTTTTCAGCTTGAGGACCAATGCTTGATTAATATGGTTTGTCATGATGCAACTAGTATGTTTTTATTAACGTTTACACCTGCAATTGTTACAATTCTATTGCATCTAAGTCCTGGACCAAAAATAACATGTGCAGCTTTTGAAACTGCAAATACAATAGAGGGATCTAAACTCCCACAGGAAACTCTAAAGCATGAAATGCACTGAAGTACTGAAGAAATGCGCAGGCTCATTTGGGGTGAATTTAAAGTAAAAAGAAAGCGGGGCAGCAGAGATAAGCTCCTCTCCTGCTTTAAAGCGTACAGCATGTACAGGGCCAAGTTTCATTGCTAGGTGACTCACCTTTTGAAGATGAGAGCAATGACAAAGTCCGGGTTGACTCTGATTCTCCAATCACACTCTTTCCCAGGGGGGTATGGCTGGGGGTAGTTAGGGGACAGAATTACCCCTGAAGGGCCGCTGACGTTGCCCCCACACATTGCTGGAGACAGACAAACAGGGAGAGAGAGACAGACAGACAGACAGACAGACAGGAGAAAGATGAATACACAGCATCAGGCTCGGGGTAATTTGAAAAGATAATCACCCCCGATTGACCACTCATGGTGGGCACAGTGGATGAGAGTTAGTTAGTGATAGAAACTACAGCAGGGGTTGGTTAGGAGAGACACATTTACCCCCCAGTGGATTGCTGATATTATCTCTACAGGTAGCTGGATGAGGTGAAAGAGCAAAAGAGCGGGACTGTGAGAGTGTAACGCTGGGGGTAGTTAGCAGGAAATCGCCCCTAGTGGGCCTGTTAGCCCACAACAAGCCAGAAAGCAGGAAAAGCGATGTTATCAACAGGAGAAGGATAGATTCATTCACACAGCAATTTGGTGATGTGAAGAAACATGGAGAGGTGTCTAGGGGATGGCATGTGGGTGTGAAAGGATTATCAACAGTGAAGTAGAAGTAAACAAAGGCATTAACAGTTGCAAATCACTCACAGCCAGACACGCTATTGCACGCCAGACTGTGGTGCATCGTTTGAATTTAGCAGCCTTTGAACACCTAGGGATTTACCACCTGAGTTGAAAGGCAACACACGTGGCCTCAAATTTAAGACATATATTTTTATCTACAGTTGTATAATGTGAGGTCATATCAGGAACAAAGCACAATGTGTTTCAAAGGCAAATTATTAGTGTCTGACTGTGCTGGAGGACTTGCCAATGCTGCTGGCTGGTAAGGAAGAAGAACATGGCCAACATAAAGGAGGGTTTGTGACATCTGTCTCCAGTCCCTTGCTGCAAGCCAGGGGGGGGGGGGGCTTGCAGGACTTAACCAGGAAAGAAACTTCAGGTATTTGTTACCCCTAATAGAGGTATTTTCTTGAGCAAAAGCCTATTACCAACTGCAAAGTATGATGGGAGACAAGGACATGCCACAGGATTGTTTTGTCCTAACCTCCAGACATTTGCAGGTTGCACTAAGGACACACCAAAGGGCTCTTGCTGCATTACAGATACTCTCCTAGTATTGCTTTTCTCAAAGAAATACACAGGCTTCACACAAAGTCAGAAAAGGCTGAGGAGGAAAATAAAGGAAGGCAAGTCCACCTGAAAGTGCAAGAGTAAAAAAACAAACTGCAGCGGTGTTGTGTGGATGGCGCGTGGAGCGGGATGTCGCAGCTCGATGGGCTACAGAAACAGTCGGTGGGCCACAGGGTGGTGATGATAGAGAAAAAGAGCAAACAAGCTCTGGCTTTCCAGCAGTGATCATCCAGAAAACACCATTCCAGTTTACTGCATCATCCTGTGACGCTGCTAATCTGACTGTGTTCCACTGAAAGCAGCAGTTCCAACCACTCAGAGATCAACTGACCAGGAGGCTGTCGTTGACTTGTCCCCGAAGTATATTGGATGTGGCAGAACAACAAAGGGCTACCGAAGAGATCTGAACTGCCTTGTTTGTTGTTTACTTTTTTACACTTTGGACTTAAGATGAACCTCCAGAGGTCTGTATTTATTCCAGAATCTGATGGACAGTATCTAAAAATCTAAACATCTAGTGCACATTTAGTGTTCATATTTAGTGGCATCACCATCTTGTTTTCTTTTTTGTTTAGGTGAATCTCTGTGAGTTTGGCAGTCGACATGTCGTTATCCGCAGAATAACGCACACTTACCTACACACGTCGGAGGGTCGGGTTGCCAGTAGAATCTGTTGTCCAGTCTTACACACGTGATGGTGTCCGGGCCTTGTAACTGGTAGCCTGGATCACACTGGAACGTCATACTGTCACCGGGCTCCTTAGTGTCGCCGTATCGAGAACCATTTACGGGGACGCCTGGGTCATTGCACGTCGTCGCTGTGGTCGCTGGAGAATGCGGGAAGACAAAGAAGCATACAGACACAGATTATATGGGTAGCTTCAGAAAACGAAAGGAAGATGTGCTGCGTTTTACTATTGTTCCTCATGCGGGGAGAACTGATTTTGGCATCAGACTGACAATCTTATTAAAGACAGAAGAGTACATGGGGATGCGAGTGACATGGTTTGTCCCTGCAGGCTCAATCTAATTGTGTATTCTATTCTTTTTTGTTATTGAGTAAGTATTAGTCAAAGTGATGCCGGGTAGGAATTGATGATAATTAGCTCCCGTGTGTAGAAATGTCAACCTTTAGAAAATATACTGAAGAGCTTTCATTGCATCAATCAGTGTTTAAATATAACAAAAGGTAAACATGTTTGGATCAACACTAGAGAAATATTGAATTTGTGAATATGAATTCTTATGTGTTATCTACGTGCCTGACCAGTAAGTCAGGACCTCTCAAGAGATCGCTCAATATATTTGTGAGCCTATTAACAAGACATCAAAAAAGGAAGAAATTAAATGTTATGAAAAAAAATGAAGTGCGACTCAAAATTGAATGGATTTTAGTTTACAGTTCCTTCAAATGTTGCTAGTAATGAATCACTGCAACAGTATAGTAGCTCGTAGTTCAGAACACTAACAATTACCCAAACACTTCTGCTTTCTCTTCTTCACTATACGCAACAACAGAAATATATATTTAACACTTAAAAAAAAACAAATTATACAATTATAGGCTCAATGACCCGTAAAGAGACTTCAGTTTAGTAAAATTCCTATGTAAAATCATGGCCAGAGCCCTGTGGTTAGCCAAGAGTAGTTGTATAACCCCAGATTTATTGTATATTTCCAGTACAGAACAGTCTTGTTTCCATCATTAACACACAGAGGGAAGTGAGAGGATGAAATGAGAGAAAATAAAGATCTGTCGGAACATCACCCTTATAAATCGCTCACTCATTACATTCACAAAACCAGGTTTGAAGGAATCAGTGTGGTGGCAAATACCATTATCTTTGCTTTGGTGAATCAACATTGAGGTAAATATGAGGAGCCATTACCATAGTAATGGAATAACAGGGCTTTGATTAACACGTTAGTTAGTGCAAATATTTATTTTTAAAATATGGCGAGAAATAAATAACTTTATTTGTTTGAGAGAGAAAGAGAGAAACAAAAGAGAGAAAGAGATGGAGAGAGAAAGCATCGGATGAAAGATATGTACGACTGGAGATTTGGGTTCGGTGGCTCAGACAGCAAAGACCGTCACTTCAACCAAAGGGCACAGTTATTGTCCAGAATACTTTTGGTTGTATAAAAAAGGGAAGAAACCAAAGAGAATGTTAAGTGTTCATTGACTTCTATTTTTGAAAGTGTGACAGAAAAGGATCTAACATCCTTTTACAATACTTTTTTCTCAGTTTAAAGATAATTTTGGGATTCATAGTTCACTTTGCAACATACAAATCCCTAAAATTAGAGCAAAGTACTTGGTTTATAAGCAGATATATAAAATGATTTAAAGCACATTTGTGTTTTTATTTATTAATATTACTTTAATCGTGTTAATACTTAATTATCAATTTCTCAAATTAGCATCTCGCAGTGAGGTCAGCAGGTCACTATCGTGAGAAGAGATGTAACTCATGACATTTTTACTGCACTTCCTGGTTTCCCGAACTGAACCGCGGGTCCCTGTTGGGCTACTTGAGTACTTAAAGTGGTCCCTTGGTGAGATGTTCATTTCTCAAGTGATTCTTTGGCTTTGACTGTTTCTGAAATCCTGTTAAATGCAACATTAATTCCAAATGGATTATCTTAAAGCCAATGTAAATTAGGTTTATATAATAACTAAAATGATGTGTGTGAGGAGTTGTTTAATTAGCTAATTGAAATGCTAATTCAGAGATTGGTTTTTCCCTTATAAATGGATGTGAGGAGAGAAAGAGTAAGACAGACCACCTAATTCTGTGATATACAATCATGTCACACTTTTACACACTTTCCTCTACCATGTGAATTGTTGATGATTAAGTTAAGAAACAGGTGTATTCATTCTGAATTATAGATATGTCGACTTACTGGAAAACTGTATGGAAAACCCTTGCTTGCTGATAAAATAATCTGAATCAAACTGCAGAGTGAGTATGTTGAACGTTGAGTGGATATCTTCAGGTAAGGCTGGGCCTGACCATTCTTTCAACAGGATCCCCCCGTCTGATGGTCCAGATGGACCATCCCAAACTCTCAGAATGTCGTGGCCAACCTCAGTGTCAAAGACGATGAAGTGGAGACTGAAAAAATAGATCATACATGAGATTGAAGATCCAATACCAGTATTATCAAGTCAACTTTTAAATCAAATGAAGCAGGCCGGAGAATAGACAAATTAAAATAGCACACAAACACACACACACACACACACTGACAGAGCAGAGTCAGCATTAGCACAAACCTGAAACAAGATGGTGGCATAATGACTAATGTGGTGTACTCCTCTACACAGCAGGGCCCTCAGAGTGAACATTTATCTATAATTAGTTAATATATCTTAACATGACAGTCTTTTGAGTGTCTGCCTCTATAGTCCATGCAGGGTGGACCGGTCAGGCAGCTGAGTGTATCTTTGCGAAGAAGTAAAACAATTCTGTAGATAATTGTTACACAGGCCTATTGCTGTATGCACACTTTAGTTTGGGCTGGTTTTCTTCAATGAAAATAAAAACTGCAGGCCAGTGAGATATTTAAAGTAGCTCCAGTATGCAGCTGATTACCTGATGGTTTTGCCCGTGTCTGCCTCTATAGTCCAGGTACAGTGGAGGTTGTTTTCGTATGGAGCCGGATACCCTGGAGACAGAATCCGTCCCAGACACTGCTCCAGTCAGGTGACCCCCACACTCCGCTAAAAAGACACGAGACGGAGGAACAATCGTCACTGGGAAACTTATAATTTATCGTTCCCGCTTTTATTTGAGTGCGTAGAAAACTCTCAATCCAATCAGAATCTTTGTAACATTGCGTTGGTCTTCTATACAACTTAATAACCATCGTTGTTAATGTCTAAAGAGGCAGTTTCTCGATTCCCCAGTAAATCAGCCTACGGTGTGAAGTTTGAGTTAAATTAATATCAGGTGAAAAAAAAAAGACCTTGAATCACTAAATTAACCTTGAATTATACAAGCTGCGGGTATACTGTTTCATAGTTGGTTGAATAACCTTGATGATTGTGTTCCCTTGGGGATCTCCCAGCAGTGTTCAAAGTTCAGAAAAACAAATCTGTTCAATGCATATGAGGGAGGGAGCTTTTTGTGTTATTTTTGTATAGTTTTCAGTGGCGAGAACAGGGTAGATGGGAGAAGCAGGGCAAAGGCCGGGAGCAGATTTGAATTCATCTTGGTGGTGTTCGGTAACCCACTGAGCCGGCAGATCGCTGCGAACTCAAAAACAGTTTTGTACACACAACGGGTTTATGTCGGTGTGCGCATTGTGTGTTTGAGTGGTCTGCCATCCACAATGCCCAAACAATTATCCACTGTTGCACTCGAGATACACACTCACATCCACACACAAACACAAAGGAATAGCAAATGGTGACACAATGTCACACCAGCTCAAAAACATACTCAAAAACCCTTCTGCATTTAAACAAATACACATATGATTATGAATAGCATATATTAGGTAGAGGTAGAGAGGGGAAGGAGCACATGAGAGAGAGAGAGAGAGAGAGAGAGAGAGAGAGAGAGAGAGGGTATTATTTTGTAGTCCTGAGCCAATGACAACTTCCATTTACCAGCACAGAAAGAGAAAGAGATTACGAGGCATGCACATATACAAGAGGAGGTTTACAAGCCGGGTTAACTGCATGAATAGAGAACGGAATAACGTCAAAAAGTGTCAGAGGTAGTAAACCCTTGAGAGAGTGAGAGACAGACAGACAGACAGACAGTCAGAAAGAAAGAGAGAGAGAGACAGAGAGAGAGAGAGAGAGAGACAGAGAGGCAGCCTGAGGCAAAAGCATCTCGTCATCGGCATGCTAGTACATGGAGATATGCGGCCGAGCCAGACAAACAGCAAAAGAGACAGTCAGAGAGGCAGAAAGAGCAACACCCCAGTAGGCAAACAGAGGTGGAAGACAGGTAGCTATAGAGGGAGTTCGCCCAGGGCTCCGCCAGCGAGTATTCTCCTGGTTGCCGGCTTACCTGAAATAAGACAGCGACAGAGAAGCTACAAATTAATGACTGACTGCAGAGACACACAGAGGAGCGTGCGCGCACACACAGACACACACTGAGATTTACACACATCCAACCAAAAATGGATTCTCACTGGCATTCCCATACTGACATAAATGGACTCACACACACACACACACACACCTATGAACACACATTGTTCTTAGTTGCCCTTAGCAACCACATCAGGCCTTGTCCCAACTTAGAGAGCGCAGGTGTGCTGGCAGGTTAAAAAGACACAGGGCTTGACTGCAGTAGGGAATTACAAACAAACTCGTGCCAAGTGCCTGTTTCCACTCAACAAGGTAGAAACACTTACAGGGAAATGACTTCCATTTTTAAAGGAATATAAGAAATATCTATGAACAACCAGAAATTGTGGATGAAATTAAATTGGTAAATTCTCTTAGGGATTCGAAAGCTTGCCAACAACAATAGAAACAATACTTCTTGCACCACGGGTTGCTACGCAATCACAATAAGGACACAGAGTATCCAGTTGTTCGTAGTGTAGCTGAAACACAACTCCCTTCACAGGTCCATAGGAGAACCATGTCAAAGCACCGGAATTGTTTGGCACATTTATTTCCAACCTTATCGAGTACCAACTGTGATAAATCTGCCTTCTAGCAGCTAGTCTAATTTTAAACCAGGGATATATTTAAATATGTTTGAGATACGGCAAATGTGAAACATGTCTTTCTTGCAATGAACTTGCAGGGATTTAGATTAGCAGATAGACGGGTGGCTGATCATCCGATTAGCTCTCATCTCTCCTTTGAGCTCTAATCATTTTCCTTTCTTTCAATACTACATTAATATGAATTTGATACAAACAAACACTTGTATCAAACAAGCTTTTAATGGTTTAATGTGTTTTATGGACATTAATATTGAATAAGCTGTCTGTTTTGTGAAGTCGATGACAATCAAAACATTAAGGTGTTACAATTAGCAGTATGTCATATCGAAGAGTTCTTGTGTGTGTACAATTTGGCAGCTTGAATTACTACGTCAAATTACTCCAAGGGAAATTATTGGCCCAACTTTACTACATTGACATAAAAAATGCATTGCAGTGGAATTCATTATTAGAACTTTGTGAGTCAGATGCAGACAGAAAAATGCACATGAGAGCATTTTCACTCCAGACCTCGTCGTCCACTCTTTCTAAAGAGACACCCTTCTATTCAAATAAATCAATTTACTTTATACGGCTGGTTTTATTTTCTGTCATGTGAATAAAGTGTCTGATGATAGAATATTCCATTTATTGTGCACACTTGAGATAGAAAAGAAAGCTAATGCTTCCGTCAAAGTCCTTTTTATAAGATACTGTGCACAATTTCAGGGTAGAAGAAAATGTATTTGTGCTCACATTATACATGTTTCACAGTGTAATTCAGACAGTCTTCCTCTATGTTTGAACCTTAAGCATGCCATCTTTAAAATGCACAGTGCCTGGTGCACTAAAATACTGCTGACCTTGCTCGGAAGATTTTGTTTGCACAGTTTGATGGATCAAACAAGCTTTTTAAAAAACTTTTTTAAACAAATCTGAATCAGTGGCACCAATGAGTTCTTCCCATAATATGTTGACTCAGTCGCTATGTTTCCTTTTCCAAGCATTCCAGTCTATTGACTCAATCACTTGATCACTCACTCTTTCGTCTCAATCCTAATGCTCTTGCTGAAGCTTGGAAACAGACATACATAAGTACCATCAACTGCTGCTTCCCCCCGTGCTATATTAGAATTAGAAAGGTTAATAATTACAATATAGCAGCTCTGAATTATTCAAGCATTTCGTACTAACCGATACAGGAAGGAAGCGGTTTGTCCCAGACACGTCGGTCCCCGCTAAGACAGGTCAGGGTGCTGGTGCCATGGAGACTGTATCCAGGGTTGCAGGAGTACAGGACAAAAGTGTTGGCAAAATGGCCGTCGTCTTGGATCTTATAGCCATAACCAGGAACACCTGGTTCCTCGCAGCGTACCAGGTCAAAACCTAAAGTCAGACGCAGAAACAGACACACAGGTGTGCACCCGCATGCAGATTACTTCTTCCTGTCCATGCAGTAAGACAACATTGCATAAATAAGCAGTTTTGGACAAAACGATTCAAGTTAATTATACTCTTCTCATTTCTTCCTGCACAAATTTCACAAATTCTTTGACACATTTAATGCTGAAACACGACGCAACAGCTGCAGTAAAAGCCAAGCCATTTCAACTGATTATACCTTTATGCCTCTTTCATAATACGAAAAAATAACTGTGTGGGTTTCTCCCCTTTCTGAAAGACATAATTATGTGTAGTGAGCAGTAACACCAAGTATATTTCTGGACTGAAAATTTGGTTTCCACATGAAACTCTGGAAAAACAAGTGATAATCAAATGATAATTCCCCAACCACAAAACCACAAATACATTTTACACTTGAACGAACACGCTGTGTTTTAAAGATAACAAAGAGAAAAGTTTCCCGCCTCAAAGACAAATGGATAAACAAAGACACAGCAATGTCAAAAACAAATTATACGTATTGTCGATCAGAAAAGTTTCTATGTAATGGACGATGACCTGAAACGATCTCTTTCACAACGTTTTTTTTAACATGTCTGGCTCTGTTTATTGTACAGAATTCCACAAAAACATAACAAAGTATTATAACATCTACACAGCAGATTGTGTCATTTACAGAAGATTGAATGTACCCTGGACCAAGTCACAGCTTAGAACGTAAAAATATTTTGTCCCTCAGAAGATATTTATCTAATGAAAAAACAAATTAGGGCGATATTTAAATTTTGTGTAAAGATAAAAGGTGCTGTGTAATGTCTTCTTGGCAGAGTCTGTCGCTTGATCCTTTGGTAAAATACCGGCCATCTCCTCTATCTTGACTGGTGTGTAATGTATTAAATGAGAGAGCAATACTCCCATCGGGTTTTTAAGAACATAATCAAGGCACAAAATGTATAACAACCTGGTAATAACATTGATTACTACCCACAGCTTTGTGAGCTGTGCCTAGAACTCTCCATCCCTTCCCGGATCTATTTCAGTAAAACAGTTGCATATCTCTGTCATAGTCTCTCGTCAATGTCTTGAGCAGATGTTTGAACCTTTCACTCAATTACTCTGTCAAGCGTTGTAGTATAAAGGCAGTTTTACTCAAGTCCTTGACCCTAGTTTATTGCACGCTATGCTTCTATCTCCTTCCTCCTGGATACACCTTGTATCAATCTCTCTTGTCTCTCCATGGCCATGACTTACAGGCTAACGGCTGTCTAATGGTTTAATTGACATACATAGCATACTTCTAGTATCCATATACCATCTCCCTTCATCCGCTTGTCCCTCTGTCCAGTCACTCTGCCACTCCAGATGTGTCACTTTGTCCTCTTCTTTTAATGACTTATAGATAAATGCGTCACTAATGGCCTCTTTGACTTACACAGCAGCTGGTCCTGCCTTCATAACAGACACTTTGAAGCCATTAAAATGCGCGTGTGTGTGTGTGTCTCTCAAGCATTTATTAAATTAATTCATTTCTTCTGGATGCTTGTAAAACTACTGTTGCACTTTGGCCTTCAAGTGAGATTTCTTAGAAAAAGGTATTGGTGATATTTTTCTTACGCCTGTGAGAAAGGAAAGAAATAGCTTGGCAATTTGCTGACGAAGAAAGACAAGCCTCTAGAGTTTAGTAGTACATGTCTCCTATTTTGTTCTTGTATGTAGCACTCAAGAATCACTTGACTGAGGCGCAGGACAGATGGAGGATATATTCATGAGTGCAATCTAACACAATCACGACCACTCTAGTTTTCAATTAAAAACATCTCCTTACAAGGACCTTCATGATGAGCTACTTAAAATCTAGGAAATTACTGTTTGTCTGTGTTTGTCAGAATGTGTAAAACTATGTCTATGTGTGTGCATGTCTGGGAGAGGGGGGGGGGTCGCTTTCTTTCTTCAGCCAAACCTAAGCAAACCATGGCAGTAATGTTAGGTATAGAAAATAATATTTACTGCTGTGCAACTTAATGATCGTCATCGCACAGCGCAGATTTTGGTTGCTTAGTAACTTCCCAACACCTTGAATGAAAAAAATAAAAGTGACACGGCTGACACTTACCAAGCATTTTCAGACCATGCATGGGAACAACATTATCAATAAAATTATTTTGAGCGATAAACTAAGCAGAATTAAATTGGCTGCACTGCTAAACCGGAAAAACAACTCACTTGTGTATGTGAGGCGAAAGCCTTGATTGGTTCCAGAGGCATTGCTGTTGAACTCAAGCCAGAGGCGATTGGACGTAGTATTGATGACAGGACCCATCATGTTATCATTGGTAAAGTTGCCAAGAAGACGGGAAGAAGTGTTTTCTCCATCATACATCTGTCAATCAAAGCACAGGAACACAGAACATTAATGAGCATATATCAAAAGTGTTTTTAGAGGTTTATGCTGGGAATTTAATCAATACGAGTGTGAAAGAGCACAGATGAACAGTGCATCGCTCACCTGGTCTGGCAAAAAAGAACACCACAAAGCAGAGTTTGTCCTGAAACCAAAATTGCAAGGTACTGGTGTACTGCCTGTGCATCTACTCTGCATCAGTGAACAGTGAGTCATCCAGATGCCGAGCAACTCAAGTGAGAAAAAAACTCCCTGTGCTTCAGGAAATATATATACTTTGCTTTGTTTTGCATCAGTGTGGACCTTGGAAAGCAGCACAAAGCAATCATATTGAAAGTTGCTAAAGGGCGCTATTGCAACCTTATGTAGCCTACCAGTTTCATGTTGAACCATCAAGATTTTCATACAATTTCAGGGAGAAATCTATTGAAAACGCTGAAGGAGGTTAATAGTGGATATATGAATCGGTTAAGTTAAGCCGTGATGTAAAAAAACAGGGTGTTGTGTGACTGTTTAAAATGCTGCCATGCGTATTAAATGGCCTTTGGTGCAAGTAAAGACAAGATCGATTAGATGTAGTACAACATAGAAACGCTGGTTTATTTAACCTAATCCCTGGTTCTTTGATCACAGAGTGAGGTATTTCACTACGGGAATCGCTTCTGCTGAATGGACTATGGAAGCACAAACGGCACCAGGTCTGTCAATGACATACTGGTTGAACTGTGGTGTGGCTTTGCCTCCTCCCCTTACCACAGTCAATCGTCTCCCAACAAATTATACTAGACCGATTTGATTCTGTGTCCATGCAAGAAGGGATGTTATGGTGAAACCCAAAGAACAGGGGATGACTTAATTTGGTGTTTCAATATGGGAGACACATCCTGGATTGGGTTCATTTTCCAAAGCCACAAAAGCCTTTTTCGTGAAACAACATACAAAAGGATGCAGCCCTTTTTCCGGCCTTACCGATGTCAACTAATTAACTACGTGTGTTTCAGATGTCACCAGTTGTCAACAACCCACCATTTACCAATTTAAAGAGACACTAAATGGTGTCAATGACCATATTTGGCAGGTCTAGAAACACATGACCACGGCCAAGGCCAGTGTATTCGGCATGGAAGGCCACAGCTCACCCACTACAAGCTGTATGATTTATGCTTATTTATTTGTGCTTGGATGGCCACCGCTGTGAAGAGAAAAAAAAGCAGTAGTTAAATAAGTGCGGCCTACTTTTTAACTGCAGCGCGGGAGGAGGATCATACTGCTGTCTCACAGCTGGGGTAGAAATGTGAACTGTCCTTGTATAATACTTGATAGCCTGGGACATTTCCACAGACTGGTGTTGACAGGTATGGTGCCGCGATGGCAAAGACAAATGAGCTGAGACAATGTAGTGTTCTTTTTCACTCAAACTGCCTGTCAGAGGAGAGACCTCATCTGGTGGAGCTACAGTAAGACAGAAACATGGGAAAGGATACTGTGATTTTAAAGGCAAAAAGCAAATAGCAATGATATATGTTGCATTACTACCCTACACCTAGTGTTCCATCCCTATTCCTTACACACTCAAATTCTGTCAGTCAGTCTCCCCCAATTAGCCAGCTGGCTGTGTTTGTCTGCCTCTCTCTCTCTCTCTCTCTCTCTCTCTCTCTCTTTACCTCTCTCTCAAACTATGTTTCTCTATTGCTTTCTCTCAATCTCTCCCTCCTCCTCTCTGTGTATCAGTAAAACTCAGTATGGTTAATGAAAACCCCTGCAGCTCATAAATCAACATGTCACCATTTGCCCCCCTGCACCCCCCTCCCCCTTTCTCTGTAATCGCTCAGTCTCTTTTTTTCGTTGTACAATTTCTGCACACTCTTTCTTGGTTTCTGTCTCACCCTTCCTTGTTTCCTCGGGGCCGGAATACATCTGAGTAGATTTGGTCAAGTCAACAAAATAACGGCCAGGGAAAAACTACCAATAGCCAATAGAGAAACAGATACTTGTCATTCATCATGGTATTAAAAAAGTTTATTTATTGAAGCCACACTGAAGCCAATTGTATGACAATGTTGGGTGCCCTATGGTGAACGTTTTTTGTCATTCTTGCAATCAGTCCGGAGGCCTCCAAAGACATTCTGATTGCTGTGTTACCATCCAGTGCATCGTCGTTAACTTTTGTGATCTCAAGTCTTTCTCTGAATTCTATTTCTCTGTTTCTGTTATTTTCTCATAACAAATCAATTCATTACAGTAAATACTATGTCAAATGCCAAAACACAGTCATAATATGAAAGGAGCACTGCTCCCCAGTCTTGGTTTTTCCATCCCTTTCCCCCAAGTGGTTTTCAAAGTAGTGTTGAAGATTCTCCTCATGCCTTTTTTGAAGGTTTTATAGGAATTTACAACACAAGCAATATATAATCACGTTGATGTCACTTTCCTTTCCATTCAAGGGGATGCGTCTTAACAGTATAAATATCCCACTGGGAACATTTCCCCCATTTACAATGCACTGACACCTCTCTGAAAGTCAGACAGAAGCTTCCCAATACAATCTACCCACAGAGGAGCTCAGCCGATGCTCTCGGCCTCACGCTGATAAAACACTCGCACCACGTCCTGGTTTGACCGTGCCCTCGGGCCTAATACTGCTAGGAGACATTGTAAGCTGAAAAGGTTTTAGACAATGTCTGCAGGACGGTATGACGGAGACTGTAAAACCGATCATAGAGCTGCTCCTGACCGACACTCAAACACAAGCAGGCGTACAAGCGGTTTTACTCCACTCTTCAGGAAAGTGGTTAGGATTTTAGTATGTGACATAAATATTCATCAGACTTGCGTGTTCATAAATGTTATACGTTCTTTCCCTTTTCTCAGCTTTGAGTTAACAAGCTACCAACACCAATGTAGTTAGGTTTCCTGTCTGCTCCTCTGTTTCTTCCCCCAGTCTGTTGTATTTGAGAGCCAATGTGCTCATGTTTCGTTCTGGCTCAACCAATAGTTCTGGCTCATCCCGCCGTCGGGCTTGAATGCTTCGGCATTATTATTTGGGTCCACTGATTACACCATCACCCAACAAATATTGACAGATAATAAAGGTATAGTGATGAATATATATACGGTATCATATTCAACAATTCATGATTTCAAATTTAAAACCCTCTTTTTTTGTCTACAATCTAATGATTGTAGACTATGTATTATTGCGTTTTTTTAAAATGTTTTTCTTTTATTTATTGTCTTTTTTTGTTGAGAGGAGGTCTTCTAAAATCTTTATTTTCATTTTTAGCATTTTCTTTTTACTTCTTTTTACCACATATCACCCTGAATAAAAGTGGATGCAAGCCAAGGTAAATCTTTAGATGCAACAATAAAACACTTTAGAGGGTTTGTGAGAGGGTTAACAGCGGCTGAGTGGATTCCTTTGTACATTTGTTTACCATGTGTTCATTCAGCCGTGGATGGCCATTGCAGCAGGAGCACCATCAGCACTAATATAGAACATGGGTAATAAACGCCTGCAGGGGGGGGGGTTACCGATTCTTACAACAATGTTTATCACATCAGATATATACGCAATGACTGTTTTAACATTTATTGTTAGCTTAGGCTGAGAGGAATGCATTGACAGAGTTTGGGCTCGGAAATGCAGGGGTAGAAGTAACGAATTACAAATACTCATGTTACTGTAATTAAGTAGATTTTTTGGGTACTTGTACTTTTATGAGTATTTTCTTCAAGTGTGTAATTTTACTCATACTTGAGTACAATTTACACCATGTAATCTACTTCGCTACTTTTCAAATCAAAAGTCGCTATTGAGTAGGGCTGCAACAACGAATAAATGAAATCAATCAAATTCGATTATTAGAAGCGTTGGCAACGAATTTCATTATCATTATTTGGGTCGCGTGTGCTCTGGTCGTTTTTGGGATTGCCGCATTTTTCTCTTGCAGCGTTTTATTGTTAGATTTCTTTTGCCGTTTGCACGTTTACATTGAATGTCTGCTATTGACAATGCAATAAAACATCCATCCGTTAAAAAGTAATTTGTACTCTGAGTAGTTTTTGAGAAGAGTACTTTGTACTTTTACTTAAGTATTTTTTTAACACTAGTACTTTTACTAGTACTTTAAGCAATGTAACAGTACTTGTACTTGAGTACAAATTGTTAATACTCTTTCCACCTGAAACGTAACCAAGAAATTGACTTGTGTAACTGATGCATTCTCGTTTCCTTTCTGATGGAAGCCTGGAAAGCTCTCTGAAATAGGTGTTCAAATTGTTCTGGCATCGTGCAGGTTTCTGAACCTCTTGATTAGCACTGGGCTTTTTAGCGAGCCCCTTCATGGCTATTATAGCATTCTGAGAGCTCTGTGGCTTCGACCATGAAAGAAACACGCTACAGGTTGGCTGTACTCTTCAATACCTCTTTTATATATAAATAAATAATCCCAAGAATTTCAATGAAACGTAACAAATACTGGAATTTAGAAAAAAATGCTCCAAGAATGTGGGCAAATTTAGAGATGAACTCACTTTTTTTAAATTGCCTTCTCTGCTAAATCCTCCTTTTAAAGACTTTCGTACACTGTTATCTAAAGCCAAGATGGCAAATTACGTCATTATAAAAACAGCAAGACGGTTGGACTCACGTAATCTACTGCCTGATGGAAACGTGTTGTACACGGCTAGAGACATGACAGATGCATATATCTTTAAATGTGTGGTCCCAACAACAAACCCTGGTGTTTCGCTTTTCATCCCAATTATTTTACTGTGTTTGTGATGATACCTACATCCGCGACGCAATTATTTTTTTTTCTTTTCACCACATTTGGTAATAAATCAAACACATAATCTGTATACGTGCTTTACTAACTAAATATGTGCTTTACATATAGACAGCTTTTTATTATGACTGTTATCCTGTGTATATGTTGAATAAGTCTGTGAATTTGTAATTTATGGATTTTGTTACCACTGGATTGGGAATAGCGTTGTCATATTTACGTGCGTGTGTGTGTGAGGATACCTTGAGATAGTCTCCGTCTTGCAATAAGAAGCTCTCAGCTTTCAGGCTGATTCCTCTGCCCTTTCCGGTCGTGATGTGGTAGATGCACTCATGGTTGTTATCGTAGTTGGAGGGGAAGTTCGGAGAGAGCAGTACGCCTTCTGGTCCTTCCGATGAAGCTCCACACTCCGCTACAGTAAAAGAGTGAAATAGGGGAAGTGTTTAGATCAGGATCATAGCATTTACACCTAATAATCGTATGGCAGTCAGAACGTCTGGGTGGTGTTATTGTAATTGTTATTGTAAAAATGTTTAAAACAGAGGAGAGGAGCCACGTGACATTTTCTGAAAATCACAGAAACAGCATACTGTAACAGCAGACCTTAGGCATGGCAATAATAACGATAATGACAAGAACTCATATAATCTAAAATAGCTTCAAAGCACGTTCAAGACAAGACAAGGGTGACCAGCCAAAAGAGAAGAAAAAATGATATAAAAAGAATAATTTGTATATTAATATTTGCATAAAAGCACGGCTGGATAACTGAAAGAAAAAGTGTTTCATAGAAATGATACAGAATTATCTAGCAGGTGCCGAGTCCATCAAAGTTTAGGAATTTAAATAAGTGGTACTCAGTGCAAATCGAGTTTTGTCCTATGTAAATGGGGAGAGGAGAAAGGCAGGCTTTTAACTCCTGAGGAGGACCACCACGACGGGAGAAGGAGCACATGGAGGTAATGAGACAGACAAGAGACGGAAGTGGAACATTGATACACTCACTGAGAAACAGATGCTGTGTTTATCAAATCGGAAAAGATAAAAACATGTGAATAAAGGTTGTGTAGCTTTAGAAGGAGAAAAAGGCCTTAGATACGAAGCATACATTCAAAAGTGCAAAACCGGCAAATCTTCAGAAAACACTGTGAATGTGAGAACAGCAGAATAGGTTGAGTGCGTAGGATAATATACACACCGTAACAAATTGCTGTAAATTTACGGTGCATTTCTAACGGTATCTTACAGTATGTCATAATAACTGTAACATACAGTTAAATTTCCATCCCTTGTTTGTAAATTACCGGCCAATGTCATGAATTAACAGTTAAAGCTGTCAATTTACAATAATAGCAGACTACCGTAATTCAACTGCATGTTACATATATTTTATGAAGTGGTGGAACTAAACATACAAGTGCAGTGAATCACAATGCATCTACATCTTTTGTAGGTTAATGTATCCAAGCCTATGTCAGCCACTGAAAAACAGGTCCTGTAAGTCATTAAAATGAGATAGTATCTCATGAGATACGATGATGACTCTGATTTACAGGACATTACTATATATGCAGCTGTCACTTTTATCCAAAACGCCCATGGTTTGACATAATTTTATGTGGAGTAATTGGGGGGTTAGGCTCAGGGACACTTCAACTTGGCACAGGTAGCAGCCAGGATTCGAACCGGCAACCTTGTGCTGCACAGCACACCCTCCCTATCGCATGAGCCGCCTTCGCTGTCGTTTCAGTAGTCGGAATGTAAAGATTATAAATATTTGTATTATTCAAAGTGTTCATTGCCTAAGAGTCATTTGAGTGTTAATCGTGACCGACTCCTCCTGAACGTGACATCAGACGCGTAATCTCAGTTCATCCAGAACGCCTGTCTGTGCAGTTCAACATCGGAGGAGTTTCTCATTGCCTCGTCTCTCCAAGTAACGTTGGTAAGTGTTATTTGCCTGGCACGATTTACATTCTCCTTCCTTACATCTTGTTGTCTTCCTCAACTTTGTTTTTATTTTAATTTTAATATTTTACTAATGACAGTGTTTCTAAATATTTTATTTTGGTTTGTTTTACAGAGGCACTGGATTAAGGACGCCAGCCGTTTGCTGCGGTCAATTGAAAGTGTTCCACAGCGTATTGTTGCAGTTAGTTTACCTTGTTCCTAATAATTTTATGATTCATTTTTATTTTTGTATACATGTGGCATATTTTATGTTTTGATCTTGGTTACAAATGCCTAACATTTTTGTCTTAAAGGCATCTAATAAACTCCAACCACTATGACCGAAATGAGTTTGGTTGTCTTTCTTTAATTTGTGGGGAATTAAATGCAAAAATATACGGTAACATTCTGGTATTTATAACACAAAAACAGTAATCGTATGGTAAGAAACTGTAATCCAATATACGACAACATACCGTAAATTACGGTAGGGCACTGTAAATAAAACAGTAAGTTACTTGCGTTGACTGCCAGTACAGTTAATTCACAGTAAAATTTGTTTACGGTAACATACAGTAATCCATTTTACGGTAACATAGTGTAAAAACCATTTTCGGTATTATACCGTAAAATAACGGTAAATTCCTGGCGTCCTTGCCGCCAGTAAAATACCGTTAATTTACGGTGACATTTTTTAGAGTGTAGGTTAGTGAATGGGGGAGAAGAAAGGAATGAAGAGAGGTGGAAAATAAGACTAGATAGCATATTAACTAAGGTAGGAAATGGGGTAAAAAAAATAAAAAGGCAAAAGGGCACCAACATAATAATATACAGTATTTATACTTTATATAGCAGCTAATGCCCTAATTATCTACCAAAGGAGTGTCTAAATACAGAGGGTGAGAAGACGCTGACAGAAAGAAAATGTCCCTCAAAGAGAGGGAGAGAGGAACCAAGAGAATGTTGCCCACTGCTAGATTTGCATTCAAGTTCTGGTCTTTTTTTGGGGGGGGGGGCTTGAAAATATTCAGCAGTCAGGGTATTATTTACGAGCAGGATCTAAGGAAACACTGAAACTCATCAAATACTTGCAAAATACAACCTGTCAAATAATAGGGAATTAACTTTGTGTCAGCAGTAAAATACTGGTGAATTACAACCAAGACAATGCTGATACTTTAGGTTAATTTCTATGGTGAAAAAGTTTTTCATAAATGGACATTTGCACATATGGAAGTGCATTTTAAAGCTATGCGAATTGACAGAATAAACACATCTGAAATGCTTGTTTAAACATCATATAAAACAATGTTGTGTAAGGAATGGTCAACGACTATGTAATTACATTACAGGTCATTTAGCAGACGCTTTTATCCTAAGCGACTTACATAACACTTTAAACCCATGCATTTTTCACATTTTGCCCGGGGAGCAATTAGGGGTTAGGTGTCTTGCTCAGGGACACTTCGACATGGAACATGGGGCAGCCTCGACCTTCTCTAACCCCTGCGCCACGACGACCCCTATTGTAATGCTCACAATATGGACACCCATACTATATGACCATAGCCTGAATGTTTTTTAAGCAGTGAAATTATTTTTCATTTTTACTGAGACACAAGTCTGTCTTACCTATACATCTTGGCAGTATGTTACTCCAGACTCGTCGACCTCCTCCCAAACAAGTTATCTTGCTCTCCCCCTCCAGTCGGTAGCCAGTGAAACAAGAGAAGGCCAACGAGTCGCCAACTCGAAACCTAAATCCCGTTCTCCTGCTGTACGCCGGTACGCCAGGATCCTCACAAGGCTCTAAGTCGTATTCTATGCATCCAGGAGACATAAATAATAGTGATGGTCGGGGGGAGGAACAGTAGTTTTTGCCAAGCATAAAGTTCAACTGTGTTATTTCCCATTACAGGTTAGCAAAGGCAACGTTCAGTGATAGTGATCGGAACATGAATCACCATAAAAATGAATACATTTCACACATACAATACATTGATATACAATATAAGACTGAAGACTGATTTGTTGTTCAGTGCATCAGGCTTGACGTCTGGCTAAAAGGGCAGGTTAGGTCTATACGTTTAACAGAGTAAGAAAGCTTTTAGGTTGATTTTATGCGTGCAACATCTATGTGAACTAAAGTCGGTTTCTTACCAGAAAAAGTCATATTAAATCCTTCATAACTCATGGAAAAATCGGATATGAAACGTAGCTGGGCGCTAAAGTTTCCATAGAGCCCCGCTCTGACACTAGGGGGCAGCACTGAGCCGGTGAGTCGAGCTACTGGAACCTGGAAGTTGCTGTCCTCAGTGATGGAAAGGTAGTCATGGTTCTCCTCCAGATGGAATGTGTGGAAAACCAGATGGACTCCTAGAAATCCATGGATGAATGGACAAATGAACAGATGGTTGGATTGATGTATGGACAGATAAACAGTTAGTCAAAGAAACATAAATGGAACCAAGAAACTCACTCATATATCCACCAATGTATTGAGTGTAATTGCAAAGCAAATGGTTGTATGTGTGTGTTCTCACCTTTGCCATGAGACACCTCTATAGTCCAGGTGCAGTTAAGAGAATTGGGGTAAAAGTCAGGAAAGCCAGGGGACAGAATTGTTCCCGTTTTACCGTAAACATATCCTCCACAAAGGGCTGTATTGAGATAGTGAGAAAGAGACAGAAAGAGAAGGGTGAAAAAGAAAAGGAGACAAAATTACTATTGATAAATGGTTAATACAATGTAATTACAATCAAAACATATATCGACTACAGTTAAGATATTATCACAAAATGTGATCACAAAAAAGATTAATTAATTTGCTCTTAATGTCCTACCATAGTTAAACTGTAATTGAGCCACATTCAATCTTTTTTTCATTTTCACACAGGAGACCTGCACATTTTAAAATCTAATTTTGATGATAAAAAAATATGAAAAAGATGATGTCAGTATGGGCTCTATGGAAAAGAAAAAGTCTTTCACAAATATTAACATAATAAAAATCAAATGTACTTTATGCTTTCATCCTCATTTACTTTAAACCTGCAAGTTGTGAACACAATGAGGGCTTGCAGTGCATTATATATATATATATATATATATATATATATATACATATACATACATATACATATATATATATACACGTATGTACAAAGTGTGTACATGTGTGTTGGTACAAGCATTCCAGTGTGTGGAATAGAGAAACGCTGTGTCTCTGCCTCTCCACCCTCTCTCTCTGTCTATCAATGTCCTTCCACCCATTTCCATTACATTAACAGAGCTTGAGTTGACGTGATTCCAAATATCTATTTGACTAGCAGTCTTGTGCGGGTTGCAACGACTTCTTCTTCTCGCTCCCATCAGGATTCAGCCAATCCAAGGACACCGTCTACGTAACCTCTGTCATGGACGTGTGCCCACACTGTAACTTCTGCTTTTGAGGGTGAAAACATCAGAGTATGCCAATGATCTATGTCTGAGAATATCGAGTCTGATAGTGTGTGTGTGTTTCATGACTAATATTTGACGGAGAAATCAAATCAAAATGAGGCCGGCTTTCAAGGTTGAGAGCAGAGGCAATAGACAAAGTGCATATAGAAAGCAGATGTAGAAAGATAGACAGGATTAAAGTAAATACTAAAAATATTTTCACTGAAGGGGACGCTGTGACTTTGGTCACTTCTAACAAGTTGTTGTCCTGTCACCAAGCTGCAAGCTTTGAAATATCACTGCACTCCTTCAATATTCTCCTAAAGGAGAAGCCGGTGTTCTGTATTATCTGTTTGATGATTTAGCTGACCTGCAGGAATAAGACGAGCGGTTTGGGTCCAATAGACACTGTGGCATTACAGAAAGGGAACGATAGCTGCCCGCCCGCGGGAGAACTATATGTCATTTTGTTTTCCTCACATACAAAGTCTTGTCAAAATAAGGAATGTTGGTTGCTGCATAATGCAGTCGATATGGTGGACACGGCCTGTCTTTTGCTCAGGTATAGGACAGTTAAGATATTAACTGTGCCTCTGAGACTGTACTGTAAATAAGATTATTGTCATTAATGTGTCCATGTGCGTGTATAAAATGCTTTGAGTACTGTTGTGGGAGTTTTTAAAGATGGCTTTCTTTATCCATTAAATTAATGTCTGAGTTCTTTCCAGTGGATTTAACTAGGTTTCTCCGTGTCTGCTTGTGCTTCTTCCCACCAAATCAAGTGAACTAACCATGTGAAATTATTAACAGGTAATAAACAGAAAAGGTAAAGACTGATAAATCATAAATTCAGTATTGGTAAAACACATTTCACACATAATTCTGCTCATCTAATCTAAAAGCAAACTATGATTTATTATATTCTCCTCAAGGCTTACACACCGCTTTACTAAAGCGCGGTTCTGAAATAGTGTGTCTCGTTATGTAACAGCTGCCTGGTGAGATGGCACGACTGGCTGAAAATTGAAAATGTCACTGTGGCCATTTAAAAACTGCTTATGTTACGTGGTTGAGTCCGTGAGATGGATTGCTTCGGTATGAACTCACTCCCATGTTGAGACATCCCGACTTTGGCTTACAAATTGGATTCCTCCGTAATTGGCAGAATGAATCAGATGCTGTGTGTGAATCTCCCATGATAGCGTGGGCAAATGCTGCAGGAGAAGGCCTGCGACGGCCGCGGAGCATCTGTTTCCGTCGTGCTTGTTGACCCGCATGATTTCACTGAGGCTCGATGTCCGACTTGAAACATTCTGTTAGGGTGTTTTTGGGAGTGCGGATGCATTGTAATGCATTAATTAATTACCGCATTCAGGTTACATCTAATGAAATGGAATAAAATGCAGGAGACTGGAAATGACGGTGCTTATAGGAACACCTGCATCTCCTTGAGCTCTCTCGATGACCTCGCTCTCTGCTGTCAACTGTCTTTCAGCCTCGTCACTCTGCGCACTCCTCTTTTGTTTTTGTTTACATGAAGAGGGGACCGTCCTGGTCAGGTTTCCTACTTATCCCACAACACGATAAACACACGACTAGTGCTTTGTAAAAACAGAATTGCAAATAGTGGTTTAGTGTTCACAGTGAACAGGAAGCAGCTGCGGCGCTGGCCACTGATTCGGCCCGGTCATTGTAAAATATAAGCCTTGGTGATTTCTCACTGCCTCATGTCTTGTCTTTGGGATCAGTGTACGAGGTGACTCAGAGTCAGAGCAGAACAGCAGTGCGGCATTTTACATTCTTAGTCAGCAACTCAGCTCAATGAAGCGAGAAGACAAACTGTTTTTACTTTTAAATAAAACTTTAGCGTTTCATTTGAGTCCATCGCGTTTTAGCATTCACCAGGTTCCCACCTAATAAAGGTCTTCATCAAGTGGGTTAATACAAAAGAAAGAAAAGAATCTCACCATCGCAGCTTGGAAGAGCGTGACTCCACTGATGAATGTGCTCGCAAACAATCGGCTCCTGATCGCTTAGTGTGTATCCTAGATCACATGTAAAAGAGACACGGGAGCCGATAAAAAAGTTTGTGCCGTGGCGCCGACCGTTGACCGGAATCCCAGGATCAAGACAAGAGTCTGACTCCATTTTCACACCTGAGGAATCACACAAGAAAAATACCACAAGTCAAGAGGGTGAAATTGTGCGCGCTCGTGTGTGCATAATTACACCTTCTAAGCTTGTCTTCACAAAACAATTGTGTTGCGTATGAGTACCTGCAGGTAATTCAATCTTGTGTCTAACAAACATTTCTATCAGTCAGTCAATCGGCCTTACTTTCATATCTGATGCTGAAGCCCGCTGCAGAGCGGCTGTTGTCCGTGGTGAACAACAGGAACAGGACGTTGGATGTGGAAATCAGGAAATGAGGTGCTTGGGTGCCGTGGTATTCACCGACGAGGGGGGAAGAGACCGAGGGGCCGTCCCTGATCTCCAGTGTGTCATAATTAACCTCAGTCTGGAACCTACACAGACGCACAAGCAGCAACGAAAAAAGAAGCAAGTAGAAAAAGCGATTCACATTGATTCACATTCTACCTGTAAATTGAAAATAACTTGACCTTGTAAAACTAACTATCTGAAAAACACTTTCTGCCTGCAACACCAACAGTTGTGTCTGAAAGGCACTCGGGAACCAACTCGTTCCTTGAGACCGTCATTCGGAAAATATCACACAAGTGCAATTGACTACCCTTCCTGGATAGAAAACAAAGAGTTGCAAACCACTAAGAATAGCATACTGATCTAACCAGCCATGTGGACTGTTAACTAGCCACAGGACAAGATATTTACACACAATGCAAATTATGAATGACCCGCCTCGATGAAGATAATTTGGTCGTTACGTCAATTCCCCAAAAGACAAATATGAGCTTTAGCAATTTCAGGCTACACTGCATGTGTGTTGTGCAAAAAAACAGCATAAATTATTTACTGCAGCATTATCTCAACAACTTTATTTGCACATGAAAACCTGACCATGTTTCTGAACGACCGACCAATGAAAAGACTGACTCAATATTCAAATGGCCGTCGGACACAAGTGTAAAAAAACAGACCGGCCGTGTTATTCGACTTATAACGATGTGACGGGTATTCTGAGTAACTGATGAGCAAACTCAAACCAACCTCTCTACGCCCACAGAACCCACTCGCTGACCTGTCAAAGTGTATTTTCACAGCGTGGTCTGGCTGCGCTTCAATCACCCACTGGCAGTTCAGCGAATCTTTGTAAAACGAGGGCCAACCCGGGGACAGAAGAACCCCGGTAGGAGCTGTGAGGTGTCCTCCACACGGAGCTACGGGGAAATAAACACACAACCACAGGGGGAGCAGATTAATCACTTTAACAGTATTCTTGCATGAGCAAAACGCTCATGTCACATCAAGTTTCGAGATTGATAGTTTTACAATTTGGGTTAGCACTGTAACAGTTTCTATATGTATAGAGTTTATACCAACACATTTACCTTCAGAAAATAGTGGAGCAATTTTGTGCTACAGTAAACACATTTGAGTTGTTCATATTGGAAAAAGGGCTAAAATAATTATAGAATTAGAACTGATCAAATCAAGAATATTCATGAATTATATGATGCCATAAAACTGCTCTCCATTCGCTCGTCACTCAAAGAACTGCACATAGCTGGCAGGTATTCAAGAATGAATTGAAAAGTTTAGTTTAGGATAAAGACTAATAAAATGCCTAACCCCTTTTTCTTTTCATTTATGTTTTGGTCTGACCTGTTTAGCACTCAAATTAAGCTACTGTAACATCTTTCATAACAACTTTAGGCCTGTAATTCATGATCTTTTCATTATCGAGTGCTCTTTCTTCAATATGTCATTTGCATACCTCTTATTTCACACTCACGCTTCCTCCGTTCTAAAGTTGCCTAAAGATGCCTTCATCTTTCTGATTGCTAACATAACTCCAGATTTTCAGCAAGCTAAAGAAAATTAATTTTCTTGTACCTGCTTTGTGCACACTGAAGTTGTGGTACTCATAGATGGTATTTACAAGAGGAAGTCATTCAAGAAACAAAACATTATTATCCTTCCTTGTCCAATGGGAGGAATCATGTTTTCCCACATTTCATATTATTATATTTCATATGAGGTAATGAGGTGACAGCTCTATTCAATTAGATCGTCTCCTCCATTCCATTTGTTAACAACAGCCAACATTTGTAATTGTGATTTGGTCAATACAGTCAAGATGGAGGAGCCACACAAAAGTAATATACATTCTCCCTGGCAAAAAGTGCTGAAATAACTGTTCACTACCCTCCTGTTATGACACCTACTACATATCTACATCTCTGAATATGGGATTCTGCATGTAATAAATGCATCACCCTGTATTTCAGGAGAACTTCTGCCAATTCCATTTAAGATTATTGATGTTAAGGTGAAAGATATAAGATGGAATACATGCGGGCAGACTGCAGACTAAAGCAATGAGAGAAGGAATGTAAACTGTCTGTATTCATGCTTACCTTCACAGCGAGGTACAGCCGCAGACCAAACAACATTTCCATCCTGGATGATGCAAGTGACCTGATCAGACCCCTAAAAACACGACATGTTACTTAGACATGGTAAGATAAAGGAAGACAAAAACAACACGACTGAAAATAAATAAACATAAAAAGAAGTATTTATACCGAGACAAACAAGGAACAAGGGAGGAATCCGTGATTTTGTGTGTTTTTTACTACAAATGCTATTACAAACATGCTACTAATGTTATCACCTGTAATAAATAAATGTATTTTGTGTAGATGCCCCATTATGGTAGATCAAGCAGATATCCATTTTTTACCTGTGTCCTAATGAATCCTTGATCGCAGCGAAAAGCCACAGAGCTGCCGAGCTGGAATTGGTCACCATACCTTTGACCATTGACAGGAACTCCTGGGTCATGACATTCATTCTGTCCAAATGCTTCAGAGAAATAACAACGAGAGAAAAGTTAAAATGGTAGCCAAAGGGCTAAACAGACGGTAAGAAAACCAAAATAACCTGAAAACAAAGCTTAATTTCTTTGTAACTAACCAAGAACAGAGAAAATTTAACAGATAAAGAAAAGAGAAAAACAACACATGGTGCCTACTGACAATAGCATTGATATTTTATTATATTTTATTGTATTAATTGTTGAAGTGGTTCAGAATACATGTGCTCATTTGATCATTTGAACAACAAGGTGTTTCGATGTATTTGAATACCGTGAAATTCAAAAAATCGAGGAGGAAATGTTTTTGGGGGGTGGGGGGATGGAATCACTGCCAGTAAATGTGACATCTCTACTGATATGGAAATATAGGGAAAGAATTTATCTTCACGTGGATTCAACCCTGTCATGTTTAGCTTATATCAGCCCCATTTCAGAGATTAACCTGATCCCACCCAGAGCACACTCGCAGTGATTGGTCATGCCTCAGGTTGATTAGCTACTGATGGGAAGAAAATGAGAGTAGACAGAGAAAAATAAAGACGGAGGGGAAAAAATAAGAGCAATTGAGGAAGGTGCCATATGCAAAGAATCCTCACACATAGTACATGCAGCGCATGTGTGCAGGCAGATGGACATATCTTGATACAGGTTGTGTGTGAGTGGACAAGCAAAACAACAGAAGTCTGAGTGAACAATGGAGATCGATATGATGGTTTTGAAAATAAGGGATGAAGAGTAACAAACAAAGGCCTTTAGTTGAGTGCAGATCTCCGCCAGGTACGTCTACAAAGGCCATATTGTAAGGCTGAAATAGAACAACTTGACAGATGCGCTCTCACTGGCGTAGGTGTGAGGACTCACATGAGGTTGGTGCCCATCAAACGAGACACGTACTAACTGTGCATCTTGCCGCAGAGCAGCAACCAGGTGGCTGAGATGCAATCCGCTCTGTGTGTAGTTTGGTTAGCCTGACACACTGTCTAAAACAACAGTAACAGAACTGTTTTACGCAGAGAAATGCACTGTGCGGTTTCCTTCCACTGTGTCCGACCGCATCTGACCGTCATCACCAGTGGGCCCCATTTCAAAGAAGTGAGCCAGGAGTAAGCAATGCGCCGCAGGCACAGTCGATGACAGTATAAAGCCCTTACCAGACAATACTTTAGGAGATTGGGTCAGCTTTGTGTAATTGTTTTCAATGTGATTGAACTATTTTGTGTGCTGTTTTTGTATTAATGAGTGCCTTGCATTTCCTGCACTCTGCGTCAGCATCTCGAGCTCCCTAAAAAACCTGTAGTTGACTGTGTGTGATTCTCCTGGCAGAGATGTGATGACAGTGTCGGGACAGAGAGAGAGAGAGAGAGAGAAATAATGAAATTACAAATAACTTTGACAGCAATATATTGGAAATCAAGAGTCAAGATGGTCCATCCTGAGGTCATAGCAAGGTGTGCCTTTTTACTGGTATTGTGTGATTTCAATGGGGTGCAGTGAGACGTTTTCTTAGTTTATAATGAGTTACTTTGCTGTTATTACAAATAAGTAAATATTTTGATGTGGTATACATTAACTCAAATGGAATCCAGTTAACATGTAACGTTAAGGTAATAAACTAAACATGTATTATCGGTTTTCCCAATGTTAATGTCTATGACAAATTCCAACTATATTCTCCAATTGTTTTGTCAATAAAATATATTACTTAAAATGAAACATTGTCTTGAAAAATGGGTATTCGTCCACAGTAATTATGTTTTTCATGAACATCTTTTGACAATAAACACATCCCGAAACCTATATATGCAAAGGGGGGTATCAAGAGACTCTCAGTAGATGAATGTTTGTCAGTGAAAAGGACTCTATTGGCATATTTTGCTTCCAATGGTGCATTTAATCCGTGTTAGTATTAGGGATTAAATTGTTTGCACTAGGATTAGAGGAAGGACTTTTTATTCTGTGGCGCTGAACAGAAAAAAAATATCATTTTTATAACTTTTACCAGTCAAATATAACTCTTTAAAGGAAAGTCAGAGACAAGGTCATGGGGGAGGCAGTCTGGGAAATGGAGCAAAACTACATGAAATTAAGAGAGAATAAATAAGAGTCAGTCATGCAGCACTCGTTCAGCTTGGAGCAGGCACATATACAGGGTTCAGTAGTCAGATTCAAAGCTAAAAATGTGACAGCTTTAACTAAGTATAGCATGAGTAAGACATACAAAGAGGGATCTATCAAGAAAAACAACACAAAAAACAACAACACACAAAAAACGAGAAGACGGGTGCTTCAAGAGAGAGTAAGAATATCTTTTCTAATTCAAAACATAGTGTATATTGCTGCTGCATCACATATTAAACAAGTATTTCTTTCTTACAATGTGATCTTACACAGTCACAAACTGTTGTGACTGTCCCAAAAGAGCTGACATCTTTCTCATGTCACTACATCTCATCAACAGACAGACACAGACAGGTGGGCAGGGAGCACATACTTGTGTAGCTGATATTGAATCCTTTTCCAGTATTAGAGTGATCCGATTGAAATTCCAGTCTCATGATGTGTCCATTCGAGGCGATCTGCGATGGGACATCTTTTCCCGAGAACGTCCCAAAGGTTGTTGGCTCAGACAGGCCTAAAGTAGTACAGAGTTTAAACAATCTTTTAGAGACATGTTTTTCTGTTTCTTATCTAATTGTGTCTGAATAACATTAGGCCAAGGACGTACTTGGAAAGTGAAGGGCTCCTATAAAAAGGGATAAATAAAACACCCCGAGAGACCTCAGGAGAGGTATTATATATTATTAGTGTTAGAAAAAAGTAATTAGGTGTCAAGACTCTTGGTAAAGGTAGCACAGCTTGATGTGGTTTTTGTGTGTTGTTTTGAGGAAAAATGTCACCAATGTACATACTCATAATCTTGTCACCATGGCAGTAACCGTGTTATTGTTTAAAATACCAATCAAACCAACGTGATCTCCAAAACCTGTTCGTAAAAATGTATACAAAAATCTTGAACATACAAATTCGTAACAATACATACGAACTGGCGGTGGTTAACCCCGCCCCTTGAGTGAACAACATGGCGGACCATGTTGGATTCTTGAGTAAACGTCTCTCCGCCATGTTGGATTTTTTGAGGGGGTTAGGGTTAGTATTCTATTCTTACAATGTAACATTGATTTCTCGTTAAAAATGCAATCATACCACGTTTATTTTACATCGTTAGACTTCACAAGTGTGTTTACGGGGTGCAGGTCCCCATTCACTTTGAATAGGGTGACGTCATCAGTTGCAGTCCGTATTTATTTAGTATGTATCACTACGAATTTGTATGTTCAAGATTTTCGTATACATTTTTACGAACAGGTTTTTGAGATCAGGCTGATCAAACCCATTAAGGGTTGTAATGAATGGCTGAATCTGGCTGTAATGTTATAGATATGCTGTAGCATCAAGGCCACGCTCTATAGCCATTTACGGACCCATGTGGCCACTACGCATCCCCCACTGGTCTGCGCAGCTGTAACCACACCAGACATCCGTGCCACAGGATAGTATCATTTACTTTAACTATACACTTTTTGGCAGAATACACTCTGCTCTTGAGGGAGCTCCCAAATGATCCAAACAGCAGCAACAAATCCAGTAGTGATCGAATATAACCCATGAGGGGTACAGAGCCCAGCAGGCTGTTATCGGTGAGATACGGAGTAAACATAATGCACGAGGAGAGAAGTGCCATCCCCAGCAATGCTGATAAGACCCATGAACAGAGGGTGGCTGAGTTGGTTGTTTGAGAAATCAATCGTCGCAGTCAGTAGCTTTTAGCAGGTAGAAATAAACAGATTAACCCTCCAGCAGCAGCGCCGTAATGATCATGCATTAGTGAGAGACATTTGGGATGAAAAAGACCATTTTACTGTCTCACTTAATGCCATTGGAATTGTAGTTTGAGTGTGATAAGCAATTGTAAATGTCAACTGATGCTGATGAGCAACTGGCATGCACAGTTTCAGTCCACTGCCTTGTTGCTGATGGCCCACAAGGAGTGAAACAGATCGGTGCTGCAGCAGTGAACTGTGAATCCTCAAAAAACACCTGCAGTGTTTTACAGGTGGGAGAAGGAGCCCTGGTGATATTCATTTTGGCTTCTGCCACCCAATATGTCATGTGCTCGTCCACGCAGGGCCATCTACCCACCGAGCAAATGGTTTGAAGTGGTGTCTTGTGTTCTGGTCCGTTCAATGATTACATTTGAAAAGGTCACTCTCCAGAAATCAACTGTGTGGGCTCAGTGATGCTTGAACTGGCCCTGTGGCATCTGCAATCATGTTTTTTTCATAGTCTGATAGTCTTTAAATCCAGTCGTGGTAATGCATGTGCATACAGAGTGATAGTGTTTATACACTTGCTGTTGCAATGAAAAGTTAAGCTACTTTTTTTGGTCATTGCATCAATATTCCATTGGCACTAACAGGATTTATACTTTTTACTTTAAAATCTATATTTAAAGGCTTGTACAATGTGTCATCAGATACAGCAAGATCCTTTCAAAGTCAAAAGATGACAGTACTGGATATTGATAATAAGATAAATCGTATCAACACGGTTTCAGATTACTCCTAGTCTAATTATTTAGAACACATCGTTTGGAATGCACAACTTTTTGAAAATAATACTGAAAATTCTAAAAAGGTGCAAAGAAAAGTTGTGTGGCAACCCAGCCGGGGTCTCTTTAGCAACTCCTACAGAAATATGTTTTTATTTCCTCCTTAATTAAGGAATTCGTTCATAGAATATAATAACATGGCGACCGAGTTTCAAAGCGCCATTCACCTCGTTCTTCAGCAAACCAAAAGCTCTGGCACATCTTAGTGAAAGAAAAACACACACTTACTTATTTAAGAGAGATACATTTTGTAACAGTCTATCACAACGTGGTCATTTATTAGACGACAACGATGGCTTTCCGATTATGTTAACCTTTTAGAAACTATTTAAAATGATAACTCAGCTTCAGCTGATTTGTTATTGTTTAGTTTACCAGTTGATTTATCGATTATTGCTTGTTCACTTTTGGCATTTGTTTGATTTCATTCTCCTATTATGCGGGGATCAAAGTCTTGAATGGCGAGGTCACATAAACTCCTTGGTGATTTGACAAGACAAATGGTTTTATTATGCAGAGGAACCTTTGTCACATTACATTAGGATGCAAGATTTATTTTTCCTTTAGGACTAAAGCGTTGGGGCAGTGTGTGACAAGATTGACTTCATAACAGCAATTGTGTAGATAACAATGGTGGAAAAGTTTTAGTCAATGTGTGACAAAAGGAGAGAATTTCAAAATATGCCAATTAATCAATATATATATATATATATATATATATATATATATATATATATATATATATATATATATATATATATATTATCAATGATGTATAAGTAACACTTGAGAAGTGATGTACTTATTTGAAATGGCGTTCACTGCCCCCAAAATAACTTGACAACTTGACAACTAAATCAATGATGGCAAATGAACACACCATACCAATGTTGTGTTACTTTTAGATACATTTTTATATGTCAGCATGCTGAGTTCAGTAATGCGGCAGTCAACTTCAAATTATTCAAAAATATGTGTTATTTGGAAAAAGTGAACCAAATCTCTGTTGATTTTACCTTTTTTTTTGTGGTGAAAAGTTGTGGTGCAATATTTCTCACAACAGTAAACCTTTGCAGTTTTCACGTACATTTCTTTAACTGATCAAAAAGGGTAGTTACAAGGGTATTTTCTGCATTAAATATGCTAAAAGTTTTGAAATCTTGATAACATTCAGGAGGGAATATCATCAATAGAAGAGTCACAATCATAAGTTTATTTCAGAAAAGAAGACGTACAGTGGTGCTTCAATGTGACGGCAGTGTTTGATCAGCAAGCAGAACAAACTAGAACACTTCGAAGCAACAACTTTAATTAACATTTGCCCATTGGAACAGCACTAATTGCCCTGCAATTTTCAAAACCCTGCTACAAAACAAATCCCTGCTGTGGGACAGGTTTACGGCCTGCTAATTTAGCACTTCATCTTTAATGACAGCCCAGAGAAAACAGGGTCTTTTGTTGATTCAGTTTAAATCAATATCTTTCAATGGGTCATCAAATTGCCCCGTGTTCTTTGTGTAGTGGAAAAGTGCACAATAAAATAAATATTCAGATGTTTTCATCCGGCCAGCAAGATATTCCCTAACCAAACCCAAATAAGAGGTTATGTCGACCTAAAGTAAATTGAGAGAGAGTTCACTGCCATATTATTTGACCCTATTGAAGATTTTGGCAATATAGACATAGAATTTGCCTACGGTGTTTATTTAAGAAAAAGGTTTTCAAAATGACTGAGAAATTAGAATACAGTCACCTTCATCTTTGATCACCAACCAGTCGAACTGTGGCTCCAGGTCAAAGTCAGCGAACAGGAGATGAATACGGCTGCCCGGTTCAGAGATAATCAGCCACACACAGTTCAGGTTGTTCCCGTACTCCTCTGGGTAGTTCGGTGACAATACCGTTCCAGATGGAGCCGTGAAGTTGAAGAAACATGAAACTACAAACAGGAAGGAACAGAGGGACAAAAGGCGGTAAGGAAAGAGGTCAAGTTGATAGGTAATTGGGAAAGCATGCAAGCAAAAATGAATAAATATTGCAACTATGTTGTGTAATATGTCTGTAAAGACTATGTGCACTTACATATACAACTGGGTTTATTGCCAGACCACTGGTTATTGTGCTGGCAAGTGATGGTCTTCTCTCCCACTAGTTCAAAGGCCGACTGGCAGAAGAAGGTCAACACGTCGCCGTGTTGAAAGCGATCACCGCTACGACGACCAAATGCCGGCACCCCGGGATCGCCACAGCCACCCCGATCGATCTCTGCAATACATAGATATACATACATGTACAGCCGTGCTTTTATACTGATAATTAATGGAAACATGCAACATGTTGAGGTTCAAGATTAGTGTTTTGTTTGTTCATACTAGTGAGGTGGGATTACTGTAAATGGGAATAAAAAGCATTTATCGATTTTCACATCGTTCTGTGTTGGCTGTTTATGGTAATGAGGCCATGTTGATCCTCATGTCGTACTGCTGGTTGTCGCAGCATCCAACTTTATCAAATGTGACTTTTAAAAACCTCTTTCAGACTTGTGGCTAAGGTTAATATAAATGTGTGTGTGTGTGCACGTCTTTCTTCTGCAGACTGCGAACGGACTTCTTTGCTGTCTATAAAAGTAAAGAAGTGTTAATAATTGATAATGTTGTGCTTTAGTTTGAAAGGAAAAACAAAGCGGGAGGCACACTGGTAAAAGCAAACACACACACACACACACACACACACGCACACAGATCATACATACTCGTTAAAAACCATCAGGATGTACAAATCATAGAGAGCAACACTGATGTTAGTGACATTATATTACATTCTTGCATTGCTTCTTTATCTTAATCGGTCTGTTTCTGTCTGTTACCAGCTCAAATTGTCGCTGCTTCGTCTGTGCTTGATTTGTATTTCTCTCTCAATCTGATTTAATACTATGCTTTTTGGCATGAGTGTCACATTAACAGTACTGCCAAACTGGCCTACAAACATATCCCATTTGTTTTGTCACTCTCCTTTGTTATCACTTTTTCGCCTAATGGCAATATGTTTTCATCCACTGCTCTCTCCTCCTTTACAATTTGACATTCTACCAGACGTCTGTCATCTAGTAACACATGCTCCACCATGCTCCTGGATTCGCTCTGGGCAAATACATCTCAAGGTGAGCAATGAATGTGTGCAAGTGTGTGTGTGTGTTCTTCCCTTTTGCTATCTGTTGGAATGTAAGTAGATCCACAAGAGTAGAATACACAAAGAAGTGGCAGGCGTGTGTCTTTGTGTGTGTAGTGTGTGCAGGTGTGTGTGTGGCCCAGAGCTATCTGTCACACAGTTGACGAATGACTGGATGGATATCAGCGATCTTGAGCCCCTAAGTCTGTCATTATGGTTGTCGCAGCTTTCTTGCTCTCTAGTTAGTCTTCTTTTACTTTGTAGCTTCTTTTCTGTCAAAGTTGAGATATTTTGTTGAAGTGCAGGGCATAGATTTACAACTCAATATATTTCATGCTCCCTTGTCTTTTGCTCTTCAGAAGCAATATATTATATAAAGCAATATACATAGCTAAGAAAATATACATGGAGTATAAATGTATGCAAATTAATTTTTAAAAAGATAAAACACATTGACTTATCAATAAGGATGATTATTCTTTATTTATCACACAATGAGGTGACACAGTGGAGATTAAGTATTTGGCCCACTAATAGAAGCTCTCTCTGTCTCTCTCTCTCTCTCTCATTGATGATGAACGGTCCCTTTCAGGAGGTGATATCAGAAAACCCGCTTGCAATTACAGTTTATGGCCAAAATTGCCATCAAAGAGAAGCTGCAACACCAAATCCGGCCCTAAATTGGTGGTAAACAGCCCTTTACCCACTGCGTGCCCCCCCACTATCAGAAACCTTGCACGGACCACAGACCTCTTCTTTGTCTTTGATTTCCCTTTGATTTCATACCTTTAAAGCTCTGTGACTGTGTCTTGCATGGCTGTGATGTTGACAACATTCATGCACAAATAGACATTTGTAAAAAAAACATGGTACTGGCTACAGTGGGAATCTCCAGGTTAACATTTTATCATGTCATTAATGTGGAATAACACAGAATAACACAGAATTCAATGGCACTCTTTGGTATGTCGAGTTAAAAAATAATCTTCATTATTTACATCATGACTCTTTTCAGAGCCAATTGGCAACAGCCTGAAAACTTGGCAGAAGCTTTTCACTGCAAGCCTCGACTATCGTAATGGGCTGAGAGGGTTTATGATGTTGTTAACTTCATCATCGCTCCCTTTCCCTCTCAAACACACACACACACACACACACGCAAAGAGTTGCAGTGGTTGACGAGTGTCACATGACAGTATTCAAAAAGCTACACACACACAAACGTTCTATCTTTAAGTCTCCCGGGGGTTTAATCTGATCAAAGGGTGTAACTTGGTGACATTATATGAGTTGACAGAAAAACACACATGCAAGGATACGCACACTAAACGTACCACAGGCGGTTGTTCAGTTATCCTGCGTAAAACTACAAGATCATCTAGAGGTTATCAAATATGATTTGATGGTTATTACTTTCTTCCTATACACAATCTTTGTTGATAATGTCATTGCCTTGGAATATACGACTTATAATTAAGGTGGTCTATTTTGATCCCTCAAAGCAAGTCGTAAGGAGTTGATATGATGTTTAACACCACGTGCTGACAGTCACAGTTTCTGTAGCTTGCCACTGTGCTGGTTCCCTTCAGCAGTAACTGACCACAGACAACACTGTCAACAACATCACTGTATATGGCTAAGCAGAACCAAGCGCACAACCTTTGTCCATCTCCCTCTCTCCTCCTCTCTCACATGCCCTCCATCTCTCCTAGACAGTTTATTTCCTTTCACTCAGTTTATTATTTTGTCTCCTTCCGTCTCTCTAGTTTATCAAACTACATCTCTCCACCTGCCTCACTGTTTGTCTGAAGTAAATTCAATTACTATATGTTCCATTTACTAAAATATAATTCAAAGAGACGATTTGGAAGGGTGAAATGCAGGAGGAATTCCATACGAATGGATTGTTCTAAATAGGATGTATTGAGAGGGACATCTATACGGGACGTCTCCCTCTCACCTTCATTCACTGTGACTGTCACCATCGTTCTCCCTCTATCAGGGTTAACGTTGGTGTTATAGGAAAAATAACCAAGCAAAACGACCAGCTGATTGACTCGTAATTCAGTTATTACCTTCTCGAAATGCACACTCGCGCACACACACACACACTCACACACATGTCTACGCAAGGACAGACAAAAGCAGTTGTGTTCACTTTTGAATCAGTCTGTCAGCAACGCGATGACTTTCACACTCCATTATGTGAGAGTATATATCTGTTTGTGAGTGTTTTATTCTCAGGGAAGAGGGGTAGAAGCGCGGGGGGCTGGAGGGGGCCGTACCTTCATAGACGGCTTTGAAACCCGCGGAGCCGATCGTATCGTCCGACTGCAGGTGGAGCCACATCTGATTGGACAAGCTAACGATGAGGTCAGGCACACTGGAACCTGTAAGTCTACACAAACACACAGACACACACGCACAGTGACACAGTCACACACAGATACACAAGCTTTTAAAAAAGTATGATTGGTTTATCACTTTGGACTTGGAGTGTACCTTGTAAACAATGCATCCAAACAATGTAGCTAATTCAATCAACAGTGTATAATGTGTACCTGCACATTAGCATCCATGTTTCTCCAATTGCCTCATTTATTGCGGGTGTTCTATACGGTAGCATTTCCACATTGTTGTACATAATGGGCCAGAGCACATGAGTGTTGCTTACACATAGAGGACCCTCCGAGTGTCGCCTATTTTCCCTCCATCTCCCACAGTTAGTGTGTCATATCCTCTTTCCAGGTCAAACTCTTCAAAGGACAGCTTTATCACCTGGAGGAACAAAAGGGAAAAATAGGAGAAAACATTACAGACACAACAAAAAGATAATATAATATGATATTTATTAATTAATTCCAGCAGGGATGGTCTCGTGCTTTTTCATCCCTACGATTTCCAGCAATGGGAACTAATGTTTAAATCGCTGGTTGAAGTTGCTGTAGAACATTTTCCTGATAAAATGAGAGATTGTTCATTTCCCCTGTTCAGGAAAGATGTTGGTCTCAATCAGTCAGTTTCTACTGTATTATGGAACTAATATAAACCATAGATGTGTGATTTTGCCGATGCCAATCCATCACATGGTTTATAACAGCAGTGATGAAAAATCGTACCTTTCAACACCCCAGACTCAACTGTGCATGGCTAAGCCTTTGTCCCCGCTTTGACAAAAATAAATTGCCCAGCTCGTGTTCAAATAATGTAAAAGGATCTGAAACCATCTGAGGGATTAACTTCCATCACAAATAGAAAGTCACCAGTACACATCTGTATTCATACATTGTGAGGTATCAATTCCCAAGGATCATTAATAAACTATTGAACTAAAAGTAAGTATTCAATATATCATTTTCATATTTCATTTATCTGCCGCAAATTGCTCGCCTACAATAAACCGAACATAAACGAACTATTGTTTACGTTGTACAATTGTGTTAAACTGTTGGCCTTTCCATAATATTGACTTTACAATTAACACATTTCAAATGCAAGAATGAAAGGTGATCGAGTGTGATCAACTGGAAGACAATCGTCTGGTTCCATGACATATTGTGTCAATCAGACCAGGTCCATTGTTTTTGTGTGTTTAACTCCTTGAGTGAGAACATTTGAAAAGACTGGGATGTGAAAATGATGCATCCAACGAAAAGGAAACTCGTAATACCAGCACAGATTTGCTTTGCAAAACTAAATTCAGCAGGGATTCAACCTTGATCCTTGATTATGATTCATCAGCAAGTAAACGTTCGAATCCCAGCTTAACAATATCCTTTTTCTTCCATTCTTCTTCTAACATTAAACTGTCCATCCTCAGCTTGTAAGATACGATCTTAAGAACATGTTGATCTTGGTGGCCCTGCAGGCTGAGTTGTTAATCAAAGATATACACTCAGAGGCCTTAAAATTACCTACCTATCAATTATCACACTTGGAAATAAATAAATAAATATATGTATTATTTTAAAAGAATGAATATTTATGATTTAGGGTATGAGATCAGGTGTTGTTGACGCAGTATATTGTAGTGTTATTTATAAGATTGAACAGCAGCAGCTTGTGGGCATAAAGAAAGGAGTGAAGCGGAACACATCTGTACATGCACACACTATCCTGTGCTTGTCAGTACCTTTGTCCACGAGGTGGATTCTGTCGGGTATGTCGGTCTAAACAGCTGAAGCAGAATTATATTCAAGCATGTCTGTTTCATTGTATGCGTGAGAACAGTTTGGCTGAATTTACACGCCTTAATATTTCTCTATTTATTTATGTGCTTGTGTGAGGAGACAGTCGAGGTAGAGACTTAAAGGGAGGAACTGCGTTATTGCACTAAGGTCATTAGGAAGAAGCTCTGTTATGTTCAATGGTTCCAAATGGGCACATTTAGAAAGACATTAGGTGCACCCTGCAACACCAAACTACATGACAATACCTTTTCAAAATAAAGACGAGAAAAATAAAGACGAGAAAACGAGAAGGGAAGATAGGAAGCGTACTTGAAATACAGAGAACATTTAAGAAAGTGTAATCTAGGTCTTTTCCAATCTTCAACTGAAACAAACAGTGTTGACAGTAAGCCTCAACATTTGCCTTCAGTTTGACGACTGCAGCAGAGCTGTCTATATTTTCTTTTGATCCCATCCCATTATTGAGTTTCTGAGGTAGTCATTAGTGATTCACGAGAGACTTTCCAGTTCCTTTCAGGAAAAAAACTGTGTTTCTGTTTAAAGGTTGATGCTCTTTGAAATGATGGGTGAAGTGGTTTCACTTTGAGGTCATTAGTAAGCAGCTGAGCAGCTCGAAGCAGCTCAATAGGCCATTTAAACGTTGTCGAGAGCACTGTGCAATCCAAACCTACAGTGAAACACCTTCACCCAGTCAGCCAGAGAAGTGCTGTGAATTTTCGGCAACGATCTCAGCATGGGAGAAACTGATAGTAATCTTTGGACTACTCTAATCCAAAATACACAGGGAATGCGAGTTTGCCCCTCAAGTCAAACCTCCAACACAAACCTTCGCGGGTTAGTGTCAGTCAACAAAGGCTTATAAACCTTACACGCAAGTGCACACGGTGCACATTCGGGTATCTACAGCAGAGCCATAATGGGTTACATGCCGATGCCCGCTCCATTGCCCGGGAAATACATCTTGAGAATGAGAAACTATGCCATGTCTGCTGATCTTCATTCTTGCCCTCACCAGTAAGGCCTCATGTCAGAGTGGAGCAACGGAACACAAGGCCGTAATTGGGCAGAAAAGTCCTTTGCTCAGCTCGGGCCGCTGTTACTGCTGACCACAGACATTGGGGAGAAATGTCACATAAATACAAATCCATGAACCTATATATTTTTTTCATCCATCCCCCCATCTATCTAAAACAATCAAGTTAAGAAAAAATAATGATGGATGCAAATTATGTTCTACTGCATTCTCAGCTGCAGACAGGCTGGTAAAGGTTCATTGCATCGCTCAAGGGCACTTCAGCAGGTCAGATGCGGCAGGGTTTTTTTTACAATAGTGACCTCTGATTAGAGGTGCACATCCCCACCATGCTTACTGTGCTGTTGTGCAGCCATAGGTTAAAATTTGATTTGGGACCCTTTAAAAGGTCAACATTGTAAATGCATTGCGTTCGGTCAGCAATTTCAACTGCAACATAACCTGGGGTGACCGCTACCAAAGGTACTAACAGAACTACAACAAATGGTGCTATTTTGTGCTGAAGCCTCTCAACTGACCCACAGAAAATGTGGCAATAATGTAAAACCAAAATATATGCCGTACATTCTGTACTTCTGAGTTAAATGAAAATGAAAATTACAATATTTTGTCAATCGCTCCACCAACTGATATGAGAGGTAACATCATTAAAATAGTAACGTATCGAGGAACTTTAGTAAACTGAACACCACTGATGACTACTAAATTCATGTTGTTGTTAAAATACCTTTGTTTATTTTTGTCACTTACTATCCTTAATATGATCACAATTTCAGTGATAAACTGGGTCGTAACAAGGGTACTTTTTAGCGCTGAGAAACTCTGTTTGCCAAGAGGCCCTATGGGATTAAAGCTAAAGTAAAATGTTTTTTAACATAAATGTTTTATCCACTGAAGCTTAAACTCATTTCTATGACCCTGTGGCAAAACAAGCTTTATAGAAAGGGTTTAAACTATGTACTGAGGTGACCCCTTGACAGAAGGTACACACAGGGAAGCCTGTCCTGAAAGCTGAGTGTACGAGCAGTCCTTTGCTATTCGAGTCATTGGTGAGCCGCCGCCATGGCGGTGTGGGGCAATCCAATAGATTACTTTTTTCCTTTTACGGCCAAATGTACAAGTAGAGAAAACCCTGTCTGAGGATTCCATCCACCGCCCATCCTTCATCCCTGAGAGTTATTTTGAAAAATATAATTAGTTCAAAACAAACTGCCTGCAATAAACCTATTACTCTTTCTGCATTTTTTCTAGACCTGTTCTATGACAAGTAAAATTTAACAGAATCGGATAGAACGTCATAGAATGTCTCCTGGCAAAACTAAAGTGATGATGAAGATATTTGCATGAAAATGACCCAACATCCAATACCATAATAACACGCTGGATCACACCCTTGCACACTAATATGAATTCATTAGGAAAAAGACAGCAATGATTAGAGGCCTAATGGGTGTGTGTGATGATGCGTTAAAGGGTGGATGTGTGTGAGCAGTCAGGCATGGTTCAGACTCCAACGAGATAATTATCAGTTTCATACTGCTGGATCAAATGACTGACGCATGCAGTAACACACACATATAGACGTAAACACACTGCCGAGTTGTTTTTGATTCTGTGTGGGCCAATTTTCTAGACACCATATTTTTCACAACCTCTGGCAGTAAGCAATTAAGTCGGCAGAAGAGACACCGTCGATATCCAAAAATCACACAAAATCAGGTGCCTGTTTGCAAACTTACAAAATAATAACACAGTCACACACTCAATTAGGAGCATACTTTCGACTTTTTCTGACAGGCTGTCAGGCCATTATGCACCATATTGATTTTGTTAGTTTTATTGAGAACGGAATGACAACAGACACACAATCAAACAGCATTACTTACTGGCTATTGAAAGCAGAATAAAACTACACAAAGAAAGAAAGAAAATGCACCCGAGCTTCAATGAAAACATTTGTTTCTCTCTCAATTTTGTATCACATGCTATTGATGAAAGAAGTCATCTGGAATAATAGTCCAATAAAAGGCGGGTTGGAGAGAAGAAACACAGCCTTAGATGGAATCCAAAAAAAGAAAAGTAAAGAAACTGTTTGTCATCTTAATTCATGCCTATTTACTCTGTTAAGTTATCACGTTTGCTACCTGAATCTCCATGAACTTTCTTCTTATACAGACCACACAAACTACGTAAAAACACACTTATACGGTAATTTCTTCTCATTAATTTCATTGGGAAGCTGTGCTTAAGAAACAGAGTTGAGGGTCGGGTTGAGTTGATGTGTTGGAGACTTATTTGTGGGGGAAATGAACATGAGCCAATACATCAGATGTTCAAAAGCCACCTATCAATATCCGTATCAACCTCAAAAGTAGGTCTGCTTCTTGCAGCCATCTAGCGGCTGTATAGTTAAGATCTTTTTCATGGTATTTTCCTTCGAGCATCATTGCGCAAAGTATCCCTTTCCTTCTTTCTGTCATTGTTAAGAATTCGTCCATCTTGTTAGAATAAGGGGGATCATTATATCTATTATATATATTTTGCATTCAATGTTTCTTTTAAGATGCGAAAACTGGAACAGCGAATAAATCACTCAGCACATTAGTATATATTGTAGACAGCGCACTGAAGTGTCAGTTAGACATTATTAGTATTATTCATCATTACTGCGTCCTTAATTTAGAGTCCATTCTATTTACCATTCTGTATTACTCAAGTATAGTCCATTGCCGTCTTTATCAGGTTGTTTGCCTCTGCCCTTGTCTCTCTCTCTGTGTATGTAGATAGTGACATTCAGCAAATGTCAGCAGCTGTAGTAGCTGATAATCCGTCATTATAGCACATTGTTAGAGTGCTCTCAAACCTCAAGCAAGCGAGCAAGGATGCACACGTGCAGGCCTGCACGCACGCCCACATGCGCGCGCAGCACACACAACAGATGAGAGACATTTCGTCCGTCAAAAGATAAGTCTGCTTTAAACTATTATAATCTACTGTTTTCGATTGTGCTTCAAATAGCAAGCAACCCAGACAACAAGGGTGACTTGTCATCTGGCTAAGAACATGATTACCAATAATATGTGGCAAGTGACACTTTGTCATACAGTAGCTATTTGTCGTCATGTCTCTCAATCAACACGAGAGAGAGACAGCGGTGAGAACAACAAAGTCTCTCACACTTTTTCCCATCCTTCTCCCTCAAAGAATCCGAAGGGAGTAGACTCCATATTCATCCACCTTCACAACGTCAATGCCAAACGTCAATTACTTCCTTGGACATTCGGTCTTTTTTACATTTTCGATCTTTTTCCAGCAAAAGTTTTTAGCAAAGTTGCCAGCTGAACCCCAGCGTGTTTTTTCTCCTCTATACTTTCCCTCTCTCTTCTTCTCTGTAGGTTTCAAGGAGCTCATTGGTATCTCAATCTATTTTTGTTTTTTTTCCGGCCCTCTCACCATCTTCAAACTTAACATTTCAATAAATCAAACGGAAAGGAGGAAAGAAGATGATGCAGGGAGAAAGTGGAGGAGCAAGTAGATGAGAGAGCAGAATAGATGGGGGAGAGAGGTGAGGAGAGATAAGTTGACAATAAAGAACAGAGATGTTGGCAGGAAATGAGAGACAAGCGGAAAGAAAGAGCACAGAGATGAAGGAATAGGAGCTGGGAAGAGGGGAGAAGATAGTGAAGATAGGTTGTGATGACACATGGAGAGAAATAATAACAGATACTATTCTGCTGATACCAAAGTTGTCATTTCTATACAACACTGACTCAAAACCAAAAGTAGTGATGATATTAGACCACAAGCTCAGTAAAGCTGAATTCAGTCATTAAGCAGGACAACTAATAAGAAGTACAAAGCAACAGGCATTCAACTTTCTCAACTCTGGACCATAAAATAAAATATTTGTGGAAGTACTGCCATCATTTTTTGTGTGTCTCATGTGACTTTTTCATGCTCAGTTTCTTCTCCTCATAACTATGTTATCGACCCAGCAATAGACAATGACAACTTGTAAAAGCTTTTGAATTTGGGATACTGAATACTGATGAACTTGGCATTAAACACCAAACTCAGTGGACTTGAATGAACAATGCTTACCTACACAAAAAGTGAAACTTCTGCAAATCATGTTAAGATCACCGCATTGGATGGTGTAATACAACAAAAACAAGGTGTACCAAAGGGGGAGAATAAAATGATTAATGTAAGCTCACCTTCCCAGACTCCATCGCCGTGATGACCCACACACAGTGTGCATTGTTCTCATATTGAACCGGGTAGTTAGGAGAAGTTATGACCCCTTTGGGCCCCTTGAGATTGCTGCCACAGGTACGAGCTACAGAGAACGAAAGCACAGCAGAGAGAGACAGAACAACAGGGTTTCAGAAAGAACTCATGGGGTAAACAAAGTTACATTCTCAGATTACAAATGTCATCTTATCAAACAACAAGAAACAGAATAGCGAGGATGTGGCAGCGCCAAAGGAGTACATGTGCTTGATTTCCAGGTATTGCTTTCACAGGTGCTTCAGAGCCTGCAGATATAAATTATGAAAATCATTTTTCACAATATCTTTCCAACTGCTCTATTTCGTCCACATTGTGTTTGTCCCGTTTGATACTCCAAATAATTTAAATGTTTGTTTTCACCACCTCACAAAGTCACCTTTGTGTTATTTCTTTCGAGGCAAAAAAGTCACCTCAAAAGTCCTCTTTCTATTTTGGTACTATTAAATAGTTTAGTCAACAAGCACAGTCACCATTGCAGAGGAAGTTTTATCCGGTCAGTCATTTCTTCTTATCTATCACATTATTTAGTCAGCTTTAGGCAATCACTGCCTTTAGAGGGAGGGAAGGGCAATGCCAACGAGAAAATAACATTTAAGACAAGAAAGGACATAAAAATGATCCTGAATAATAGTGAGGGTGAGGAGTTAGAGAGAGAGGCCAACGTTTTGAAAATACACAGCAGACATGTTGAGAGATAAACCAGAAAGACTTGAGGGGAAGACGTTAGAAAGAGACGGAAATAAGATGGAGAGGATGAAAGATAGCAATCTGAGAAAGGGAAAGAAAAGAAATTGAAGGAGAAAGGGCAAGAGGCAAGGAAGATTCAGAAGCGCTGGAAGAGGGGAGGGAGAGAGAGCAGAATCTCAGATGACTGATCTGCCTGTTAATTAGAAAAGAGAGGCGAAACACACTGTGATACACACAGGTACACACACACACGGACACACAGAAACACAGTCATGGCAATTCATCCCAGAGACCAGCTTCTAATTAACATTTAAGTCTCAGTAGAGAATGAGAGAAGCTCATGGGTTTGAATCCCAGGAGAGTGATCAAATCCGATAACACAGCACACCACAGCAGTATGGCAATATTTAACCTCTGCCTGCCTGTTTCTGTGCGTGAAAATGCCTCTTTTCTGTCTTTATCTCTTCATTCCCCTCTTTGTCTTTATTCCTCTTAAGAGTCCCACAAATTTACATGAAACATCAAAAGATAAATGACGGTCAAACATATTCTGAATATTTTATTATATATTGTTCTGTGTTACACTGAAACTGAGTTTTTGTTCAAATTCACCCATTTGTAGTTTTGAAAGTACAATGTTGTTTAATAAATGTCATACATAATTTTGGCATCTACAATTATTGCCTCCTAATTCCCATGAAAATATAATATAGTGGATGTGTTGTCAGTGTTTTAAAAAAGATAATCCTATTCACACGTCCTTCCGTCTCTCACTGTCACCACAAGCGTCTCTTTCTGACAAAAGTAGCCAATATCATGAACTCGAAATACAGAACAGACAGGCAAGAACACTCACACACTTACACTATAATACAATGTGACAGGGACCCTATAGTGTGTGTCTGAGCACTGGGACTTCCTGTCCGTCAAACACACACACACACACACACACAGCTCAAGGCAAATACTGCTGCAGCTATGACGTGTGTGACATTGTCCTGTGGATACTTGCTGTCAATATAAGAGTGTGTTGTGTGCACACACAATTGGGTGTGTATGCCATCCATCTGTCTTTTTCTTGTGGGGCAATAAACCCTACACGGCACTGTCAGTAAACATGTGGGCAGTGAGAGCCCCTGCATCATTGCTCTGCCACTCACACAGTTATTTATTTAGTCACTCAGCCACTCAGTCAGAAAGGGAATCATGATTTCAACACATAACAACAAACAACAAAATGTGAATCATGTTGGTATTTCCGCTGTGGTAGTGAAGTGTTTAGAGCCTCTGCATTAATAGCATAAGACCCAGAAACAGGTACGGCAAAGTGGGTCTATCGGATGATATAGTTTGTCTGCGACAGTTTTATATTAAATGCTTTTCAAATGGTGTGCAGGCATCGATTTTCTCATTTTCAGTTCACACAAGCTGAGGTAGCAAAAATATGACCATTTTAGAGTGAATATTTGTGTTACTGTGAGCACCACATTAGACCAATATAAACACTAGAACATTGGGGAGATTCAGAGGCAAAGTTTGCAAAATATCAGCAGTTATACAATATAGTTAAATTATCCGAGGTATTTTCCAATAATAAAGTAGAATAAAAAGCCAGCATCATGAGTGTTGTTGGTTAAGTTCTTGTCTCCGTTGGCAGACACTAACTCATCATCTGAAACAGCTTGAGCTCCAGTTCATGGTGTCAGAGGCAACAGCAGGTGTAACCTACTTCTGCATATGGGTCTGTGGTCGCTCCAGGCAGCCAGTGTGTCGGTGACCCGTTGACAGGTGATGCTTTTAGATCCTTGTAGTACGTAGCTGTCATCGCAACTGAACTGGACGCTGGCTCCAATTCTATTTGAAAGGGAACAGCGGTAAAAACACTTAATGTCAATAGAGTACCATTGATTCACAGAGGCGACGTTGCGGGTATGCAGAGGCCTCGTGCATCCACGGCTACATCGTGGGAGAACAGGGAAACAAGTTGATTGCAGAAGTTATGCATGAATGGCAGCTATGACGATATTGAGACTGTGGCTGAAAAAGAAGACGCGTATAATTCTTTTCTTTCTGTAAGATCCTTTACTTTTTCAGTGATGTTTTGTTTTTCTTCTGTGTTTTCCTTTCTCCACTCCTCCCGCCTCCCCTCTCATCATTTGTTCTTTCTCATTCACACGTGAAAGGGACATTCAGCCATTTGGGGAGGGGGCGAGGGGGCGGGGGGAGGGGGGAGGGTCTGCATGGGATCTTGTCATTAAAGCCTAATGCCTCCTCCCCCGCTGATACACAACACAGTCTAACACCTGGCCGAACATTCAGTACGTAGGGTTCTGCTTGTTCAGCGGCTCCACCCTGTTGTTCAACACTGTTGAGTCATACTGCCCGGCCAGATCTCGGGTCATTCACTTTACAGCATCTGCCACTGCAAATAACTCCCACCAGCCGCTCACTGTGACATTTACAATTACATGAAGGAAAACTTTGTTCCCTTGAAGAGGAATAAAACCTTTCTAACGGTTGTGGATGTGGTGGCGCGTGACACACTAAGCGACTACTTCCGCAAATCTTGAGTTTCCAGTCGCCTGGTGATAATTCTTTGTTTTCTCTGCAGGTTTGCTCTCTCTCCATGCCTCATGTTTTACCTCATTACACCCCAATTCCATTGCACCTCCTGCATCTCAGTGCTTAATGATGATTGGATACAAACCTGTAACACACACTAAACACATCCATGCCCAGATGCACACACTTAACGTGTAACCTCACAGACAGAAAAACACAAAATATGCGCACAACTATCTTAGACGACCCCGCTGATGGTCCTACAGAGTTTCTGCAGTCAAAGATTGCAAAAGATGGTTATTATTATATAAAGGTTTATGAGACTGAAAATAGTGCCAGAACTAGGTAAAAAAGCAATGCACGTCTTGATTCCCCTGGCAAAAGAAACCTAATAGGAATTTAGCTGTCATGGAGAGAAGTGATCATTATGTAATTGTTCACTCCTGATTAAATTAAATCACCTATCTTCCTTTCTACAGATAAGATGGCACCATGACACCATAGAGTATAACTTAAAAAACCTGTGACCACCGAGTCCTTCCCTTAACCAATATTCTAATTCCAAAACACTCTGTATAAATAAAGGCCTGGAGAGTGATCACTAAAGTAATCGGTAAACGTCTGTGTTTAACAGTGTACCTCTGTAAATAAGTGCACTTAATGACGTTAAAAGTTCTGAGACGAACGGACACCCGGCGAACAATAGGAAACATTTGATGGCTAGTGTGAGAGCTGTAGTTCTGGAGGTATAACTGATAAACAGCATGCGGTTTTGTCTTTTTTGGGTGTGTTTTTGTACATGGTTGTCTGCAGGTTGCCCCTTGAGCAGCTACTCATTTGCTTTTCATATTGCTTTTATGAGTGAAACACGTTGATGGATGTGGAGCATCAGCGGGACCTAGAAGATAATGAACAAGAATATATACGATTTTCAGGTTTATTACAAACAAAAATTAAAACCAAAAATGATAAATCTAAAAAGTCTGCAACAAACAAATGATTTATGATGATACATGAACCAAAAAACCCTTCAGTATACTTATAAGACATTCTCATGCTTATTGGGCCATTCCTGAGACTGAAGGAAAAGGGGGGGGGGGGGGGGGGGGGGGGTTAAATAATAGTCAAGCAAGAGTTCTGCCGATTCCTTCCAGTCAGTCAGTCATCTTCTGTAACGGTTATCCTCAGAAGGTCGCAGGGTACGAGATACAGCCTGGACTGGTCGACAGTCACTCGCAGGCCTGACTCAGAGACAGACAATCATTCACACACTTATGGGCAATTATTGCATCATCAATAAACCTATCTTGCAATTTAGAGTAATTCCCTTTTCCTGCAAGGCTTTGGAGTGTGGGAGGAAGCAGAGGGAAAACATGAAAACTTCACCCTAAAAGGTTGCGTGATGGGTTTAAACCCCAAAACATTTTTGATTTGTACAAGGTCATCAAACGTCATCCATTGTAGGAATTGGATACTTTATTCAGTCGGTTATCTTCATGTCTGACAGAGATACAATAGGCCCTGGTGGATGTTTTGAAAATACTAGAGTTTAATTTGGAGGGAGTGAGAGCAGGTAAGTCTGGGATAAAGGTCACTTACTGGAAGGTTGAGCCCATCCTCTTGCCATTTTCGGGAACTCCAGGATCTGGACATACATCACCAGCAAGACCACTTTGACTCACTGAAAGAAGGAAACAAATACAGAGTAGGAAGTGTTGTTCAGAGTTTATACACTGTGTTTGCACATGATACGGATATTTACACACACTTTAGGGACATCATATTGGGTTGACAATTAAATGATCTAACGTGTTCTCATTTTCAACAGTAAGATGAAAGTGAGCTGGGATACAAATCTTCATCATTATTATAATCACAATGATCTTTGTATTTTTCAGTACAGTATGTAATGACAATCAAGTGTTGAAGCACAACTAGGATAACTGCGAGAAATATCCCCTGCTGTTGTTGAGCGTTCACAAAATGAGTACAGTTGGCATTTTAAAATAGATCTTTTCTCATTTCTATCAAATAGGCATCCGTGTTAAAACAAGGCATCTCTATAGTATGTTTATAGTTCTCAAAACTAGTCATCAAAAAACTCCCTCATGCCTGAGATGTCACAGCAACATGATTAGAAAGCAAATAAATAACCTCTGACAACCATATTGAAGTATTACTCTATTGGTAAAGAAGGCTAATGTTAATGCATTGATAACTAAAATACAATAAAATAATCTATTCCTATACTAAAGTAATATAGTGCATAGGTTATGTTACATATTGTGCAAACCTTCTCATGAGCAATATAACCTCCCCATCAGGTTGTTAGTTAGCCGACGTTACAGTACTAACATTAGATAATTAGTAAAAAGATTGATTTTGTGGAGAGGAAACCAAACAACTAACGTTTTCTTCGTGCGTCTCCAGCTTATGTTTTAGTCATAAATTGTTAACATTAGTGCCAGTAGAGTAACATTGGTAAGAAAAGAACTAGGTCAGGATGCATTCAAAACGTCTTTTTGAGGCATTGACATCAGTAGGAAACTGTGAACAGCTTTAGTGTCCCGTTCAACCTTTGAATTGTCCCTGAACAGAACTTAAAATCTGCAAGATGTCATTGGATAAGACATGTGACATTTGACCGAGAATAAAGATTCTGTACTTTTCTTTCTTTTTGTGAGGAAACACTGGCTCGAGAGAGGTCAATTAGCATTTTTACCATTCTGATCAACTCCCATGCTTAAATAGTACAGGAATATCGTATTCATTTTTAAAACTAATACAATTTCGAAAATTATTTAGGTTTCCATTACGTGTGGAAATCTAATATAAAAGTTTCTGAGATTGTGCCTAAGCTACACATGTGGTGAACATCACACAGATATCTAATAAGACCTCCAAGGAAACAAATTGTTGAAAACAAGGTATAATGTATGGTATGAAGGTAACACGTATGCGGTAGAAGAGAAAGTGGTCAAAAGAAAAAGAAAAAGTTAATTGATTTTTTTCTTCTCGTCCGGCTGAATTGTATTCCTAAAAAATGGACAAACGGAAAACATATGCCAATTTGGTCCAGCTCATATTTGTGATCTTTCATTGGTTTCTGACTTCATCGTGGATGGGAGCATCTGCTGCATGCTGAAAACGTAATGGAAATGTAAATGAGACCAGACAACATGACAGAAACCAGTTTAAATCAGCTCGGTCATAATGGAACCCTGTAGATGAATAGTGATGGTGAGCAAAAAATGAAAAATAGTGAAAGTGAAAAGGGAGGATAGAATAAATTAAATAGAAAATGAGAAGAATGCTGAAAAGCCACAACAACAGCAAAAAGGAAAATGAAATAAAATTTTCTGGCGAAAGACATGTATCTGACATCGTAACAATTTTTTCTTTCCGTCAAATCGTCTTTCTGTAGTTCTCGCTGGCTCTCTCCTTCTGTCTTCCACACCTAGATTTGCTCCCACTCAGCCCTTCTCTCCTCTTTTGTAATCTCAGCTTGCTCACCCCGCATTTTCTCTCCCGTACACATTAGCTGCAATTTACAAAGAGCTGCTGAGAGTGGTGCATCCTCACATAAAAGATGGATGAGTGATTCCGTTCGTTTGTGTGATTTCTGCTGAGGGGTTGTGAGCGTATGGACGCTGTTTATGCATGTTCGCGTGAGATATGATGCAAACAAAACAAGCTGCCTTGCTGCTCTGCTGTGTTTTTGATGTTCGGTCCAAAAATCACCGCACAAACACTACGTGAAAAAAAAACACACTTTTTTCTGTCACACTCTCGCATCCCATTTCTCTCACTAGGGTTCAAATGGCTTTTATTGGCATCAAATACAAAGTTTTATTTTGGCAAAACAAATACAGCTCATCGTAACAACGTGATATTGTTATAGAAATAATAGCTGCCAAATGTCTGCTGATTTTAATGTTATTGTCAAAAAATCCTCAAACTGACTTAATCCCATATTTGCACTTAAAAGACCATCCAACGCCTAAACACAAGACTATGATTCACGTTGTAATTTTCATATCATCAAAGTTGCTTCAGAAATACATATATATATATATATATATATATATATATATATATATATATATATATTATATTTTTGTATCCCAACATTATTTGACAAGGCCAAAATCAAAGAAGAGAAGAGAAGAATGTGACTGCTGCCGTGATCGTTGGCCCTACATATAACCAGCACGCCTTCTGCACACAAGAGTCATCAAAATTTACAAACCTATTCATTTCATTTATATGAACTGAGTAAGACATTTTATTATGTCTAAATGCTAAGAATGTAGATTTCTGGTGTAAATATGATAATAAATTGATCTTATATTGTACCCATTCTTAAAAACTCAATGTGTCACATTCTACAACACACTTACTATATTGTCTAACCTATAACCCCAACAATCATATTTCATTTTAAATGCTTAAAAAAGTAATTAATAATTACCCACGTCTGCATTATTTAAATAGTCTGCTGCATAGAGTTCATTGGTGTGACTGGAAGGGCTGAGTCAAAAAAACAAAAATATATATTTGACAGAACTCATGAAACAAGACCCTTTTTAATATATTCATTAAGGTTGTAGGTCAGGTGTTATAACTGTTAAGTTGTTAGCTTTGTTTGTTAGATGTAAGCAGCTTTTGACATTAAAAGGAAAAGAGTTTCAAACCACTGGCTCAGGGAATTGGAGAAAAGTTAAAAACCACTGGCTTGGATTGCAAAGTAAAGACAGATAGACACGGAATACATTTGCATTGAAAATGCACACCGTGTAACAAAAAAAGATTAGTGAGTATAACATCAGACAGGTGAACCATTAAAAAAGAAACTGGCCAATCAGCTAACGACAAAGCAAAGACGAAGAGAGAAGCGGGAAGAGCGTGGGAGTGTGTGTTTGTGTGTGTGTCTGTGTGATCAGCTGCCATGTGTTTCAGATGAGAGCCTTTGAGGTGCTCTTCAGATGAAGAGAGAAATGTGTGAAGTGCAGTTTGTTGATATGCTCCCCTCCTCCACTCAGCTCTCTCTCCGTCTTGCACGTTCTTCTTGTGCTCACAGGTCAATCGAGCCGCGAGCTGAAGACAGCGGCCATCTTCCTGTTATCGTTTTGTTGAGCCCACAGGATTTATCCACATCAATACACTTGATGTGATGCGGAGTCAAAGCCATTTGTTATACAAACACAGTATTTTGATGGTTACAGTCTGAATTACTGTGGAGTTTTCCCTAAATCTCTCTGTACCACTGTGTGATTTCTACGTTTCACGTGGTCGCTTTCATGTATTAGTAAGTATTCTGATGCCCAGAACTATATTGCCCGACAATTCCGAATAAAAAAAATCCACATTCCCATGAAAATTATGATTCATTACATTTCTAGGTCACAGTCTAGGGTTACCCCCCAATCACAATCTCCCCGCCTCTCTATAAGTATGCCACATCCTCGACAGTCAGGTAAACTCCCTTCTGAGGGAGGACCACTGCCAAATGGTCTGCTTTCCTTGGAACTATTTCATATAGTCATCACTCTTATAGTTGTATATACAGTAGATGTTGTTTTTCTTGGACACTTAAACATCTGTCTGGCCGTCCATGTGTCCGTCTCTTTGTAGGTCTGTCTATCTATCTGTCTTTCAATCTTTCCATCGATCCAAACAACTATCCATCTATTTATCTTACTATCTATTTTATTTTTCTACATTTTTCAGTTTTTTTATGTATGCCTCTATCTTTCTACAGTTAATATCAGTATCAGGTAAGATTCTAATCAATAGTCAGTGTGAGTTATTCATGAATTGATGATTGAAACACATCCTCATGTGTCTCAGTCCATCAGGCTGTACTTTCCTGTAGGCCAGAGGCTGCTACAGGCATTCTTTTACATTATGTTTCATAAGCACTCCATTCTCTAGACAGGTAAAACTCATCATCATCAGTCTATGGTTCTTGGTAATGATTATATATTGCATAATTATTTGCATTACAGCTATGATATTACTACTGGGAGTCATACGGTGTAAAGACGTGTGGTTCAAAGTGTCGCTTGGGACCAAAAATGGACTGCGGCTTTACTTTTGAATATTTTAATGATAAGGGTCTCAGTCTGCTGGATGAACTGAACTTACATGATAGCTGTAACCTCAATGAGACTTACTCACGTTTACTCCGTTTTAAGAGAAAGTATTTCTCATTTAGGTCCAGGGCTTCAACGGCTTTAAGGAGCTTTGGACTACACATTAGCCATTAACACCATCATCATGTTTTCTAACAAGCAGCTTCTTCTGAGATTATTCAAGCAGATATGGACCATGGATGATTTACTAAACATAATGATAGAATCTACACAGGGTAGTGTGCTAAAGATCTGGACCACAGGTCATTAGATTACGTCCCTGAGTTTTCGCTGACAAGCTTTCCTGCTTATGGAAATAAAGTTTTGCTTTTCAAATAAATATGCATTTAAGAGGGATGGAGAAGATCACATTTCCAATGCAACTCCGTAAATATTTGTAAAAAAAATTAGATGTCGGCCTGAATGAAACCTCCACATAGCCCATGATAAGAGAGCTACAGTGCCTTGCAAAAGTATGGACCCCCCCTTTTGGAGCTTTTCCTATTTTGTTGTCTTACAACTCTCTAACAACTTTGGGTGGGGTGGGGGGGTGAATAGTTATGCACGCTCAAGTATTCTGTTTTTTTTGTTTCTATTTCTTGTTTGTTTCACAATAAAAAATATTTTGCATCTTCAAAGTGGTAAGCATGTTGTCTAAATCAAATGATACAAACTCCCAAAAAATCAATTTTAATTCCAGGTTGTAAGGCAACTAAAAAACGCCAAAGGGGGTCAACACTTTTGCAAGGCTCTGTACTTCACAACAAGATGTTTTTGTAAGCAGGCTCTTTTCATAAAAAGCCGATGCTCTAGACTCAGCAGACGGACTTTAGGACATTATTTTGCGTGGGGAAAAAAAGTTGTGTGTGCATGCTTGGTTTGTATAAGCAAGAGTAAAACTAAAGTGTGTGTGACGTCTTTCACTAGGCCCAACATCATTGTTAAATACAATAAACTGATCTACCGTAGGAACTCCTCATATACGCGTGCACGCACACTCAAATACACAGACTGCACACCAGGTTTTATCTTAACATAAAAAAGCACACAAGAACACCAAATTTCTTCTCCATACTTACACACATAGTAATGCTAATTGCACCAGCACATGCTTGGCTGAGCGTGTAAATCTGCAGAATTATTGATGAAGGGTTTATTATGAGCTAAACCCTAAAGAATGGATGAGGTATGAGCTCGGAATTTCATGAGAATTATACGCCATGGTCACATGATCTGGATGCCGTTTTAAGGGCAACTGCAAGCTGCACAGTGTATTCATTACATCTGCTTTCCGATCCATTGTTTAAATGCCTCACGGTCACCATATTGTCCAATTTGATTAGATCTCAAATTAGCTGTAATTTAGTTGAAATGTGACATATTAATACCAAGTGATTGATTTGCTGTATAGTGTGGTGGGAATTTGTGGATAATGTCCTTGTGAGAAATTAAGTATCTTTAACTCGTTTGTGATTAAGTATCGATTACTAACTACAATACAGAAAAATCATTAAAAATACAGAAATCATCAACAAGCCAGAAGGACAGAAGTCCAATGACTCAATTCATCTCAGAAGGGACAGATTGTTCCTTCTCCCTTACAGGGGGAACGAATATCTGACAAATCTTCTTTGACAAATCTTCTTGGAGCTTTAATACACATCAGAAAGGTTTGTGCTGTCTAATTAGAAAACAAAAACACCCCTGCACAAAGGAACTTCAGCAGCAAAACAGATGTTGAAGGAATACACCTTTAAACCTCCTCAATGCGACCTTAGACAATCATGTGCTGACAGACAGAAGCAACAACAACAACAGCAGCAACAACGACAACAAGGTCAAAAAATGGATGAATAATAAAAGAACACCTGGGTTCCAGTTGTAGAAAAACAATGCCCCCGCGGACTAGTTTAGTCACAGGTGTCACAGCGAGGCCATGCCTCCTGCCTACATGGTGTGCTGGGCTCGAGTCTGCAGCATATTCAGACAACCTGATTAGAAGTCGCCTCACCTGCTCAGGTAACCAGGCTGCCTTCAATCAAGAAATCACCCTGCAGTGTATCTACCCCGGTTCTTCACCAACTCGTCGCCACATCGTTGTCCAACCTACCTGCTAGTTAAGGCTGGCGCATGCGTCTGCATCGTTGCGTCCACAACTTTGTGCATCTCTCGACCGGCAAACCGGCGTTTGCGGCGATCTCCCTCCCTGAATCCAACCCGCTTCTACAAGCCGCCAATGACGGCGGTCATATTTACGCATTTATTCCGACAAAGTTCTTAAATCCGATCCGTTCTCTCGTAAACATTCTTCGTTTTAATAATGGCGTATCGGGCTATGAAAGCGGAAATGTGAGACTCCTTAAAGGACGTAGTTAGCTGACCAATCGCAGCCTGGTGCGCTGCGGGAGGCTTGCGTCGAAGGCAAGGCAAGCCTAGAAAAATGGGTTGACGCACGCAAGGAGGTGTGAAAAGGGACACGCAAGGGGGTCTTGCATGTGCGTCGCTCTGAAAACGCAAAAGCATTAACTAGGCTTTACTGCTCTGTATTTACGTCCTTTCAGTTATCCGTCCTCCCGGTTCCTCAGTCCGTCTGCCGTTACCTGCCTGCATTCCCCAGTGTCTCCATAGCTGTGTCCCTGGCAATAAACCAGTTTCCCCTGAACCTCCTAGTCTCTGCATTTGGGTCCGCCACCACATACCGTGACAAGAAGGCTCCTCGCGCACCAGGTGACTGAGAGACTCGCAGTGTACGAACCAATAAATTCTCCCCCAACATGTAGTATCAGTAGCTAGTGAAGATGGTTCATCAGTTGGGAATATGGCACAGAGCTGAAACTGACTTTGAAATTGGTTTTATAAAATCTGCTCATGACATTTTTTCTCTTTGCTTCAGGTGCTCTGACAATGCTGATCATCACTTTACGAGCCTCACCAGAGGCCCCATGTCCACCAAGACTCGTTTGAGAGAAGAAACTAGAAGTAAAACAACTTGACCCAACGTGACCTCACGATCAGACAGCGGACTGGCGATAAAGGGAAGCCGCACATGCAAACATGACGGTTGTTGCTGTCTCTCTGCAAATACTGAGTGTGTTTTCAATAAACATTTTGCTTCTGTAAACAAACATCCTATGCCTATTTATATAATTCACTTCTATGGAGCTCCGACCCGTTGAAGGAGTGTGGCACTAATTCATGTCTTTTAAAAGGAAATCCCGATTCAAAATTCATGAAAAATGCTCTCACCCCATCAAAGATGGATGCCTGCTGTCTGTCCTTGTGTTCATGCAGAACGTGTGTCTGTATGCGTGTGCGCGTGTTGGCGTGTGAGTGCAAACGTGGTTGTGACCGAATGCGCTTAAACTTTGGTTAAGTAAGGGCTTTTTAATTGACAGTCACACAAAAGGAAACAGCAGGAAGCGGTTTACTTACAGACAGCATTCTTGTGACTGGTGTCTTTACTGGGCATCATCTTCACCCCTCTGGACTTTAACTCTATTGCTTTTTTCACTGGAGAAAGAGAAGATGGAGGTTAAATAATTGACCTACAAATAAGATATTATTAGACTTAAACTACTGTCCAAATGATTTTGAACATCTGCATTCAGTACATATTAGCTATGCAATTTCTCTTCAATTCAGTAAATGCTTCACGCTCGCTCCTCCGATGAGAGACCTACAACGAATGCCACAGCGGCAAAAGCTGACAATTTGGTTGGGGGGGAAAAGGGGAAGACATTAAAAGACACAGGAAAGAAGGGATATGAGATGCAAAAAAGGGGAGAGAAAAGCCAAACTACGTCCCAACAAAGAAAAGCAACTACGTGCACTCTCTTCTCGTTTTAATTACCTCGGATTTATCTTTTTTGTTTTTTGTTCTTTTTTGTTTCTAACACACAGAAAAACAAACACATGTTCCCCCCCACACACATACGCAGACATACACACAGAGACAGAAGAGACAGACATAAAGTAACTAATGGAAAGGGACCAAAGGCTGAGGAAGAAAAGAACAGCTTGAATAGTAAAAGAAATTAAAGACGCACGCAGCAAAGTTATACAAGTCTTGGATTACAATTGGAAGCAGCCAATTAAATATGAGCCGCCACATGGACACTAATATGCATGCTGGTATACAAGTTAATTGATAAAACCAGTCAATTAGATGACAGGAAAGGTCTGAAAAGAAAAGTCAGGTGGTTTAAGACTTCTGTCCCCAAAACATCCGGGAAGAAAACTATCTTGTATTCCCAATACCATCTTGTTTGAGTTGCAATGTGAGGATAATTTGTAAATATAGGTGTGAACGTACCATACATGCAGGAAAAAAAGGGAGGTAGATTTACCTTGGTATTGAGCACTGAATCCTTTTCTTCGATGGTTGCTATCCGAGGTGAAATGTATCCGAAGCCAGTTCTTATTTGATATCACCGGAGAGGGCAGTGTTGTACCAGTCAGCCTGAAGGTAAACAAGAAATACTTCTTAAACACACATAAGTAGTACAAACAAAAGTAGTAGAAGAATGCAGCCCTAGAGACAATGACAAGAATACAGATTAATGATCACATTTATTCACTACCTATCTGTGTGTGCGTGTGTGTGTCAGCCTTTCTAAACCATAGTTCACTTGCATCTACTTTTTGCTCCTTAGAATTTTACAATGTACTTAAGACAATTCAGCAGAGACAGACAAGGGATATGGAATATGCAAAGAGTTCACCAAATATTGGTGACACTCTGAGTTGCACGGGCTGGCTGCAAGGAGAGTTTAGCACCAAGGCAATTGTTCCACTCCTTTACAAAAGTGGACTAAAAGCAGACTGGACTGTACTGGGTTTTCTACAACTCCCACATCCCCTTACCTGAAGGAATATTCAACAATTCTTTGCTTGGAAAAATAAGTTAAAATGCACTAATATGTCTGCTTACTCATTGATTGGAAAGCAGCAGAACGCCATATTGAATAACACATAGTTAAGTATTAGAAAGTCAGCCAAGTTCACATCTTCAAAAGCACTTTGAAATTACCACCACTGAGACGATGCGTTGGTTGCCTATGGTTAGTCTTACATCAGCTGTAGCTGCTCCCACATTACGTTAGGAACGGCAACCAAGGCAGAACAATTTTAAAATGTTGGGAAAATGGTGCACGGAGACAAAAAAGGGAAATGATGTAAGAGACTGGCTGGAAGCCAATGTTCTACCATCCGTCCCCAGAGCAACAAGAGCCACTGTAACTGCCCTTCAATATGCCGCAGGTATAATGAGTAGATAAAGAGCGGAAAGGAGGGAAGAAGGAACACAGATAAGCGAACGGGCAGAAAAAAATATGAGAACCGGTAAAAAGAATTATGAAGAGTTATAAAGGACTTAGTAAGGTGCTTATTATTGGAGCCATTCAGTGATTTCTCTGTAAATACAGTTAAAAGATGTGTTGTTGCAGAGACAATTTAACTGTTTATTATAGACATGATATTGACTCAGTAGATACATGTGGTCAACTATTGGACTTATTATCTTATTGTGGTTTTATTTCATACTTTATATTAAAGGTTGGGACGAAAATGCATTTCAAGTCAATTAAAAAATAAGCATTGAAAAAAGCATTGAACAATAACATTATACTACCACGCAATTCCTATACCTGTATTTATTCAAATAATAATTTGGTTGTTGTTGTTGTAACATAAGATGTAGGCGTAATCATAATGTCTTATCAAACGGTACTTGATTGGGAAATGAATGCTGATGATGTGCTATTACAGCCCACGGTTCTATAGGTTATGTAAAGGAAAATACTATTGTGACAGTATTGATAGTATGTTGTTGTTGATGTGCTAATTTTATTAAAAAATAATAATAATTGTTGTTGTGTGTGACCGTTTACCTGTCTCCAGAATTGACCTCAGTATCAGCGAATTCTAAAGATCCATCTGTGTGCCTTGAAAACTGTAAATTTCCACCTTGTTTCAGCTTGATTAGCAATTTTGCAAAAGGTTTGTCAAATGGCCAAATTGCGTTTACAATCGCCATTGTCTGACCAATCTTAATAACTGTGTTCAAATGGAAAATGTGGTAAGAAATCAATTACCGCAGGATTAAGAATTTCACTTTGAGCTAGATGAAAAGCAGCAACTCACAGTTTAGGGTTCGAGGACCGGAGTGTTTAAAAGACAAAGAGAACAGGGAAATCTGATAAGCAGGGAGAAACTAGAGAAAAATCAATTATTCATGGGGACTGGCCAGCTGTCCGACATTGGAATGAGGGAGACAAGAAGTCATAGAGAAAGAGAAAAGGATGAGGTGTGAGACTCAACTGAAAGGGAAGAAAGAAGCACAAAACGAGAAGAGAGGGGAAAGTGTAAAACGTTTAAAAAGGAGAACATGATCTACGTGAAGGGGAACAGAGGAGAGGAGACAGGTCGGACAGAAGCCAGTGAAGCAGGCAGAAATGCGAAACGAGAAAAGAGGAATGAATACATGCGACAAAACCCGAGCTAATAGATGAAGAGATGGAGAGAGGTGAGAAAAGAATGTGCACTTATAGGTGGAGAGAAAGAGAGTTCACACAAGCCCTGAGCAGAGGTCAACATTTCAGAAAGGGAAGGCCGGGAGTCGTGTCTGGATGAGGTTAGACGTTCCACATATGTAGTTTATAAGTGATAGAGACAAATGAGAAAGCGGTGACTGGAAAGAGGAGAGAACGGGCAACAGAAAAGAAGAAAGGCAACTGAAAGTTACTCAAAAATGAAATAACTTACAATAAAGCAAAGAGGAGGTTGTGGAAGATATGAGCTGGAGTGGACGACAGGAAAAAGAGAGGCCAAGACATAAAAACACAGAGGAGAGCGGGACAAAGAAACCCAGAGCAGAAATGTCTGTGCACCTCGATGTAGATATATTAGACCTACTATTTCATGATACACAAAAGTCACTGAGAAACATATATAACTTTCCACTGTCTGGACACTATTGTTTTGGCAATACTTTATTTTAAGTGTTTTCGGCTGCTTCACAAGTCCATGTGAATGTGCACCTGAAAAATGGCAAAAAGGCAGAGTAAAAATAAACGATTGGAAAGAAGTCAAAAAAGTTTGAAAGCACATTATCCACAACAGGAAGCTGTTTATTCCAAAAGCTTAGTGCAAAACCCTGGTACACTGGTACTTTTAATCTCATAACACACCCACGCACTCAAACGGAAACGCACACTCACAGACACACACGCGCAAACACACACTCACATAAGAGCAGAGCCAGTAAACATAATTTAAAATGTAAATGTAAAAACAAGACAAGAGAGGGGTCTCAAAGTAAGGAAAAAATAATAAAAGAGGACTTGTCGTTACAAAAGAGGAGTGGGGAGCAGAGAAAAGAGGAGGAGGAGGAGCAGCAAAAGTGGTTCAGAAAAAAAGAGGACATACAGGGAGGAGTGAAATGAAATGTAACAGAGGGACATGAGGGTAAATAAAAGAAAGAGGCACTAGCACTGAGGAATTCCCCAATTTCAGTAAGAATCAGGAAACTACACTACACATACGCCTTCCAGGGAAAGCGTACTAATGTCAGGATGATATGAAATAAATCCTGGCTTGAGTGATGTAACGTAGCCGCTGTCTGGAAAAAAAAAAGATGGGTATGTGCCACGCACTTCAAGATAAGGGATGGCAGTTTGCTAATATTGTGCAAGTATGTTTGGGGCTTAAGTACAATGCGTCCTCCAAGATTTCTGTGGGATTTACTGCAGTTAGTAAGAAGTATGACAGAACCGTCGGGTTTGTTCCTAAAAAGTGTGCACTGCATTTTTTGCGTTTGTATTTTAGCGCCTGTGACATTAGGTCGGTGTATCAGATGTTTGCATAAGATGTTATCATTATAAGTTCAGACCATTATCTCCGAATCCTCTGGAGAGGCTTAAGGTGTTTGGCTTTAGATAGGAATAACTAAACCATAGCTAAGGGTCTACGTGGGGCAGGGGTAGAGAGGGTGCGCCGGGAACCGGAAGATTGGCGGTTCAAGCCCCGGCTCATTGTCCCATGTCGATGTGTGAGCAAGACACCTAACTCCTAATTGCTCTCTGAGAGTGAACGTACGACTACGCTTTGTGCAAGTGTCATTTATATTACCGAGGTGGAGATTAAGGGTGTTTTCTACATCAAGTCAAATGATTGATCCTGTCACTATTGAAGAAGTAATCAGCAATTAAGGTCCCTTATTTAATTAGAAGTAAGAAAATTCACAAATTCCATTGGTTCTTTAAATCAACATAACATAACTTAATAAAAAGTCATTGACTCTGTCTCATAGTAATGATACATTACAGCAATTTTTGACGTTTCATTACTGGCAAATGGGTTACAATCAATCTGAATAATACAGTAATCAATGAGGGAAAAAAATTATATTCTCCTTGGATATAATGGCCTTTAGCATAGAAATCTTTCATTGAGTTGAACGAAGCACCTTTGGCCTTTTTGCATTTGAGTTTGTCTTGTTTTTGATAGACATAAAAGGGGGAGAGAAATAGAGAAGGAGGGATTGCTGGATTGAGTTTTTAAGAATGTAGAGAAGAAGAACATTAATAAAAACATGCAAGGGTAGAGGTTAGGAAGAAGAGAGGAAAGGAGGGGCTTACAAGCACCAAATATCTGCTGTAAACATTATTTATCTGATAACATGTGAGTTAGTAATCAGACAATCTGATTTGAAGATATCAGCTCTAACAAACACATAACAGGTTATATGTATTATATTTAAATCAGGATAAGCTATCCATGAGTTTTAAATTGTAAATTGTAAAGTCATTAACAATCCAGTGACTTGGTTAAAACAGAAAAAAGCTTCTCATATATCAAACAGCCAAATAAAAAATGCAACATGTCTCCTCCACAAAAGACAGCCCGGCTGTTGCTTTGAGAAATAGGCAATTACATTTCTGATCATTAGCTTTCTGAAAAAAAAAGTTCTTTCTGAATCAAGTTTACTTGCCATAATATTTGTTTCCCACAAGAAAAAGGATTGTCACATCCATTCATAAAAGCCACATGCAAATACAAGCATGGTGCTCCTAAACTGCATACAGAAGCATCTGTGTGACCTGTTGACACTTCACTTTCTAAATAGTGAACAAAAAAAAATGCCTACTATAAGACAGAGAGTGCTGTTAAGTAATTGGACCTCAGTAGGCACCAGCAACACAAATGCCTGGAAGACTTCTGCCTTCGTGGCCCCCCCTTAATTTGACTCCCGGTTGTCTGCATCTACTCTCTCCCCGATCCTTTGTGCTGCCTTCTTTATATTTCACTGTCCCTCCCTTCTTTTGCCGGACCGACATCCCTCGGAAGCCGGACCACCACAAGTTTAACAAAGTAAAACAAAAATGTTTTGTAGTGTAGTGTTCCAGAAGCACGTTATAAAGGAACGACATAGATGATATGGACATATGACTGTTCTGACGGGGAATCAAATCCTCACTTTGTCAGCAGGTTAAAAGTCAAATCAATCAGGCACAATTATTTATATAAATATGTGTCTCTGTTTTGTGTTTTTCATGTGGGTGTGTGTGTGTGCGTGTAACAACCAGTCAACCTGACATTCAAACTGCTTGCTAGCGGACAGGAACATAAAACAGGAAATTGCTTTTGGGACAGCCAATCAGAAAAAGCTCACGGTAAACAGGAAGAACCTGTCCCAGAGGTCTTGTCAGGTGTCGATCATTTTCACAATGACCTGCCCACATACCTCAGTGTAAATGTCTTTCATCTCCTAATTCCACTTTTGGAAGGAATCAGTTTAGTATTGCAAAAGTTACGGAAACCTATTTTATTGTCACATACAATGAGACATTCGTACAATAAAATTTGTAGGCCTGGCAACGATGCACTTTCATTAAATACACAAAGCATTGGAGTAACTTCATTGTCTTCATTTGGCACCACACATAATATGTTATTTTTGTGTTCAAATAAGTTCAATTTTTTGGTAAACTGAATTTTGAGATCAAAATAATTTCCACAAAATATTGAATGAAGTTCATATAATGCGACACAATTGTGGTACCAATTTAAATACAATATTGCTTAACATCGTTTAAATTAATCTTCCCACAAATTAATCACAGGGTGACGCATCACAAAGCTCCAGTTGCTGCAGTCACTGATCTCCTTGTGACAAAACCTTGGGTGTGCTCTGTATCCTGCCCCTGCATTGCAGAGGGAGGATTGACAGTGGCCCTTGGATCTCGCACCGTCTGAGACAAGCCATGTGTGTAGTTGTGTGCAAACCTGAGTGTGTGTAATCTGTCAGAGCCCAGAGAAAAGATCAACAGCTCACACAGCCGGAGGGCCACTTAAGACCTGACACTGACGCGCACGTGGTAACAGGACGATGCCGTGGCTGATGTCTACCGCGCTGCTGGTGACAGGACTAAACATGCAATTATTCCCCATTCCTTTTGTTTCCCACTGGGGTTATCCTTCACTTATTTATCTGTCGACCGATCATGCTGTTTCCTTCTGCAAGTTGGGCCACAATCATGCACAATTTCCTCACATGGAAGACAATGTCATCTATCAGTGGAAGTCAGGAAAATGTTTAAAGTGGGAAGCAGTTTAGGAATCCTACGCGGGTAACAGATGGAATTATTAACGATCCATTGAAAGCAGAAAAAACGACTACTACCTACAATTTGTATCCCTTAAAAGCCGTCACTCAAAAGTGGATAACGATGGCTAACATAGACGTTAGAATGTTAGATGTTAGAATAGAATAACTGTATTTGCATTTATTTTTCTCCAAAATGTATGTTCCTTTTCAACCAAATGTATGAGACACTGAAATCAAGGATTCCTACTTCCTTTGATTGTTGAGCAGCCTTTGGCTCCCAGGCATGTGTGTTGTTACGACTGACTGAGGCCAAACCGCTTCTCCCTTCTATAGATTTTCCAAGCATTTCCAGCTATAACGCCGCATGTTTAACAGCCGTGCAAAAACTCACCTAAACCTTTACTAGCGATGTGTTGTATTATAAACAAACCATCACGAGTGCCCACAGCACCCTTCATATAAAACACAGAGTGGTTCTGGTGCAACATGGTGACCAGAAAATGGGAGTGAAAACAACTATTTATCACCTTCCCTGTGGGATTTGAATAAAACAGGAAAATCAACAGGACTCCTATGCAGCTACTAAATCAGTCCTTGTATCTTTGTAACAACATCCTTAGTCCTGTTAACACCCCCCCTCCCTTCAAAACTACACGCTAGAAAAAAAGTGAAAACAAGAATTGTTCTCTTTAATGGAAACAAGTCAGCTCACTAAAAAAATGCCTCCAGGCTTCTAATTCTTGGAGAGTAGAATAATTTGTCACCACCTGATTCACAGAACGTGCCTCTTTCTGCATGATTTCTGAATGTGTTTGTTATCCTCTAGCTCTGAGTTCATGCTTTTTACCTCTCAAGAGTCAGCGGTGAGTTTCTGTGTCTGTGTGTCTGTCACTCCTGCTGATTCTCACAACGACTTGTGTGCCCTCCGACACAAGTTTTTATCCGCTCAACGGCACAGTCTGCTAACAACATGGATCTCACCATATGCTTGGTGCCTCCGTCCCGCTGATCTCCAGGAAGTCGTACTTGTCCTCTAATAAGAAGTCGTTAAAGACGAGAGCTATAGTATCCCCGGGTTCAGACAGGACGGACCAGGTGCAGTCCAGGTTGTTGTCGTACTCGGCGGGGTATCCGGGGCTGGTTATTGAACCCGCGGTGCCTCGCAACGTACCGCCACACGCTCCCTCCGCTGTGGAGAAAAGTAGCAGAACAAAGGATGAGAAGAGATAACAATTCTGAAAAGGTATGCTTTTAAATTGAAGACTGGTTTTGGTACATTCTCTTGGGTCGGATTAATCAGTTGTGTTATTGTCTTTTAGTTATAAAGAAAAAAGTTGTATTTTCCTTTTATCATTTTCATTTTTTGTGTCCATACACTTTTGTCTGTAATGATCAGATTTTCATTTGTAAAATTATTGATTGTTTTTATTCTGTAAGAAAGGGAGTTTTATTCATTTTCTGTTTTTTAATCAATATTTTTTACGTAATGTCCATACTTGCATCTATTCACTTTTCAACTTGTTAATATTGCAACTAAAAACAATACAATTGTAGATTTCTTCCTCAATTCGCCCCCTAAATCATTGAGACATCACCAGACTTTTAAACAAAGTAATTACTGTGAAAAAGGGTATTATATTTCTACAATTAAGAAAAAATCCAAGAATTTAAATAAAGCCTCGGAAAAACAACATTTTACAGTATTTTTTGCAGTAATTTATCAGAAGAATGGATCACCATCTACTCACACTAATGGTGAAAAGCTGTACTTAACTGCTCTAGTTTGTAGACTAATAAACCATCACAAAGGCTTGCTTGAGGACTGTGTGCACATACGGTTCATACTGGTTTCATCTACCTCTGGCAGGTCACCTCATGTTAAGGTCATTCAATTATTATGACTCAACCAATTGTTTATTTTCCTAAACGTTTTATCCCGCTTTTTCTTTTGTATTATCAGGGATATCTAGAAATACATTTCACTCATAGTGTGTTGGGTCATGCAAGTCGTCATGTCTTATAAGGTATCTATTGCAGAAGCAAGCTGATATGGATTCGAGAAAAGAGAGAAGTAAGAAAGAAAGCAAAAAAGACAAAAATAACACTGATACAACGACTGAAGGGAAGACGGGAAGAAAGAAGGAAAACATCTTACCTCTACAAAATGGTGACGGGAAGTCCCACTGTGCTCCACTGCCAGCTGATACAATACACGTGAGGATACTGTGTCCTTCCAACACAAAACCGGACTCACAGCTGTATCGTATCTTGTCCCCCATGTTGTACCGCGACCCATGGATGACCCCGTTTGGGATGAGGCCCGGGGTGCCACATGTGTGGCTGGGCAAGACTGAAACAGAAAGGAGAAAACGGAGAAAATTAAACTCATTTCTAATCACGCAGCAGTTTCGTTTCTGGGGTCAGCGCACACGGGACATTCACAAAGTTGCATTCAAATATTTTATCGCATTAATCTCGGCCACAATAATCGCATGGCCCTAATATTTGACATATATTTAGATATTTTGGAGGAACATCCCAAGTTGCATATGTCTGTGAGCTTACAACGTGTTCAATAATAGACTGATATCTGCTTCTATAAATGTTTTAATTGAACATTGTTGCTTACCAGATGAGCTAAAACTATTTGATATTCTTGACAAGATCCCAACTCTTTGCGGTCTGGCTCCTAAATGGTGGAATAAGCTCTCTGAAGACACCAGGACCGCAGAGAGCCTTCATATCTTCCGTCGCAAACTAAAGACACACCTCTTCAGACTCTACCTCGACTAAAAAGACTAACAAATTGTAGCACTTAAATTGTACTTATAATGGCTCTTATCTATAGCAAGTTGTAAATGTAAATGCACTTATTGAAAGTCGCTTTGGATAAAAGCGTCAGCTAAGTGACATGTAATGTAATGTAATTTCCCAAGAAAGAAAGCATAGAAAGAAGTGTGTATTTTCCAATGGTCCTCAGGTTGGATCCATTGATAGGTGACCTTACTCAAAATGATTGAAAAATCTCTCTTGAATGATGAAATATTCAATGTTTCATACAAAACTGAATGTCATTCACATCTATCCATTTCACTATTAACAACTTGAATGAATCATTCTCAAATACAGTGGGAACTGATCAAATACCGACAGTTTTCTGGGTACCTTAAACTCTCTGCAAGTGAGATGTCTAGCTGGCATCTGTTTTTGTTCGATTTACTGTACATATGTTTTTGCCAGTTCTCACATGACGCAGCCCTGCAGCAGCTAAAGGTTCAACCAGGCTGATATCAATCTGTGACTGTTGCCAACACGCCTTAGATCCACAGAAGGGGCATCAGCACACTGAAACCTGGATGAACTCCAAAGTATCTGACCCCAGTGTACATTGTGTGTGTGTGTGTGTTGTGTGTATTTGTATAACTGGAGCATGTTAACTTACCGAGTTTGTACTTTGTGCACGTAATGTGTATTCAAATGGCTAATTTGTATGTGTGCGCGTACGTGCATGCACATTGCAGTGTGTCTACAAGTAACGCGTGTTCAGTCAGTCAATCTGTGTGTTTGTGGATGCTGTTCCAATTAAACGCTAGCATGGTAATTAGACAAAGCTTCACCATGAGACTCTGATAACTAGGACAGCAAGAAAGTGGGAGGGATGTGGCGTGAGGAGAAGACAAAGAAGAAGAAGTAGAGAAAAAAGAAAGAAGGATGTAGAAATAAAGAGGAGAGGAAGAAGAGGGGGGAAGACGAACAACTGAATGATGGAGGGAGGGGGATGGGAAGAGGATGAGGGGATGGAAAAGGGTAAAGAAGAAGACGGCAGTAAGACAGGAAAAGAGAGAGGTGAACTAATTACAGTGGGTCCTAAACATTTATAATTTACACTAATTGACTCATTATTTGGATTGTCTGAAGTCATGAATCAGAGGCAAGTTACTCACACTCAGCTGACCGTGCCGTCCTCTGTGCAAACATACTGCCTGTTTTGTTTTACAAAGGTGAGAGACACCATCAAATTTAGAACCCCAAAAAAGGTACGAGGGACCGAGGGAGAGGAAGGTGAAGGAAAAGAGAGAGGGAGAGAGGATGAGATAGGCAGCGGAAAGAAGCAAGATTTAAATAAAAAGACCAGGTATAGCAGCTTGGTACACAAGAGTATCCCTCATTTAGACTGATGCCTCAAAATATCAGGCGGTACTTTTTGAAGAATAAAGTGTTGTCGGCATGCAGCTAATTTAACAAAAATGTAATTTTTCACATCCATCCTAAAGTGGAATGGATGTGAGGTTCAGTATTTAAGAAGAAGATCTTAATATTGGCAACAAATGCCAGCAGACATTATCTATTTGTAGAGGACCTCCTACTTATATACATGAGAAGTTGAGGGCAATGGTTGTATTTACCAATTTGATAACAATACAATAATCCCCACAACAACAGTTTTTCTGTTTAGTTTTTTTGGGGCCACATGAAGGGTGGGAAGGGAGAGGTAGGTAGAAAACTATTGTTCCTATAAATAAAGAAATTCTTTTGAAAAGGGAGGATTAAATTGGGCAGCTACTGGATTTAAAAAGTATATTAAGTATATTTAAGTTACCAAACAACTAAATATTTGGATTTAATCAAACAAAACAGTGTCTATTTAATTCAAACGTAAATGTTTTCCTTTCCAGAAATTAATTATAATGTTATAATAAGAGTTTACTATATGGGCTTTACTGTGTGTATAACAGAACACTTCAAACATAAGCTGCACTAAATGCGGCTCTTACGCTTTTGTCTCCATCCGACCTAATTGTTGATTTCAGTGTTTAGTGCGCTATAGTAAGTGAGTTATTCTCAAACAAATTCAGATGACAACTGACATATTGCATTTTCTATGTTGCCATCAATAATGAGTATTTTCTCCAGTTACCGGAACATATTCACAAGGTAGATGGAGAGAGTAATCCTTTGGCTTTGTCCACGCAGTGCTTTGATTTGTTTGCTTTGTTTTTAATCAGCACCACACAAATTAACTTTGTACAATTTTACCTGTAACCTCATGTTAGGGAAAGTTCATATTAGCCGCTCGAAATCGTATTCAGAAAAATAATCACTTTGATTGCTTAATATTGGATGGCTCCTTTGTTTATTACTTTATTCTAACAAATTGCAAATCCGGGTCATTTGGGGTTATTTAGAAGAAGCATGTATTAAAATGATGGGCCAAGCTGAATATTCAACGGGGCGGGATGTGTATATGTAACTGCTGTTTGTTCGTGATGAGCACGGAGGACAGCGCAGTCCTCATTATCTCATTACAGCTGATTTGGTGGGTATTCAATGTTCCAAACACTGATGTACAACATACACGATTTTATTGTCACTGAACACGTTTACAACCGAGAATACAAAGAAGCAAAATTGTCTTTTGAAATCAAAAGCTTTTTACTGGGCATGTACTCTATACAAGTACAGCCTGTCCTGCTGTTCAAAGTGTATTTTATTTAATGTATTATTCATTCATAATTATCTATCCATATTACTATTATACAGCCCTGCTCTTTACTTCAGTGACTTTGTCTAAAATTATAGTTAACGTGACAGCCATGTGCTTAAGAATAGCAATCTGGTTGGTTTGTGCCACTTAGTCAATCAGTCAAGTAACTGTCATGTACGCTATTCTGGAACTAGCAAAGTGTTTTCTCTTGCCTAAACTTAATTTCCAGAGCTTGTGGATGAATTCCTGCCATGTCCAGGTGCCTTCCGGCTCTTCGCACCCTTAAGGCAGGGCGCCGTGTGGCCATAACTCTCGGACAGGGCAACATTTTATTAGTGATACAGAAGTAAGTAGGGAAAGAAAAGTGACGACATCGGAGTCAAGAAGCACCGGCGCCCGCAATGAAAGTTTGGTGAAGGCAAGAAAAAGTGACAAAGAGGAAGGACAGAGAGAGTGTTGAGATAGGAAGGAAAACTTGTGTTAAGGGATGAAGAAAAAAAGTGAAGGGGAGTAAAAGACAAGAACGCAAAGGAATGAGAGACCAAAATAGGGAGGATGAGAGAGATTTTATCAATGACTTTTGTTTTATTAATAATAATTATTAATGATACATTTGTATCTTGTGGAAACCTTGCACAAAAAATTGTATCATATTTTAAGTTCATTGAATATGTATGTATTTATCTGACATATCGAAAGGTCCAGCCTAAAACAGCTACTGGGGAAAAGTTTCTTTAGCAAGGCACTCTGCACTACCTCTACCATCATCTCTCCTTCAGTTTAAGTAGACACTGGTGCATATGTTCTAATCATGCACTAAAAATAGCAAAGCAAACAGCTCCTTGCATCGCTTATTGATACACTAAAGCAGAGGCTACTGGATAAAAGCCAACCATCATAACCTCTAGATTTGCCCCTGTGGTTTAAATGCAATCCACTAGAAATGGACAAACATAATATGAATAAATAAATCAATTCTAAATAAAACATTAATTGAATGTTTGAATTCGAATATTATTGGAAAAATTACTTGTCAAAAATTAGAGATACTGTTTTATGAGGTGGACATCCATTTAGTATTAATTCCAAAAGCTGTGTAAGCGTTGTTATTTGTGCTTTCACTCCTTGGGATGGGACACGGGATGCAAGTGGAAGATGACCCCATAATTACCTGACAGGTAGAAAAACACCTGGAGTGAACTATATTTGTATCCACAGCATGTAACTTGCCAAAAGCCAAAATTGGAACAGATGTTTTTGTCACATCTAGCTCCTCAAACCTAGCCAAAAAAAGGTTTCTAGTTGGGTTTCCAGAGGGCTGAATAGTTAAAACCAAGCGTAACCAGAACAAATGTCAGACCGTGTGCACAAATTGCCAAACAGGGATTTGGACAGATGTTAGCATTTCAAAATATGTGTGGGAGAATTCATCGTAGAGAGTGATTGAACCTTTGGAAGTTTACTGAACTTTTCAAACTTTATTGAAGGCAGCTTAACTCAAAAATCTAGTTGATAAAATACAAAGTATAAAAACGTTCCACAAGTCACTCGTTCTTGCACCAAAAGGCTTGTTTAGTTGTGTCTCAATTACAGCGTCACGCAAAAGAGCATATAAAATAATTTTACGTGCCCGTCATCCACTTCCCATAAACAGATATACTGGGACTTTTTTAATGGGTGCAATTCACGGCCCGTTCTACAGTTGCCACGATGTACATGTGTTAACAAATAGCAATGTGATTCTTCTTGTAGTTGCTGTTGGAAAGATGGCAAAGCCTCAGAGCTAAATTACTGCGCAGTAACACAAGTGCTCCCATGGTGTAAATTCATCAACAGCTTCACCGACACATTGAACATAAGAACTC